TCATCTAAAAGTAGCCTGCTATCTGTGAGAACTGAAATATCGAATTCGCAGTATAAGTGATTATTTTTTATCAGTGCCCTCTGATTCTGAATGATTTTCTCTTTATCTGATAACAGTATACGATGAAAATTGTATGGAAACTATACTTCAATCTCCATTAAATGTTGTTTAAATAACAGATTATTCAGAAATCTCTTTAACAGTGAACTTAAAAATAGTTTAAGTAAGGTCAGCACAAACACTATAAGCATTCTGATCCTCGAATTATTTCAATATCGGTGTCTATAAAAGTCAAATACTTTTGTTAATCTATGGATTTAGATGAAAGGCCAGTTTCATTTTCTCCTTTCTAAGACTCGTGAGTTAGATGTACTTCCATCCTAATATTGGTAATAGACTGGAATTGAACCCAATATCTTTCGCCCCAGACACAAACACATTGCCCAATAAATTACAAGTCCAGATAGCCACTAACTTCAATTCGTTTGAGACATAAATGGTTGTTAGATATGAGCTTGTTAAGTCATTCATTAAACTATAGAATTTGGGTTTGCTCATTAAGTCTTCTTATAGTTCACCACTACTGCATATTAAGCATAATTGATCATTTTCGTAATTTTAAAACTGACTACTTAGTTAATAAATGATGTTTGTTTTGTTTTATATAACAGCGGATTTTCGTAAATAGTTCGAATGATTACCAATCGTTCTCGATTTCTTTCGTTTTATTGAAGTGATTGATGAATTTTCGAAAAGCCATTTGAATATGGTGGAAGACTGATTAATAGTGGTGTTCATCAGTGTGTTCAGTAAAGTCCGAAAACTGATCACTTGTAAGCATTATTTTCGTTAATTTATTGGTTGTGGGTGTTGTCTAGATATCTGATTGGAATCATTTCAATCTATCTTGTATTGACACTTCAATCTGAATATATCACCATCGCAAGTTATGTGATGGAAATGGTAAATCAAGTGAAATGTTTAGTTTGAAATGAAATTACCAGTGAATATTAATGTGTTATACGGAAGATGAAGTGAGTGAATGGACGGAGATTGACTGGAAATCGTTGTCATTGCACACATGTTGAATATTGAGGAATGGATGCGCTAGCGCTTTTCGGACACGTATCTTATCTCTTGATCACTGTTTTTGATTATTTTTTTAGTGTGACTTCACTTTTCGTTAATCGAATATGGTGACAATATGCAATGGGTTTTTGTTGTTGTTGTTGTTGTTGTTGTTAATCCTAGTTAATTGAAATTGACACATTAATTTGAATAGTATGTAGTATATCAGTTATTATTTTATTAAATATAAACAATAGTGTTCTGTGTAGTCAGTAAGTGTGTGATAGGAAGAAGCAACACTCGGAATAGTAAGTGGTTGAATAGTGTTAGATGTAGCCCAAAGCACAATGGGGAATTTAGTTGAATCTAAATTTATTTGTCGACAAAATCGTCCCATGATTAGATAACTTCGTTTCAGTGGACCGAAAAGTTGAATCTCTATTAAGCTATTGATTTGTGTGTTGAATGAATTTGGTTAATGTTGCGTATATTTGTGACAAATGTAGGATAATATCTGATTTATTGTTTGTGAACAATCTATTAATGTGTGTATATTTGTGCAAGTGATATTGAAGTTAGTTAGTTAGTTAGTTAGTTAGTTAGTTAGTCAGTTAGTTAGTTAGTTAGTTAGACATTTAAGAGCCATTGACCTTGTGTGTGGTTATTAAGTGGTGGAGCTGTGTGACAATTGTTATTTGAATTGAACTGTTTGACATTTATTGGTCGGATATAAAATGGAAGGAAGATAATAACTATATTTCGAATGGAATTTTAAAATTGTTTTATACTGATTAGTGTGACTTTATAAATGCATAGAAACTAGAAATAGTTCATCTTAGCCATCTCTGACGTTAACTCTGGGTGTATCATTTTGAATCTGTGCATAATCACCAATTTACTCAAGATAATCAATATACCTTGTGAATGAATTTTAACTGGCTCAAGGCTGTAGGTTCACTGAATATTTTGAAGTATTCAACGTGGATTCCAAGGCAATGATCAGTTATTTCATTCTCATATAATGCACATAAACAGCATATTTTTTCTTTCTGTTCTGATAAGAAACGCAATCATATCGCATATATTTGTGAGGATGTGATCAAATTTGTAACTTTACAAACTACAAGCTGGTTACTTTTTATGTTTGGTATAATTATACGAATTGAGATTGTGAAAACTTTTAACCTGGAGCCCTAAAATTTTGGCACATTTTTTCATCACTTGTCAATTACATTGTTCTCTAACCATATCTTAAAAATTTATAACCTTTTTCCTAAACTGTCACTGCGTTATTTTCTATAGCTCATGTGTGTATAACTCTTCTACACTACCTTTTATCGAAAGCATACCTAATTTTACCAATTGGTTTATATTATTTATCAGTATAGGGGTTGTGGAGATTATTAAGTTTTTTTATTGAGATCATAAACCGATTGATGTTAGACCACCATTGAAAACCTGGAAGCACTGGACGGCCGGTTCGTCCTGTTGTGGGACTCCTCAGTGGTGCGCATCCACGATCCTGCTCGCGGGATTTCAACCCCGGGGCCTTCACTCTCGCGCGCGAACGCTTAACCTACTAAACAACTGCGCTGGCATTCGATGGTGTTAATGTCTAACGTCAACCAATCTACGAAATCGCGCGACCATCTTCCATTGTACTGAAGTAGATACCTGTCTCTATGCGACACGGATTATTATGTATTTTGTTTATTTATTTATTATTTAGTACCGTGTGTGTAGTCTGAATTTTATTAACCTACATATGGGTTCCACTACATATTAGAAATGTTTGGAAAACATTAATTACTTAATATCTATAACTTGGTCGCATTCATATATTCAGTGACCGTATTATCCAAGTACTTAGTAGAATGAAGCTGAGGATTGTGTAGATTGACTAAAATTTAATGAATCCTTATCTTTTGTTTATTGTGAGTTTGTAGTGGCTACTAGTGTAAGTGATCTGACATCCCTTACATTTTATTAATATGTTAGGTGGTCGGAGGGAGCCGATAAGAAACCTTGCGAATGAATTTCGTCCTGGTTGGTACTCGTCTTTACAAAAAACCTTCGATATTTATGGAACTGAAAATCCCACTAGGGTTCGAAACCACATGACCCACTTCGACTGTTTGAGACGTTAATTAGCGATTTGGTTAGAAAGCGACCTCCTGTAGGACTGAGAAATTTATTAATCTCTGAGTTCTGATAATTATCATGTTTGCCTAGTCCTTAATGTTAATCAGAACCTGTCGATCAAGATTGAAGTTACGACGTACAGACAATTACCAACTAACACGAAACTTAGGTTCAACGTTTCCTACTGATTGCCTCCAAACACCAAACATAATTATTTTTGTATTTAATTTTTTGAAATGATATTCTGATAGCTCATTATCCTTTAACAACAGAAAGGACTGACTGAACGTTTTCCATTATTTAGATTGTATTGGTTGTATATTTTTCCCTTTATTTTGCATTATTAATGTATTTATATATATACCTTATGACTGATACCCGAAGTTTACTTAATTTCATTCCCCTTTTCACCTCAGTCATGTTATGTGTGCATGGATAGGTTACTTTAATTAAAGTGGCAACCTTAGCTTCATAGGATGTAATGTTGAGTATTAATAGCTACATTTGATAATAACCATTCTTCATTGCAAATCGACCGAATACAAAAATGTTAATCGTTGAAATCCCGCTAAACTTTCTTAAATTAAAGCCCTTATCGTCAGACCCGAATTTCTCTAAATCGATCATGTATTTGATCAATGCGAGGCATACTTCTTACGGGTTCAGGAAGTGTGGAACAAAACAACTGTCTAAAGCTCTTCATTTTTACAGTGATTTCTCATGTGATATAACATTATGCTGAAGATATTTGAATAATTCTTCTTTATTTGGTATTTCTTTTTGAGTTTTTTATTATCACCAAAAGTGGTTTATGTGTTTTGTTTTATTTAAATTAATCAGATTTCTTATTATGCTCCTGCCAAACTTTTTATATATTTCGAACGTGTAAAGTTATAAATATTGTATGTAGGTAGTTTAATTTGTAGCTTGTATTATTCAAAGGGTACGACTGGAAACCAGTGAACACTGGATAACCGTTTCACTCTCGTGTAGGACTCTTTAGCAATGTGAACTCACGACTCAACCAGGTAAAAGACACAGGAACTTCAGGCATTGCAGCGAATGCTTAACTGTTATAGCATCTGGGTCAGGATCTAATGGTACAGTTTTAACTTTAATCAACTTGCGATGTAGCACGACTATTGTCCAATGCTATTAGTAGCAACTGTTACACTCGTCGTGTGTGAACTTTACTACTTGCAACTGCTCATTAGAACTTCACTAACATCTTTAACGAAATTAAAGATATCTAGTGTTCTTTGGTTTCGAATGGTAATCTGTAGTGAATATAACATATACATTTTAAAATGCTTCACTAAATTACCTCTGATTTGACGAGTAATAGCCTAATCGATTGGATTTCGGATTACATATGAAATTGATCTTTTACAATCTTGTTTATCATGTATTCACATTTTAAAAAGGATTATAGATGTTCAAATGTATAATATGGTGTTCACACGGTAAGTTATTGAATTATTGTTGTTATATACAGCTCAAACCAAATTAGACAAATCTGTCTGTGTAAATTTAACGAGAAGCATTAGTACGAGTTTATATATATTCGGTCTAGTGAAGTTGTCTTGATTTCTAATTACATATACACATGATAAAGTCACTCACATTTTAATCCCAGGTCCATTGTGTTTAGAAAAAATACAAAGAAATCACCTAATGTTTATTAAACTGTATTAATTTTGGAAAATTTCAGTATGATTTCTTAATATCATTGTATCTAACATTTGATAAATGTTGTTTAATTTTCTTTATATGTCTATTTACTTAAATAGAGTAGAGCAGTGGAGAAGTTTATTTCAAATTTGAATCAAGCATTGGATTGTTTAGTTGATAATAGGAATACTACTACTAATACATTTGTTAATAGTAATTGTAACCCATTACATCATTTGTATGGACCATTTAAGCAATTACTGATGGAATTAGCCATTGTTTTGCAATGTAAACAATTTAACAGAGATTTTGTTAAATGTGAAGGTCATCGTAAACTCTTCCAACTTGTTGAATGCATTGAGTAAGTTTCACATGCATATATATATATATATATATATATATATATATATATATATATTGACTACTAAAGTTGTATTACTAGCGTTTTCAGTCTTTTATTTTGTAAGTAAATAAAAATGTGATCATGAATTCCCTGTAACGTTACTTATTTAGGCAAACCCTGGCGAAATAGATTTGAATATTTTTGTAAGCTACTTTTTAACATATAAGTAGTTAATGTTATTTATTGAAAATGTTTACGAACGTTAATCTTAGGGACCTATGTACATTATCATACCAGTAGACTTTATTAATATTTATCAGTATATGGTCGTGAAGATTGTTAAGTTTTAATTGAAATCATGAACCGATTAATTTTAGACCATCATTAGAAACCCGAAAGCACTGGACGGCCGTTTCGTTCTAGTATAGAACTCCTCAGCGACGCGCAGCCACGATCTGTTGTACTTTTTTACGAAAGTCCGTAACACTGCTTTAATGTCATGAGTCCATGGCTCTTTCTAATATATTAGAGTCAAAAATAACTTACACTTCAATCCAAGTAATAATTTATTTACAGCTGTTTGATTACTAATGTCCCGTCTTTAACTGATTTAAATCGACTCATGAATCAATAGAAAGTTTTTATGTTAACTTGAATTAATCAACACCACTAAAATATGATAACATAACAGATTTTCAGAAAAGCTTAGTTTGTAGTGTTGTATTGCTCATAACACGTGAAGTCAGGGATTTCAACCTTAAATCATGTTCATGTTTGGTTAAAAATGATTATCTACGTGTAAAGCTCTTACAACTTCTTATGAAGTGTCTTTGGAACTACTCAGAAAGTTATTATATGTGAAAATTATATTTGAAATAATCTCAGCGATTGAAATTTGAATAATTCCAACGTTTTATCCAGCTGACTTGTCTGGACTTCCTCAGGAAGTTTTTTAAAAGTTGTGAATAATGTATCATGTCGTCATTTGATGATCCTAAATTTTGCTAATAATTTCGTCATATCGAGGCAATCCGTACACGATGCATATATGTAAATGAGAGACTGATGAATTACAGTCTTAAACATCAATAGGAAGACTCGAACAAACAATACAAAATGAATTTTGTCATGTCTCGAAAAGCTTCAATATTATCAAGGCCATACGTAGTTCTATTAATATCTTTGTTTCCTATACTTACTCTAACTTGGAAGTAGAAAGAGTTTTTATGCGTAGAAGATTTCTGAGTGACTGATAAGTGGTTAGAACCTTAGTGTCGAGTATTTGACTGTTAGATATATCATTACCATATGTAGAAAAAAACCCAGATAACTGGTTAATAATTACGATTTTAAAAATTAACGACAACATCACAATTTGATTACATCAGTATATTGTTAATACGCATTAAATTTAGCTATTATTGTAATCACCGAGTTGATATAATATTCAAAATGAAGACTATTACTATCTATGGTGTTATAGTTTTGATTTTTTTCGATAATTATAAAATTACTCAATCATTACCCTTATGGTTATGACACTCATTTAATAGTAATCATTTCAATGTTACATTGTTACTATTATTATTGTCATTATTATTATTGTTATTATTATTATTATTATTATTATTATTATTATTATTATTATTATTACTTATTGTATTTGATGTTCTTTTCTAAACAGTAAACTGGATAAAAAGTTTCATGATGAAATTTGGTCATATCTCTTATCCTGTCTAATTGAATTATCCAATTATGCTATAACTAATCGATTTACTATTAGTAATAATGCTCTGAATAACGATAATAATAATATAAAGTTATATCCTCATGAAGTTTGTTTTACACAAGAAAATAATGATTCTAAAAAGTATTTATCTGAAGAAATGTTAATTCAACAAGATGAAACTATTAACCAAATCCAGTACTCATCAACAATTCTACCAATGAAGAATGTTTATGGAACAGAAGAGTTTTTCAGTTGGCAATTAGTATCAGATGAATTTTTATCTGTGGTCAGTTTGTGATTTACTTATTTGATTGATTGATTGATTTTTATACGCTCAAGTTAATTATTGTTTGTAGTGATAATATTTTTCTTAATGATAAGCATTATTTTGAATTGATTTAAAGAGTATACTTATCTTCATTAATTCAATGAAGTTGTACACTCAATTAAATATTTACATCTTAGGGTTGTCACTATGTTTGTTATGACAATTAGATAACTGTAAATTTGAAATCGGTATCATTAAATTCTGAAAGCAATCGACTTTGTTTGTGTTCTTTTTATTTAGATTCATCAGTAGTAATAGTTTCGTTTACGGTATCGTGCGATTTTGACCATTCTGTGAACGGATGAATGGTATAATAGTAAATAATTAGTGTTGGAAATTGGAAAGTATCAGTTTTCTGACATCATTTCTCACATCACTCAATATAATCTTATTCTTCAATAACCCACATTCCTTCAATGTAATGTTCCAAGTGTAACTTAGAGTATTTATTTCAATTCCGTAGAAATAACCGCTAAGGCATACATTGTCTACCAATCATGTATTCATTATAAACACTCTTTCATGTAAATATGATTCAATGATTCTGTATTGATGTGTATGTTATATTTATATTATTTATATTTATTTGCTTATTATTTGATATTCCAAGTAATTAACAACTCTTAGTGAATTTTCAGTTGTGTAATATGAAATTAGAACAACATATATAAGTGAATGACGTTGTTTTCGATGAGATCATCATCAGGCTTTACTCCAATATACAGTAATATTTATATGCATATACGAAATTATTAAACCAATCAAGGCAGTTTATGAGTCAGTGATAACAGTGGAATAGATCACATAAATAAACATAATAAGTAAAAAGTATAAATTGATGATGAGACGACAGTGTACTAATTGTGATAAGAACAATCAACGCTTGAATCAATGTTTCATAATGGGAATTAAGTCGACGGTGTGAAAAATATGGATGTTCGAATAACATTCATAAAAACTCTAAGATTATGTAATAAGAACTATTCAGACAATTGAACAATGAAGCGTATATTTAGGAAAAAGTAGATGGGAGGGGGTCAAGGAAAATTAACGAAGATAGTATGGAATAATAACAGTAAATGAAATCTTTTATCAAGGTTAATTCGACCAAGGAAGAAATAAAGATGTTACAGATTTCTTGTAAATACAAAGACTTGGGTTGTTAGCTCGAATTCATATGGCTTCTGCTATGTGTAAGAGAGGAGGTCGAATCCCATAAGGAAAACTAGTAAGAGTATGACACATCACTTTAAATGATCTCCTTTTAACTACTACATGACCGTTACCGACCAAGTGTCATAGAAACAGATCTGCGTATCGCTTTGACGATACTTCTTTCTAGCCACGAATGGAGGTGTTCACTAACTCCTTGGTTCATTTGTCTGCTAGTGCACCTAATGTAACTTTCTCCACAGGAGCAGCTGAATTTGTAGATACATATTAGATTTGGCAGGACCAGGCAACTTATCCTTTAGTTAAGCAATCATCATAGATCGGGTTGAGAACTATAGACATTATTTAGCTGCATTAAATGTTCTCTTCTTTGCTCTAGTCTGTCTATCCCGTAGCACATCACCAGCTATATCTCGATTAAATTGCAGCTCCAGGAATATTCATAACACTACATTGAAGCTCACGTAAATGCTTCTTTATTAGGTTTTACCTTATAATTATTTCATGAACTGAGTATATTCAGATGGCCATAACACCATCTGTTTAACACAAACATCTTTCAGTCTTAGTGGTTTCCATGAGATTCAATTAATTTTTATAGTTTCATAATAAATCTTATTGAAATTCTTCAAAATTGCTGATATCATAATGAATAATTTTTTTTCAAACAGATTCGCAAATGATGTCAAGTTCGAATTGTGTTAAGTTATTTAACTGGAATAAAATACCAAGGTTTTTAATACAAGCTCTAACTGCTTGGATGCTGCCCGAATCCTTAATAGAGTGTCTAATCCCACTAACTCTATAGTTTACTTAAAATATTTTTTTAAATATTTCCTAATCATTATGTCTTCTCATTTCATGAGATCGTCAACGTATAACAAAATCAAATGGTATCATATGATTGAAAGGCCCGTTTGAGTCGATCGAAAAGAAACTTGGGCTTTAGAAAATATGTTGTAATAATTTCCGGTTAAAAAGTACGTGATAGATACTGAAAGATGAATAGTAGCTGGCAGTGGAATTCAGGACACGCGTTTCATCCTATTTAGAACACCTCAGCTGAATGTACCTGCACCCTAGAGTTGATGTTCACTCCGGTGTTACATACTACTTATATCTGTTAGCATAAGTAGCATGCACCGCAGAACCACTAAGAATTAATAAGATAAACTTGTACAATTTAGTGCTATTCAACTTGAACCATTTACTGATAATTCAGTTAGTTCTTTTTGTTCATAATAACAGATCAATATTAATTTCCGGAAATACATCCATGTATGTACATAAATGTGTGTGTGTGTGTAAAACTGTACGAATCACATACATTATATGTGATATGACAGCTGTTCAACTAATTATTGACTATATTGAAAAATAGACAAAAAAGACACCTGTTCATTATTCGTTTGTCTATTCAGTAGCTTAAATGTCCGTCTACTTATCTGTCTATCTATCTACTTATCTAAAACACTGTCAACTACCAATTACAACATTAGACTGGTGTCATTCATTTATCATCCACATAGTTTCTCTAAATCCCCCGTCTTATTGAATATCATTTACACAGATTTTATATTCATTTCTCATTGAAACAATAATAATAATAATAATAATAATAATAATAATAATAATAATAATAATAATAATAATAATAATAATAATAATGAGGTTGTTCATTATAAGCCTTAAATCAATCTAATCTGTAAAATTTAATCTCAATAAAATAACAACCATCATCAATAATTATGTTCCCTCCCCCCTCGAAAAAAATTGATTATGAATATCCTTTTGTTTTAATTTATTTTTGTTTCTTGTGTATTCAGTTTTATTTAATAAAAATTTCCATTTTTAGATAATTGAACATTGTAGGAAAGAAACTAATTTAGAGTGTCTGCTAAATGAAATGAAGTTATTATTAAAAATAATTACAGACTAGTAAGAATAATTAGTGTTTATATTTTATCCATTTGTCTTTTTTTGTATGTGGCATTTGTGTTTGTATAAAATTTGTTGTTGCTATGATGTATATTGATTACTGTTAGTAAATAATAAGAAAGTGTGAGTAATATTAATATGAGTTTTAGTGGTGTTGTATTCTCTAAGTTATATGGTTTAATTGCTAAGGTTATTATTAGCATTATGGATAATATCATCAATGGCTACTTGATGCAAAAACTCTACAATTAAGTCATCTAACTCAGAGAACACAATCATGCTAAAACATTCACCTGAGCTAAACATTTCTATCGTTTCAATAATATGGGTTTTCTTTATCCTATCACAAGTCATGTCACTGGGATGTATTTTAAAATATTGCTAACACTTAATACGATTTATATTATTAAGCCAGAAGGATGAAAAAATAAACAAATATTTGGTGTTTAGAATGTGTGGAATGTTTAAATGGTGGTTCTAGATGTTGTCGATAGAAATAGAGATACCTTACTCTTGTTACTGACCCTAACAATGCTGAATAAGATTAGGGGAATTTTTAAAAAAAATGAAGCTTTCTCTTCAGAAGTTAAATGTCAGTTTGTTCGATTCATGAGTATTTATTGATTGCCAGGTTAACAAAAAAATCATATCAAGATTGACACTTTGGCTGGATTCATAACTCACCTACTCATAGATAACTTAACATACAAACTTGGATCTTTGTTTACTTGTTCGATCTTGAAATATCATATAATCTGCTTACATTTCTACTTGACGTAAGTCACTGCTAACTTCGTTTATCATTTATAATGGTAATAATTTTCTCACATTGAAATCATGAGTCAACTGAAGCTAGACCACTATGGAAAACCTGGAAGAACTGGACGGCCGTTTCGTTCTAGTATGGGACTCAGCAGTATGCATCCATGAGCCCGCACCCAACGAGACTCGAACCCAGGACCTATCAGTCTCGCGCCAAGCGCTTAACCAACTAGACCACTGAGCCGGCATCCAATGGTGTTAATGTTCCACCACGTCTGTTGTGAGATATCAGCTCACTGAAGACAATGGTATACGGTGGCTCAACTTCGTGGACTGGTTGAAGTTAGACATTAACACCATTGGATGCCGGCTCATTCGTCTAGTTGGTTAAGCGCTTGGCGCGAGACTGATAGGTCCTGGGTTCGAGTCTCGCGGGGTGCGGGCTCGTGGATGCACACTGCTGAGTCCCATACTAGAACGAAACAGCCGTCCAGTGCTTCCAGGTTTTCAATGGTGGTCTAGCTTCAATTGACTCATGATTTCAGTCTGTGAAATTTATAAAATCTCCACAAGCCCCTTTTGATAATAATTTTCTTTTTTTCCTAAATATTATGCAATAAGTCTTTTTTCTTTTCTTCCATTTATTCAAATTAATATTTTACTATTTAGTCCTGTACATATTCAATATGTTACTAAACAAACAGAACAAGGATTTGTATTGGATTTATTAAAAATGTAAGTTTTAAATGTTGTTACTATGATCAAATTTTTAAAAAAAAGTTTCTTTTGACTACAGTCAGGTTGTTTCAGTACATTTTTAAGTATATAAAAATCCAACTTCACACTGAACACTGACATAAACCTTGTAGAGAAACTGTAGTGAATGAGAACTTAGATGGGAGAAAACTAAATTATTATTTAATGCAGAATGAGTGTCTTTATAAAATATGAAAACCATGCATTAAATTACACATCTTCTTTCACTTGTCCCTTATATATTTCATGATTCGTATAATTCTGTTCTTATTCCAGTTACTCTCTATTTCACTTCCTGTTCCCTTTAATTCAATTTTCTCAATCTTATACTGATAGGCATTCGACTTTTGATTAGTGTGACATGCTACTTATATCTGTCAGAATAAGTAGCACAAACCACAGAAAAATTAGGAATTTCTAAATATCAGACAATTGTTTCTCCTCCATTCCAATGGCAAACTTGTCAGTAATTTTAATTTATACTCTTATGTTGGATCGAATTTAATTCTTTCTTATAGGTATATGGCGGTATTATTAAGCTAATCATATTTTCAGAATGGGGGTTTGTGGAGATTGTAGTAATTTAATAGTTGAGTTCATGAGTCGACCTAAGTTAGACTATCATAAGAAACTGCCGTTTCCCCCTAGTATGGGACTTCTAAGCAGTGCGCACCATCGATCACCCATGCGGGATTTGAACCTAGGACCTTCGGCCTCGTACACGAACGCTTGAACTCTAGACCGTTGAGTCAACATCCAACAGTGTTAATGTCTAACATCAATAAATCCATGATCTTATGCAACCTTTCATTCATTGTCTGAAGTAAATAACTGTCCCTTTTTAAAGCTATTAATAACTAATTAGCCAAGTTAGAAATTTTAAAAATTCAAGATCGAAAATTTGTATACGTACATTTTGTAGAATTCAATCAAACATTGTTGGTTATAAATCTACTGTGAATTATAATTCAATCCGTTTGGAAACATTACGATGTGAAATACAAAATCTTATTATGCAATTTTTATATGTTATATTTTATTATGGGAAACAACAAGGTCATTTGATATGCTTAATACATCAGTTTTTTGAAAATATACAATTTACTGAAGTGAGTTTTTAATATTTATCTTCGCTTTTACACTTTGGTTTATCTAACTATTGAATTCATTTATAGTTTCATATTTTTCATTAATGTTTGTATTAGAAATATACCTAGGTAAAATATGTTCATTATTTTGAATTTTTTCAAACGTTACCTTCTGTTTACATGTGTATTAGTGCGAGTATGCTTTGTTACATCCGTTTTTCTTCCCGATAATCCTTTGTTAATATAGTCGTACCCAGTAACTTTCACCTCAGATACAAACACATTGCCCAATAAACTACAAGTCCAGATAGCCACTACCTTCAATTTGTTTGAGACATAGATGGTTGTTAGATATGAGCTTGTTAAGTCATTCATTAACCTATAGAATTTGGGTTTGCTCATTAAGTCTTCTTATAGTTCACCACTACTGCATATTAAGCATAATTGATCATTTTCGTAATTTTAAAACTGACTACTTAGTTAATAAATGATGTTTGTTTTGTTTTATATAACAGCGGATTTTCGTAAATAGTTCGAATGATTACCAATCGTTCTCGATTTCTTTCGTTTTATTGAAGTGATTGATGAATTTTCGAAAAGCCATTTGAATATGGTGGAAGACTGATTAATAGTGGTGTTCATCAGTGTGTTCAGTAAAGTCCGAAAACTGATCACTTGTAAGCATTATTTTCGTTAATTTATTGGTTGTGGGTGTTGCCTAGATATCTGATTGGAATCATTTCAATCTATCGTGTATTGACACTTCAATCTGAATATATCACCATCGCAAGTTATGTGATGGAAATGGTAAATCAAGTGAAATGTTTAGTTTGAAATGAAATTATCAGTGAATATTAATGTGTTATACGGAAGATGAAGTGAGTGAATGGACAGAGATTGACTGGAAATCGTTGTCATTGCACACATGTTGAATATTGAGAAATGGATGCGCTAGCGCTTTTCGGACACGTATCTTATCTCTTGATCACTGTTTTTGATTATTTTTTTAGTGTGTCTTCACTTTTCGTTAATCGAATATGGTGACAATATGCAATGGGTTTTTGTTGTTGTTAATCCTAGTTAATTGAAATTGACACATTAATTTGAATAGTATGTAGTATATCAGTTATTATTTTATTAAATATAAACAATAGTGTTCTGTGTAGTCAGTAAGTGTGTGATAGGAAGAAGCAACACTCGGAATAGTAAGTGGTTGAATAGTGTTAGATGTAGCCCAAAGCACAATGGGGAATTTAGTTGAATCTAAATTTATTTGTCGACAAAATCGTCCCATGATTAGATAACTTCGTTTCAGTGGACCGAAAAGTTGAATCTCTATTAAGCTATTGATTTGTGTGTTGAATGAATTTGGTTAATGTTGCGTATATTTGTGACAAATGTAGGATAATATCTGATTTATTGTTTGTGAACAATCTATTAATGTGTGTATATTTGTGCAAGTGATATTGAAGTTAGTTAGTTAGTTAGTTAGTTAGTTAGTTAGTCAGTTAGTTAGTTAGTTAGTTAGACATTTAAGAGCCATTGACCTTGTGTGTGGTTATTAAGTGGTGGAGCTGTGTGACAATTGTTATTTGAATTGAACTGTTTGACATTTATTGGTCGGATATAAAATGGAAGGAAGATAATAACTATATTTCGAATGGAATTTGAAAATTGTTTTATACTGATTAGTGTGTGTTATAATTTGTCTTTTGATTACTTGTCTTGGCTATTTTAATGCAACTTTTTGTATCTGGTCATCGCTGATTGTTATGTCGGAAACGAGGGACCTCTGCGATTCGCGAAAGTAAAAACACAAAGACTGATATAAATGATTTATTAACCCCAAAACACTATGACGACGACGATGAATACTCTAGAAGATAACACACTCATTTATATATTGATTGTACATCCATTTTGATTAATAATGAGGATGAAATCACATATATGAAAAAGTACTTTGAGTTATAACAAATCACTTACTGCGTATAGTTCATGTCAATGGAATACAAGAATATCGTATGTTATTTCATAATAAAATATCATACGAGAAAAGAAAACAAATACTACATTGAATCAAAACGGAAGTAATCTGAAACAAAACTCATAATGAGTAAATCAATCGAAAATGGTCTTTTCTTTCCATCATATCAATGTGACTTTATATAAAAGCATAGAAACTAGAAATATTTCATCTTAGTCATCCCTGACCTCAGCAATGGGCATATCAGTGTTTACTTGTTGAAATCATGAGTCAATTGAAGCACTGGACGGCCGTTTCATCCTTGTATGGGACTCCTTAGGAGTGCGGCCGTCCAGTGCTTCCAGGTTTTCCATGGTGGTCTAGCTTCAATTGACTCATGATTTCAACAAGTGAAATTTCTAAAAATCTCCACAAAACCCATTCTGATATCAGTGTTCAGTTTTCTTTTCGACCGCCTCTAGAATACTTATTTAATAGTTATTGTGTAATGGCTTATTAAAAGTATTTCGATTTGTAGTAAGTAGTTTGAATGTTTCATTTTTTGTGTATATAATTCCGATGGCAATAAAAACGACATTACGGCGACTGACAAAATTATCGTGAAATGAATCGAAAACATTAAGTATACTATTCTTATTTAGATAGAACACACAGTGTGATATTTTCCCTGTTTCATACTATGTTATCGACACTTTTGAGTGGATAGTGTTACTGATACGAGATTCAAATTTTTTATGAGAAGTAGGTCTGTTCTAATGACAAAATCAATAAATTTAATTGATTTTATTCTGCCATGCACTACTCATCATGACCAATTATGTTATGCGAAATTGATAACGGTCTACTTTATATAAATTGTTAGGTAGGTTTGTAGTAGCATTAGTTCCTAAACACACTAATACTGACTTAGACCTAAATCCTGAAGGTTGACTTAATCTATTTTATACTATAGATGAAACGGGATTCGTAAAAAAGTGTAATTCTTGAACGATTACGACGTACATCTCATGAATGTTGGTTCATAATTTTACATGTATATTTTATCATCAATGTTATCATATGGTTATAATAATAATGATAATGATAATAATGATAATAATAATAATAATTATTATTATCATTATTATTATTACTCTTAGTGATTGTAAATGAAAAAGTACATGCATTTCGTGGGAGTGTCGAACTGTTTAACCACTATCTCGAATTTAATTTATTTGCTAAAATGTAAAATTTTTTATGCGTCTCAATATTTTACAAAATTATGTGAATTGTCATATGATGAATGTTCACTGTGGTACATAATAATTTTCTGAACACATTTCAAGCTCCCGGATACCATTATGTTACAATAAATGTCAAGTTAATAATGCTAACCATCAACCATCCACCAGACGAAAATAAACGAACGACCCGACATCCACAATCAATAGCTTACTTAATTTATTATATACAGGATATTTGGAGAAAAATAGCCATGTTGATAAAAACGTTTTTGGCGGCTGCCAATATCGTTTCGTTCTGCACACGTATTTAATAATAAAAGTCATTCTCTTGCTGGTGCCTATAGCAGATAATGAAATGACAGGAAGTTTGATTTCTATAAACTGTTTATTGTTTGGGAAACACTCCTTCTGTTGGAAGTTCAGCGCCAACAGATATCTCCTGAAAAGTATTCTCCGCCTCTCAGCTTGAAATAGATACGTGAAATGACATGACGGGAGTGACAAGATTTGTAAGATGGTACTCCATTGAAGTTGACGGTTATTATTCATCATAGAATGGGCTTTTTATTAAATGGTTAGAAATACGTTTTCGATTAGTCTAATCGTAAAAGAGATAAGGGTACATCAAAATACAAATTCATACCTCAGGAATTTATTTTTCTAATATCACGCAACATTCATACAATACTGTCAGTCCCAGAAGTTTCTACTTATTCATCACATAATTATTCAGATGATTCTAATGTAGGTCATTCTAAAAAACCTAATGCGATCAGTCATAAGAGAGGCTAAAATCACAAAATTGCAGACTGAGGTAAAGTATGTCGTGATGTAATTGGTGAAATTATTAAAAGAACTAATATGACATATAATTGAGAAGCGAAACCAATGGCAAAACACTAATGTTTTCAGTAAGAAGGTGATTAGTGAGCACTAAGTTAGTGGAACCACTCAGTATTTTTAATGATATTGGAGTAATACTAAAAACACTAACCGCGAGCGCTTTTTTATAATCCGGTTCTTCGCATAAGCTATGCCGTTTTCTGATTGACCGGTATTGTTTTTGTTTCGCTAATTTAGGTCATGCCTTCGTAAGTATATACATTAAGTTGCACCATTTTAAATTTTTCTGGTTGAGTGTCAAGTTTTTTTCTTAATTTGTTCGTGGATAGTAGTTGGTTTGTTGTGTGCCGTTATAGAGTCCTCAATAAAACCGTATGTTTCAAAATACTTCATTCGCTCCTTAATTTGCAAGTATCTTAGACGATCCGGATACCCCCAGTACCTTAATCATTGTCATAAGAATTTCATAGTATCTGAAACTTATTTCGTATTATATCTACTATAGAAGATAGTTATTATTAGTGGGGTCTATGTTCAATACTTCCTTATTCATGGTATTTCATCCCTTGATATTGGCTTTCTGACAAGAGCTATTGTAGAACTATAGAAAACTCTGTTAACCACATAACCAGATGATTGTGTTAGGAAACTGTAACCTATGAATTCAAATAATGCTGGGTTTTTACATTTTAACACTGGCAACATTAGATATACATCATACTGTATCAGAATTTAATTGAGGTTGGTAATTATCTATGATTAAATTCCAACCTAATGGATGAATTTTCATCTTTCCTCCCCAAGACATGGATTATTCTTTATTTGATTTCATGTGGAGTTGCAAATAATTATTGAAAATGTAGTGATATTATTGAATTTTATTTTGTTGAAGCTTCCTAAATTGTTATTCTTTCTCAATGTTTCATGTGTGCAACGTTTTGTAAAGTTAAATATAATAAAATTCCAACTGTTATAGTATCAAAGTGGTACTGATACTTTATTCTTTCCTTACGTGATTCGAAGAAATATGAGAGAAGTTTACATTTAGGAATTATGAATTGGACATATAGTCAACGTGAAGTAAATGTTATTTCTTGTTGAGAATTCTTTATCGCAATCAAATATTGAATTAATTGATTTTTAATAATTAAATTACCGGATGAATTTGTATTTTTTTCGTGGTTCGCTTTATAAAGTTTTTACTTAACTTATCACTTAATCCCCTTTATTCACTTTTGGTTTTACTTTATTTAAACTTCCTTTCCTATCCGTTACTCCATCTTATATTTTTATTTAATTTAAAGTGGATTCCAGAATTACGCGATCGTTCACTTTGGGAATTAATAATCAATTCATATTATCGAAAGAAATATCATTTTGATTATTCAATGATGGAAACATTTAGCTCATGTTTACCATCATCTGATGATAATTCTGAAAATACTGTGGTGTTAAATTTTTTAAAAGATTTTTCAAATTTTCTTGAAAATGATGCATTATGTAAAACAGAATGCTTCCAGAGTAATAATGACAATAATAATAATATGAATATTTACAGTCCCAGTATTGATAATGTTGAACAAGAACCACATCAACGTATATTATCACACCGATTGAGTAATAATAGCAGTACTACTAATACTACTAATAATGGTTATAACATTAAACAATCCAGTATCCAATTACTAATTTCAGTATGTCGAGTACAACAACTAATTAATAGTTTATTATTAACCAGTATGAAAACGCCATTGGCTCGTACAGTAAGTTCAGTTGTATTAAATATCATAATTATGATGCGCTTTTCATTCTTTTCATAGCTAATATTCGTAAGTTAACGGTATTTGATCATAGATGTCTCAGAAATATTGCACGCATCTGCTGGGATCATTGGGTAAGTGATAGTGAGGTTAGACGCAGGATGTGAGGGAATGATGGTAAATCAGTTGATCAGGTTGTGAATCTACATCGACTGAGATGGTTGGGCCACGTATTACACATACCCAACCGCCGACTGCCATGGTGCACAATGCTGACTAGTGTTGGAGACAGATGGGAGAAAGTCAGGGGTGGCTAAATCAAAACGTAGCATCAGTTCATAAAGTCACTAACTTCTGGTCTTAGCCATGTTGGTAGATGGAGGCTACTTGGTTGGGGTCCGCGCGACCATCGTAAACAGTGGCTGAAGACTGTGAGTAATATGGCTGAGAATCGATCACAATGGCATAGGTGTATACGCTCTCTATCTTCCCTTAAACCATGAGATTAAAATCACTTCATATCTTTCTCTCTACGAACTAATTCTTTCTCCCTGTATCATACCCTTATACGAAATCTTTTTTATTACTACTGAAGTAACTGCTTCTATGAACTTGGTGTTCATATTGTTGTGCTGATGAGGTATAGCAGCTTTTACCGATGCATATATGTGCCTGTTCCTACGTTCTAGATGACTGACTGATAGCAGACATTTAATATCACACGAGATAAGTTATTGTTGACTTGTATGATTTCTGAACGGTGTTTAATTATAATTTATTGAGTATAGTTGAATTGTGATTGACAATGGGATCCGGTATAATAAATACTTGTGGTTAAAATATGATCTCTAGATAATCCGCTCAGGTTCCAATAACTTCGATAGAGACCAATTTATAGGAGTCTGAAATATCAACGATGGGAAATTACAAACATAGCCGAATAATTTAATATCCATTTAACTAATTTATGAGCTCAGCAATTTTGTGTGGTTAGCTACAATGCGGAGCAGATGCACCTGTCTAACTAGTTCAAGATAGGACGGAACTCACATCCTGGATCCCACTGCCGTTTACAAATTATATCGTAATAAAAATTATTTCAAATTTTTGACCCATCTGTTCAGTCACCATAACACACTGGATGAATATGTAACAGTTCAAATTTTGACAGACCGGGAAGGGTAATCAACAAGGCGAGAAACCATAACATGAAAACCTATAGAAATCTAAACATAAGAAATACTCTAAGATAGAAACTAGTGAGTTTGAAAAAATAATTGGAAAGATTTCTTGAGCTAAGATTTAACCCAACTGCCCCCCTATCATCTAACATCCGCATCGACTGATGGTAGTGATTGATCTTATCCATTCAACGTAGTCTGCACCTACGACTACTACTCAGATTAACAATCCATGACTTCACGAATTGATACTGCCATCCAATAAACTGCTGACAAATATTCTAGCAATCAAGTGTGAATTGTACATAACTCTAAGTATTATAAATATTTATTTATTTCGGTTTTCGTAATTCTGAGAGATCGAATTGATACTCAGTAGGTTTCAAAATCTTTTGTAGAAAAATCCTACAACACTAATTAGGTGAAGGCCTCAAATGTTGACTGTCTAATTCACAGTCACTTTTTATCTTTTTGTCTGTAGTGTAGCGCTGACACAGTGATTGAGGCGTTCAATTTCCAACCTCGAGATCCCAAGTTCAAACCTTTCTCCACCTGATTCAGTATGACCCCTCATACTCAAAGAGTGGCTTAAAGTTGAGTAAACGAGTCTGTATCTGATAATTAAGTTAGTAATAACAAATTTTGTTTGTCAGTTATGCTATTTCTTTGTAATTTTTATTATTATTATTATCTTCCTTTAATATTTATAGTCCGAAGAAACCGTTGAAAAAATGAAACAACTATGTTCAGCAGTGTATTTTGATAAGTATACAATTAATCCAACTGAGCAATTTATTGAAGAAGCGTGTATTAAACTAGGTTTCAAGGTATGTTGATTGTTTTTATAATTTATATCATTGGGCTCTGATCTTAGTGGACTTCTATGGTGGGGAAAACACTTGGCTTCTAACTAGTAGCTTGCACTTCCGAGCATTGAGCTTCTGAATCCCGTATGAAATTGCGAATAGCCATAGCACAAACAATTATTAAGTACCGTTGAGAATTTCCTAAAACCATTCTTCAGAAGTCAGAAGGAGTACTAAAAAAGTACTACAAAACCAGACCATTTTTGTAGTCTCTTTAAAAAATCTAGAAAAAGCCTTGTTATGGCTTCTTTTTTCTGTTCAAACGAAGTTCGTTACTGATTTTCACATATTTTCCTTAAGTTTCTAGGATCCTAAAGTTCCTTATAATTTAATAAATTATTTTTTATGCACAGGAGATAGCCTTTGAAGTACAGCTTTTATGTCTTCCATCATTCATGTTCTGTTCGTGATATAACGGCAGAATACGTCGCCACAGTATACTACTATTTTACGATAATACAATATGTGACCGTTATTACACCTTTCTCCTCGAGGCTGAATACTCAGTTGACACTGTATACAGATTACTGGATCACGTTATACCAGATACACGATTTAGGACCAAAAGTATAGTATATATGTCTATCTATATGGGCTAGACAATGCTTTACTCAATACAATTACGGGTAATCTACCCTCAGTAAGTATAAATGTAGAGATTAATAACAAAAAGAAAATTCCATAGTAAATAATTAGTAAGCTGAGTGCCTATCTATTCATGCTCAGTGGCTAATCACATCTTACTTTTACCAGTCACATATCAGTTCAACATTGACTAGTCAAAAGTTTCTAAGGACTTGAAGCAGCTAGGAATTCACTTGCTGAAGCATTCAAAGTACTAAACGTATCAAAACAGTGTACAGCAAAGTCCTATGCATAAACATGCTTCTTATATAAGTTAGTAACATTATTCTATAAGAAAGAATTTATATGATACATTGCAAACTTTAACTTTATAAGTAGCTGATTTAAGTTGAAAGACAAAAATAATTTTTGTCGAAATCTGTCGTATACTTTCATCAAAAAGTTATAAAAGACTAAAGAGGTATGATGGAAGTACACTACTATATATATGGTAGTGTAGACCCATGAAGAGCAGATTAAGGTAATGAATTTGTAAATTTACGTCAATAGATTTATTCGTCTTTGGTATGATTATGAATATCACTACTCATGTTATTAAGTATGTTCTTCTACTTATCCCTATATCGTCTAATTCATTTCTGTGATTTTCTTTCCTTGAAACGTGATATAAAAGATGAATCAAAATATTTTCCTCTCGGTGCTATACTATGCTAATACAATAATATGGTAATAAGAGTGGACCAGATGACCGGCTTTATAAAACCACTAAATTGAGTACTCGAACGATCCACAACATACAGACCAGATCACGTTATATCAAATACCCGATTTACGACTAAAATTAGAGGACCAGATGAAAGCTAGAAAATAATTTATGCCACATAATTACAAGAGGCCATTCTCAGTGAGTTCGGAGCAGAAACTAATAAGGGAAAAGCAATTACATAATTAATAGACATTAATCTGAGTGTCTGTTTATTCACACTCAGTAACTACTTACACTTACTTTCACTACCAAACATCAAAATGATAGGTTTTCGGCAATAGAAACCTGATTCTTTGTATTATTGAATTGTGAATTGTTAAGGCTCCAGTAAATACTTAGCATCATTTCATTAAAACATATCAAAAGATTATAACTTTTGCCTGTTAGTAATGAATAATTGAATTTTAAGGTAGTTTCTACCACAGATCGGCTTCAACTGGTGATACATTGAAAACTCTGTGAGTTACTGAGTAGGTCATTCGTTTTCAGCTCAAAACCTCTTAGCAATGTACACACACAACCTCATTAACTCACTAATCCTTACTAACATTTATGTCAGATTGAGTTAGTATTATCATCCGACTGTCCACATTTTTAACTTCAGGTAACTCACTTATTGTGACATAAAAATAACAAATATTTGCTCAATCAAAAGGTTTCTTTTTCAGCGAATTCATTTACAATCTTAAATGTATCCCTGTGTTAAAATTATAAGCATGAATACCTTCTTTAATGAGAATAGTGAAAATTCACTGAAAATAACAATAGAACGATAAAATAAATAAAGGTACAAAACCGTTTTCTTTATTTAAGATCTAAAATTGTAGTTTTGAGTGCTTGCATTTGTGCATTCCCTCGATGTTCGATAATCAATATCAATATTATTAACTACTCAATAATCAACATTCTAATGCATTTACATATTTAAACAGATGAATTCGCGAGTCAGTCTAAGCTAGACCATCATTATAAACCTGGGGTCACTAGACAGCCGCTTCGTCCTACTATGGGACTCCTCAGCAGTGCACATCCATGATCCCACACAGCACTCGAAGTCAGGACCTTCGGTCTCGCGCGCGAACGCGTAACCCCTAGACCACTGGACCGGTATCCAAAGGTGTTAACGTCTAACTTCAATCGGTTAATGATCTTGCGCAACCCTTCACCCATCTACATTTATGTATGATAATAATAACTATAGTACTAGTAATTACTTTTATTACAGATTTAGTTTATGTAGAACGCCTCATCTCTACTTACTATAAATATTATTTTATTGACTTGAACTATTTTAGATACCAACTGATCCATATGCTGATTTTGAAAAACCACCAGGTACACTTGGATTTCAATGTATTTATAATTATATAATGAAAAATAGAAATAAAGTTATTGATATGCTTAATTATGCTTACCCATGTCAAAAAAATTCTTATCTAACCAATAACACCACTAATAATCATTGTAAATTGTATCATTTATCAGAACTCAATATATTATCTTCTTTGAATGTGAATAGCAATAATGATAATAATAATGTGAATGAAATTAGTAGTAAGTCGTCACAACAACGTGTTCAACGTCATTTTTCCACTGTTGATTCAAATTCTATTCAAAATATATTACATACTACTCATTTACATGATGATAGTATACAAAATCAACGTAATAATTTTATCGGACGACGATTTACACTGGATTCATTAATAGCAACATCTAATTTATCACAATCATTTAAACCAATGAAAGAGTATTATAGTCATAATAGTTTTTCATGTAATTATTCCATTTCATCATCTTCTTCGACAATTTCATCATTGATTGATAAGAAGCCATTATTTCCAATTATTGAAGCTGCTAATGCTGTGACAAGTATGCTGTGTGAATTGCTTACAACTAATGGTAAGTAAACAGTAGTAATGAAAGAGGAAAATATGCGTACTTTGTTTTTTGGTAGTTTATCGATGCTTGATGTTGATAAACTGTAAATATAAACCAATGAGCAGATGTAAAGCTTCGTGTGCAATCACTTGACTTTCTGTGACATTTTTCTTTGTGTATAAGTTAACTATAAGGAAAGCTGTTCTGTTTAGGGATTAGTTTAAAGTAACTCCAAATTGCAAAAAATTACAATAGGATCTACTTGAATTAAATAGATAGATGACACTCCAAGTATGAAAGAGAGAAAACAGAAACTCAGGAAAATTTTGGTTTTTAAAGAAGTTAGAATTACAGTAGAACAGTTGTGTTTGTATACTAACCACTCTGGTCTTGGGAAGTATGATAAAAATAGCAATGATTAAAGCAGAACTAACCATTCAGGTACCATTAAATGTTAGTGGTATCATATATGAACTCCAAAATAGTTACCGAAAACAAAGTTAGAAGTTCGCACACCCACAACCCAAAGTTTGAATTTCCAGTGATATAACTGCGAAAGTATGATCGTGATACAGTTGTATTAACTCCACTAAATGAATACTACAATTCATTGTGAATAAAATATCATTCAGAGATCTAAAGAGGAAATGAAGAAGCTTTAGAAAAATTGTCTCTTTATTTATCAACCTCCTCTTATTGAACAGATCACTATTCACTAATGACTAGTTTCAGAATAAATCTTCTTTTAAATTTTTAATGAAGGGTGATACTTGTTAGTGATACCAGATGATGATAATTATACTTTAGAGAAAATGATCCATTATATTGAACGATCATGTGATTATTTCTTAAAGTAGTGTACATTATTGTAAGTTTCAAACTGGATTAAAAAGCATCTTTATTATGATTTTATATTGTTCATTATGATTTTGTAAAGTATTCCCGATCTAGAATAGAAAATTATTTTTAAATTAAACCAATTTATTTAATCTATCTTACCTAATTATACTCCATTTTCTTTGTTAGATACAAGTCATGAACCAAATATTATCATAGAACAAGATGATAAGGATTTTTATCTTTCATCGCCGTTATATCCAATTTTACTTAATAAATCAAATAATAATACTAATCATTATCAAAGTAATTTATCATCATTTGAAGATATATTCGATTGTGTTTTTTCAAAATTTTTCTCTTCCTGGACTCAAATGAAGGCTGTTCCAGAAGATTTGACTGCAGTAGGTTTTCACTTATTTACTGTTCGTTTTTCACCGTTTCTGTGTGTATTTTTACGTTTTATTGATCTTAAACACCTCAAAGGATATTCAGTATTTCTGTCAGTTTACGATATACAGAGATCCTTTTGTATACAGAAGTAATTTCTGAATTTTGTTTTGATTAATTCTGTCTGGTTTGAATTTTGTGAAGACATGCACCTGGTTGGAATGAAACGGCTATCCAGTGCTTTCAGGTTTTCAATGATATATATTTATATATAAAAGGTAGTTCTCTACTTGATCAATGTAAGAAAGATAAATAAAAGAATGAGTATGTTCCAAAAAATAACTTACAAAATAAGTTGAGATGATAATGTTAGTGCCATAATGAATTAGGGACTTGGATGTACTTTTGTGATCAGCTGATCTGACTCAGGTTTGGATGAACGTATGAATATGCCATGAATATAAATCTTCCATTTATCTCCGTTTCTGTAGTGTCGTTTGCTATGTCAAGCCCGCATAGCTTATTCTAGCTTCTAGACAGGCCAATTTATTCATTCTTCTTGAGTCATATTTTGACCTTGTTAATTATTCGCTTGTCAACTTGATTGTTTTTATATAAGCATATGTGCATTTCTTACCTTACTCATCACATGTCCGTAACTTATTTTTGTCTAGCTATAAATATTGAGTAACGCATAATTAAAGGGAGTTGGATCATTCACCGTCTCCACCGTGTGTTAGTTCGTTTTGCTTCGCTTTCTGATCAAGCATTGTACGAAATAAACGTATTCAAAAACCCATTCTCGTATTTGACTTATTTAATTCCTTTATTCACTAACACGAGTAAGTCGTTATTTATATGTGAAGATTGGCGACGTGTATATTCCGACGGCAATCAGCAAATGATATAATTGAAGTCAGATAACAGGGTCACTAAAATACTACCTAGGCTAACTGATGTGTGTGACACCGGAAATAAGAAGCCAAATACGAGTTACGTTGAAGGGATTAATTTTAAGCATTCGTTATTCAGACAGACATTCATAATAGGAAGCGGAGAAGGCGGGTGAGCCAACTCGATTTAATCAAGCGTGACTCATTTATTTTTAGACCAAAATAAGATAAAGATACTTAGTGAATAATAACAGCCTACTGTGGGAAAGAACAAACCAACATCCAACTGAAGAGGAAATTAAGAAAACATGTTGGAAGTGGATAGGATACACATTGATGGAATCATCAATCTGCATCACGAGGCAAGCACTAACCTGGAATCCTGAAGGGAAACGGAAAAGAGGAAGGTTAAAGAACACACTGCGTCGAAAATTGGAAGGAGACATGAAAAGGATGAATATCAACTGGAAGGGATTGCCCAGGACAACGTTGGGTGGAGAATGCTGGTGAGTGACCTATGCTCCTCAATGAGGTGTAACAGGCGTAAGCAAGTAAGTAAGTAACGTAATCGATAAAGTGAATAATTAACACATACTATCATATGAAAACAGACAGGGTTAATAAGCGACTAATTAACAAGGTCAAAATGTGGCTCAAAAAGAATGGATAAATTGGTCTGTCCAGAGGCTAGAATAACACATGTGAGCTTGACATAGTGTAGTGAACAAGAACACGAGTGCGGACAATCGGATGTATTGGAGAAAAAATTACAGAGCATCTCACTAAAACCTGAGAACCATATAGTAAATAGTTGCTTTGTAAAATATCAATCCATCGTCTCAAACTTGACTGTTTCCTTTTGTAAATATCAGTCCATTGCCTCAGATTTCACTGTTCACGCATTTTCATACCAATTGCGTCCCGTTCCCGTTCTTTCCTTATCGACCTTCTACTGAAATACGTTCTATGCCTGACCACCGTTCTATACTGCTTGTGTGGATATAAGTAACCCACACCACAATAATACCAGACACTATAGTACCACTTTTGAACTTAAAAAGTAGACTTTGTTAACACATGTTCATCTCTTCTTTTTCCCTTTTTTGTTTGCCAAATTTTCATAGCTATCTTTTCTATATGCTTTTTTTTCATTCTTATAACTGTTTGACTATTACTTGAATTGAAATTCTTTTGATTCACTTTTGGTATTTTTGTTACTGACCCAACATTTTCCTATTTTGCTATATAGACTACTATGTGTAAAAGTAACTAAGACTAAAAATGGTACGATTTTAGTAAATGACAATGTCAAAAAAGAAAATTTCTTCGTTGAACTCTCGTTGATATGTCTAGTAACACAATACTTTTCTTTTGTTCCAATGTTCTTATACTAATGTTATATATACAAATATAGAAAAGATTGTTCATTGTAAGTAGCAATGTTAACTGGACACTTTTTCAAGAAAGGAATAAAAATGCATACACTTAATGGATTACAACAAATCAAGACGTTAAGTATGTATTATTGTATGTTCTTATACCCTGAATATGAAATACAATTTGATTAATATTATCGGTGTAAGTGTCCCTGAAGTTTGCCGAATTTCATAGTTTACGTCACGAACTAACCTTATTTAGCCAACGACTGAGAACCGAGAAGCATATGCCACGAGACCAAAAGATCCTATGCTCGATTCCCAGTAGAGTTTTAGATGCTCGTTGCTGTGGTGCCTCATCCTAGCACGAAACAGCTATCCGTTTCTCCCTGATTTTGAATGATTGTCAAACTAAATCAGTCTGTGTAGTAAACTATTTACCAGTGTTAGTTTTGGATTAGATAGCTCTTCGAAAGAGAATCGGTTTTGAAACAGAAATACATACCAATAAATATTTTCATAGACCTTATTTGCCAAATAAGAAAGTCATTAAAATACTTTTCTCAAGTTTATGTTCAGTATCATCCTTAAGATTGTTTTTGGCGTCTCATATGATCAACTCTCAGTATTTAATTCCATCATAAAATTGATGAATGACATAAACATCATTTCAGTTTCCATTCATACATGCATGGTGTAACAATTATGGGAGTAGATTTTATTTAGCATGTCTACCTATATTTTCAGTTAGTCTGTTTATCTATCTTAATGGATATTTGTTTGCGTGTATTGTGATAGACGATGCTAATCGATCTGCGATCCAAGTTATAAAAAGAGTTATTTACACCCACTCATCATACTCTTGTTGACGTTGTGTACAGACATAATATATCTAGACATGTGAATCTATCTGAGAGACAAAAACAGTATTCAAAGTACGATGGGTAACTAGTTTAAATATGGTGACTTTTGATTTTGCTTGTAAAATGATGGTAAACACGTTTATTCTAGATTAGATAATAAACAAAGTAGGTGAATGTAAGTTATTATCATTTATTTGCTTTTCTAAGAAATTTTTGTAATTGTCTCTCCGAAGGAAAACAGAACGGTGGAATTTCAGAACATAGTTATTGTATTTTAATCTTTTTGATTTAATATAAACGTTTAGTTATGATATACTGTAAGATATATTGAAACATACGTTCCTAATAAACAACGCTTGGGATTTAAAGGCATTAATTCTACTTTTTTTAGGGGTGGACAACTGAAGTCCAGATGATAATCGCATACAGATTATATATATATATATATATATATATATATATATATATATATATATATATATATATATATTGCGGTATAGACTACACACGTGAATCAGGTGCACAATTAATAGTGTTACTATTATTTTTGTTATTATTACTATCCGTGCCAATGACCTTGTATGATATTAGATTTTTAGGACACCGTAGAGAATTCTAAGAACAAAGAAACTTTTCAACAAGGTCATCATAATATCTATATTTTAAGTGCGAAATTACCTTGACCTGAAGATAGGTTCCTGTTCATTCCTGGCCTTTGAAAATATTTCTTCATCACATAATAAGGGTCTTTTTTAGATCATTTGTATTTGGTTTCATCCAGTCATCATCAACATGGAGCCTGGCGCAGATGTGCGTTGTCTTAAATGTTTATACGTCCACGTTTGGATTCAAAACAACCTCCTTTCGTTTTAAAATTCAGTGTATTATTCGATGAGCTTCCAAGTTGATATAACCACTAACTTCGTTAACGGGGTCAATGCTTATATCACTATCAATAAGAATTTTCTAGGAAGCAATAAGGGTATTAAAATGAATAATTAATTGAGCTAAAAGCGTTTAGTTTCCCATTGGAAGGAAATTTCCTTAAGATTAATTGCCTTAAAGAGAAGATCAAACTACGCCATTAAATGGTAGTGACATTCATTATTAAAGGCTGGATATTTTCCCATCTCCCCTTTATATATACATATCATACGTATCTTGATTTTTTCGACATCAATATTTTGACAGGTAACATTAATTAACTAAGTCAGTTCATCAATAAGTTAGCACAATGAAAAGAAGGATTTACTCAAATAAACTCATTTGAATATCAATTCTACCATCGTAAGACCAACTGACTTACAGTAAGATGAATCAACTTTTAGACCATTAATTGATTCATAAATAAATAATATATTTGTAATCATTTATTGATTCATGTTACAAAAATTTGACAACTGTAATATTTGGGTACTAATAACTTGTTGACGTCCCAGATAACTTCTAGAAATCTACAGCTCTACGATTTTTGAATTCTAAACAAATAAAAAAGATGTCCGTCTAAATATAGAAATCAAATGGTTATTTATGCGATTAAAAGCGATCATAGAGCTTTGGAAACTTAGAAAAATATACCAGTTGAAAAAGTATCTCTACATTTTTAATTTTTTTTTCCCGAGTTTTCTCACATTTACTTTCTATCACAAACAGGTATGTCCTTTAAAAAAAATGGTTGAATTGCTTCTCTTTTTTCATTTGAAAGATACATAGTTCATGCTATTTAGGCATATGGCAAATTAGCAATTAAATGTTGACTTATATGTTGTGCCTGTGGATTACTCTGAATGATTGAACATCACTTATATTGATATTTTGACTATATCAACTTGTCTATAGTCCGCTGAACACAAATGGAAAGATCGTTTGGTTTCAGTTATAAACTCTATTCATCTATGGTTTAGAGGTGGAAAAAAATTGTCTATAGTTTTAAGTAGCTTTCGTTCAACTATTTAGGATTATTAAATATGACGAGGAGTTTCTGTTCCCTCAATTCCATTTAGAAACATGACCTTCATAAGCTCTTGCATTGTATTCTATCAACAAAATAAGTCGTTTTAAGTTCAGTACACAACAACTTATCATAAAGGGAGCACGTGTGGTCAATTATGCATAGATACATCTAGCGAAATGAAATTTTGGTTTAAAAATAAATATTTCATAATCTGTACAGTTGATGAAATAATGTTTGATTTCGAATAGTATAGTTTAAATAATATTGATTGATCTCTGGTTTGTGACTCGTGTCGTGTTTGTTTAATCCTTTTTGGCTCACATAGTGCTTATCAGTCAAGTTGCAATATGGCTACTAGCCTAAGGGACTCACCATTGCTTGCACTATGTTTTAATGTTTAGTGGTTGAAAGTAATCAACAAGAAACTCTACTTGACCCAGGTCTTAGGTACCTTGGCATTCATCAACGAAAGCCTACCTACAGTCTCGAGAGAACTGATAATTCCTATAGTATTTGAAGCCTCATCATTTCCATCAAGATTTCAGTTATGCCTTGCTAGCCAGTGCGAAATAGCGAGAAACCTAGTTCAATCGGTGTTCTCTGTATACCATATCCAGTCACCTAACATAAGTTTTAATTGTGACTCGAATTAGTTAAGAGCCTTTGCATAACTTCAATCAGCAATGAATTCTTGATTCATCACATCTTGCTATAGGTTATTTAGGAACTTAATATATTTAATTAAAGTTATTGAACAGATTATAAACTATAGATCACCAAGATTTAATGTTTTTCCTAGAATAAGCAGTATATTAATGATATTTCCATCAATCGATTGATTCTAAATTCAATAATAACAAACCCTTCAAATTTATGGTCGAAAGCATACCTTTATCTAGTTTGTAATACTTTATGGAAGTACTATGTGGTCAGAGGTAGTTGGTAGAAAACCCCACCTTACTTAAGTTTCGTGCCGGTTAACACTCGTCAACTAAAACCTGCCTTGAGTCTACAGGGAATTGATTATTGCTGTTGGAGCCGAAGCCGCTTGCCTACAATCTTGCTCTATAGAATTCGATCAATACTAAAGACTAAACAAATATGATATGTTTTAATCGTTATTCATTAATCAATCATTTGTAACTTTTACGGTTTTCAAAAGGCTTAACAATGTATTATTCACTTCATATTGTAATGTAATGTGTTATGTATATGGGAAGAAATGAAATGAAAATAACTAGATTGTGTAAATTCGATCTGTGCTTCTTGTCTATTTATAGTTAATCGTTATTGCTCTCTTTTGACTCCATTTTTGCATACAAACCACATTTAATAATTGTGCAGTAACATTTGTGGAATTTATTTATTTGTTTAAAAACTTTATTCAATGAACTAGTTTTTAGAAGTGACAACGTTCTGTTGCATTTTTATCCTAAGGATTATATGACAATTTTTCTGATCTAAAAAGCAAAAAACATTATACCAAAATCGTCCTTTTTTCAGCATAGGATTGTGAAGATTATCGATTTTTAATGGAGATTATGAGTCGATTAATATTAGGCCACCATCGAAAACCTGAAAACACTGGTTGTCTGTTTCGTCTTATTATGGAGCTCCTCAATAATGCGAATCTACGATTCCTCACGCGGGACTCGAACCCAGAACTTTCCGTCTCGTTCTTGTTAATTTGTAACTAGGATTTCCTTATTATAATTGTTATCAGTCATTTACTATCAATCCATTGTCATTTAGATTATACTATTCAATCATCCAGTCAAACAATAAAGATGTGTAGTCTCCTCAAATAATCCTATTTTATTACAAAACCCTATATGTGATATGTGTTGTAATTCATTCATTTAAACTATTTTTGATTTCCATCTGATTGTATCGAGTACTTTCAGAGATAATTGATCATTGCTTCAATCGTTGTTTAGTCAATTAAATATAATAATATTCTTTCTCTAATCCTTCTGTGGAGAGTACAATAATTTTGTGTATAAGATCTTCTAAAGTTCACGTATGAATATTGCTTTACCACTCAAATAAAGTTTGATTTCTTTATTAATAGTTTTTAGTAGGGGATAGAAGCTCTTGAACATTTACTTCAGCAACTATTAATCATTTAATTAAACTTCTTTCTCGTTGGTCAATCCAAACCTTCATACAATGTTGCAATAAAGATTTATTATAAAAATCGTCAAAGTTATATAAAAATAAAACATTTTTAACTGATAACACCTGTTTATTTATCTAAACTGAATGCTGTTCAGCAGTTCACATCACCGATTGACTTTAGTGAGACAGACATTTCAAACTATAAACTGAACAGCTGTTTCATACCAGTATTGAACTCCTCAGCAGTGCGAATCAACGAACCCACTTAAATTCGAACCCATAACCTTCAGGTTTTACAATGAGTGCTAAACCTTTAGATCAGTGAATCGGCATCCACTGGAAACTCAACAACTTCTACAAAAACACCTCACAATAATGAATAATGTTATAAATAAAGGAACAAAACGTTCAATAAACTAGTGTTATCATTCCGGCTTTCACGTTTTTTCGGTTATTCAGTCGTTTTTTTGTTTAATACTTTTAATTTTGAAAATATTTTTTGACATTCTACTGGAATTGTGATTCTATAAAGTACATAATTTTAATTATCACTTTGTATTCAATTTTCTTTAGTGTACATTACACATCTAGATTTATTACAAACAGAAGTTAACTTGTCGAATTATAATTTTGATAATTGTTAGGTAGGATCGTTCCGATAGTTGGCTTTTCCTGTATGCCCATCCTGACACAGCAGTAACATCCTGATGGACCTGAACCCTAACCTAAATATTAATCATGTAGACTCTCTCTAATACCTTGTAATCGTTACTTTTCTTTTCTACAAATTCTTTTTTCTCTAATTACGTGTTTACAGCCTGTTTACTTTGCTGCTGTTGTTGTTATCGCTACATTTTTTTGCATCACATAATCATAAAACTTATGTATAGTCTTCCTCTCTCTCTCCTTTTACTTTCTTATTTTATTGAACTTTTCATTTCACCAACCGTGTCGTTTTATTTTGGTCAAATAGATTTTATGCGTGGTACGAGAGCAGATAAATCGTATTTTGAAAACCATTCCTATTTCACTTGAAGAATTTGAAAATTCTCTGATAAAATTTAATCCATATGATGTACCATCTATGTGGTCGAAACGGGAGAATCGTCTACGTGTAGATATGTTACATAATCACCCGGCATTAATGTAAGTTTCGTGTTTTAGTTGTTTGATTATTGGTTGATTAAAATTGTGAGTTTATAAATTGGATTTTTTGGTATTGTAAGAGTTTGCTAATAATACTCATCAGTAGAAGAAATGTGTTATCACCTTTTGACTCGATTCTTGATAATATTGATGACGACAAGTGAAATACAGACCCTGTCAACTTGGTGTACATAGTACTTCGGCTGGCCTCATTTATAAAATGGTGCTACTTAAAACCCAAACACGGAATGGGTCTGTAAAGTCATACTTCAATACGTTTTATATCTCTGTTTACATAGAACTACACGTTTATCATGATATATAGAAATATAGATATGCATGCAGAAAATGTACCTAGATGAAAGGTGATAATCAATTATATATAGATGTATACAGCATGACCAATATTATTACAGTGAGCCGTGCAACAGTCACGTACATATTTTATGTTCGTTCACACAAGGGCTTGTATAAATCTGAGATGCCACTCGTGGTAGGATCGCAAATTTCATTAGGTTTTTATTATGTTCCAAATGTACAAGTGGTCTCTACAGATTATGCAGTTCATGTATTTCTGATTTGACAACCCATTGAATACCTTTTTTTCTTGACGAACCCTTCAAAATTAATTGTTTTAACCTGCAAAGAATAGCCTGATAATTTCACAGTTGCATACTTAACTGAATGACTAAGTTCCTTGATGAATATCGGGATGTTTTATTGTAAAGGAGTTGTAATCTATCGAGTCAACGAAGTAGGAAGCATGGCATTCATTCAGGGATGCCGATATTTCATGAGAATATAACATACACGAGTTTGAAAGTCGAATGAAGTGAGGAATGTGAAATAATGTGTTCCAGTTTAACTAGATCAATAACATCGTGTTCGAGGTTTGTTATTATGCCAGTATCTTTCATGTCCGACTTCAGTTTGTCGTATGTTAATTCATTTACTAAGAGATATAAACTCAACTTCTATTAATCATGCTCATCTACACATACTAACAGAACACTTTAGTCGTACTTCCATATATAGAATACATAAAATTTATATAAGTTATTTTGTTATTACTCAATAAAAAGAGCACAACACACTGGTCTCATTTACTTTTCTTTGTTTTAAAGGAACTGCACATTTGTAAAACTGTTACTTTGTTCGTTGGATTACCTATCAAAAACATATTTATTGATTAATATATCACATTGAGTATAAACGTTATGCGCTTAATGTGAAATACTCTGGATTAATTATTTTCATATAGATTTTTTGCAGAGAAATTATTTGACGTTATTATTATAATCACAAGTGCGGAACTTCTTACCATTTGCTTTCAACCACTAACTTTCATCAAAACGTGTAATCCTTACTAGATCTAGCCATAATTAGACTAGCAATCATTTCACAACTACATCGATAGAGTTCTATGAAAGCTAAGAAACTAGAGCAAGCATTTTAGTCTTACAAGTGATTGATAATAGGTTAAATGCCTTAGTGGTAATATCTCTGGTTATAGCACACTTGTTTAAACGTGTTCGAGTCTCATAGGGAGCACCTGTCCACGCTTTTACTGAAAATATATCTCATTTTGGTGAATCTCAACTAGCATTGAGACAGGTTCAAAAATTTCTGCTGACTCGCCTCAGTCACAAACTTACATTATTATGACCTACTAAAGTGTATAAAGAATGATGACGGTTTAAAATACGTACATGAACAAGTATCGAAGAAAAAAAGATGTTACAAAACGAATCATCGTTATAGATATTTATCGTTTTAAAACTTACCACATGTCAAAATCGTGAAATTCGAATTATACCATTCTATGTTTACTTTGAATTCCTCATTATTTCAGTTGTCTGATTTGTTCATTTGTTTCATCGAACTTTAGTCAGCATACTTACACATTAACCATGACAGAAAAAAGCATTTTCAATCAGTAATTAACTATCTTTAACATCATCGTTATCATTATTTGGGGAAAATCGATATTTATTTCTCAATTGTGTGGTCTCTTATTTTAATTTTCGGTGAAATGAGTTCCTTAAGGGTCTTGAATTAGAACTGCAAAAATATTTAAAATGGGTTGGTTGCAGTTAGTTTAGAGCAAAAATTCCTTGAATCGGGTTTCGTGCTAGTTAGCACTCATCTGTAGAGGCGTACCTTCTATTGTAAGGGAACTGATACTCCTTGTGGTACTCATACCCGCATCACCGGGTTTCTTAATTTGATAAGTTGTGGCCAACATTCTGTAAAAAATGTTTTCACCCTTGAACGATCACTGAGGGCAGCAGAGTCATGGCTGATCAAATTCTACCGATCATGTTGCAATATAGTCGCTAGTCTTAGCATTAAATATGTGGTCGAGTTGTTTAATTAGACAACTCACAGCTGTTAGATTACAAGTTTGATTACCGCTCTATTAACTTTGATCCGATAATGCAATAAACGCCCCAGATACATCTATACGACTCATTCAACTAAACGTTTCCGGTGTTTGAAATTGAACTTGGTTGTCGGATTCCAATGAATCGATGTTCAGTTCTAATTATCTATTCATTCGATTAATGTCAAATGTCAGCGTTTTCACGAACTAAATCGATCACTTTATACTTACCTATGTCATAGTCTTCAGCATTGACAAGATCTTCTTGACCATATTCAGTGTATTCACTAGGCGCCTGTTTGTTGCGGTCAGTAATAAGTTTTGCTTAGCGAACGTTTTATAAATTCACCATCAAAAACTCTGATTTCAGTTCATCAAATATTCCCATTAAAACATTAAAAAGACAATCTGAGCTAAGCAATATTTCTTTTCAATGAGTTCTTCATGGCTATACTCCAATATATATAGCTTTTACAATTAAATATGAAATCAGTGCCAAGTAAATAGTGTTGGATCGATTTAATGATATGATAATTTGTTAGTAAAACAACGTCTGGAAAATTAAGATGAATTTTCGTGATCGCTTAGTTATCACAACTAGTTACTGAAGCGTAAGTATGTAAATTTGAGATATAAGTGTTTTTTTGTGTTATGTGTAAGAGTAATAATAAACTATTCGTAAAATGGGTTCAATGATAGTTAGATAATCATATTGTGCCCTGTGTCCTATTGATGTGTAAGGCCAATTAGAGAACAGTGAACCATCCACCGGACCAATGACGCATAAAACAAGTACGAGCAGTCTAGAGTCCTTATCGGTCCTGCTTCCCACCTAGCCCTGTCTGTAAAGTCTAGAACACCAATCCCAGCCTCTGCGATATTAATAGTTTATTTCAAACATACTGGGTTTATATACCAACCAAACAGATTACATCGTACCATAAAATAAAAAATAACATTTGTACAAGATTTAGCCAAAAATTGGCTGTGAGTGTGGGGGGTAGTAATTGATAGACCAGGTAGAACTCATGAATGGTAAATCGTATAATAATAGTCCATAAGTCAAAATGGAGCTTATGATAAGAGGAACACGAATATGAATAGTTTAGTTACTTAACAGTTATACGATAGAAATGTATGTATAGTATTAGTCCAGTAATATATCCCAACAGTTGCCATTCATTATTCATATCGGAATATAACACATTAATAAATAGATGAGGTAAGATTAAAATTAGAAATTAAATTTTGAAAAAATTAAGTTTGTAAATTTCAAGAAAAGTAATAGTAACTAAATAGAAGGCCAAGGTAAACTGAGAGGCTGTACAAGCATTTTCTATATACAGAGGTTCAGTTTATTGATGTGTATTTCTATGGTTTCTGCTATATGTAAAGGCTGAATTCTAAATACACAAGGTAAGTTCGTTATGGTTCTATAGATAATTTTAAAAGATGAGTTTATGTCGACGTGGTGAGCAGTATCAACTAGAAGCTCCAAAATAGAGCTTCTTATCGTTTAGTTCTGTCCTTTGGTTAATCATGATGGCTGATGTTCAGAAATACGATTGTGTTTACATTATTTTACGCCCAACGTAACTGGTTTCACAAGAGCAGTTAAACTTGTAAATACTCAAAGGGGGTGGGACTAGGTTATATTCTCTTCATTTCGTGAGCTCATTATTGGGATGACAAAAGAAAGGAAATCATGATCTTGCTGTATTCATTGTACGTTCTACGGTTTCTCTTATGATTATAGTGAATTAGATTTGTTTTTGTTTAATGACTTTTAAGTTAGAGGTTAGGCGTTAGCACGCGATATCGAAGGTTTTGGGTTTGAATCCCGCGTGCAAGATCGTTGCTGCGCACTACTGAGGACGAAACGGCTGTCCAGTGCTTTCAGGTTTTCAATAGTGGTCTAACATCGATCAACTCATGATCTCAATCAAAAACTTAACCGATTCAATTGAATTATTTTAGTGGTTTGGTTATTTTTAAATAAATAGCTTGTCATATTCTATTTAGAAGAGCATCTAAATTATTTGTTTTCCATTGATAATATCTTTCTTTTTTCCTGAAACTTTACCATTTGTACACATTAATCTGTTTATTTTTCATCTAGAGAATTACGTAACGATGTAAGGAAACGTCATCAAGGACATGTATATGAGAATCGTTTAAATATTTTGTCAAATTCAGCACCTTTAGAATATATCCCATCAAAAGGATCGAAATTATGTAGTAAAGGTAATTGATTTTTGATGCAGTTTACTCATATGTTAGTGTTAACGTAACGTACTACTCGTTAATGATTGCTGAAGAAAAACAATTTATATATGTATGGATGTTTGCACGTATCCATCTATTCATATATAGTCTTCATAAAACGAATCATCACCTACTTGGATTGATTTACTCAACAAATGAATTCTTCTGTTAAAGAAGTAATCTTATCAGGGAATCGGAAAGTGATTTCAATCACCCTGTGAATCCACTACAGTTATACGATACAATACGAGTATTCTGAACTCGTTTCCATGATGAGTTTATAATGGAATATTGATAAAATGTTTACTGTTTCTTGGAGTGTATATTGCTGTAAAGCTCATAAAATTCTGAACATATTTGGATTTCTATTTTTTGACAGAACAATTCATATTGTGGATATTTTAGAACTGATTGGGTATAAGATATTTTCTGTAGTTCCAATTCAAAGTTCTTATATGATATATTTGTCGCGACTTGAGTATCCATGTTCAGATTAAGAACGAAATACAGTGCAATTACCTAGTCCAAATTGCCAAACCAGAACAAATGAAGGAATGGCTGCACACTGATCTGTTTTATTCAGTAACTACAACAAATTTCAATTACTAGTACAGTGAAGGTTGTTTAGGAGCAATGTTATATATAACTTTCTGAATAACACTAATAAAAATAAATTTCATTCATGCTTTTGCTGAATATTCTCACTGACCTTGAGTTCAAGTTGCGGACCGTAAACACCAGATATAACACTGGCTACAATCAGAGCCATAAATATGGTATTGAGTTAAAAATGGAACTTTGGCACGGTTGGATAAGATCAATAGTATCAGCATTTCAGCTCCCTTGACAATATTCATAAATAAGATACAAGAAATTGTTATAAATTTATGGGACATTTTTCCCCGATCATCTCTTTGAATTAATAAATCATAATCTAAAGATATTTATTGAATATTCAGATATATCTATTATGAAGTTTTGGAATTTATCGATTATACAAGTCTGGAGTCTACGGGCGATTTACTCGCTCATACGCAGTGAACTACCAAAGCCTCACTTTGATTTTCGATTGAACTTTCAGTATTAAGTAATATTTCGAATAAGTTGACAAACAGTTCTGTAATGAAATGATTTATTGGTATACATTAACTAATAAACATGGAAATCTTTGAAAATATGCATATTTCTATGATAAATCACTAACATACCTAGCCTTCTGAACGTGTGTTTCTTCATTAGTTAAAGTTTGTTCAAGAAACGAAAATCTAACAGGAGTGAAACAGCTGTTTCACCCTAGCTTGTAACTCAGTCGCTCGAACGATAACTTCACACAAGTTTAAAATTCAAGTCTCGCGGAGATCACCATACTTTTAAATCACTGTACTGGGATTCAGTTCTGAAACCAACTGAAGGGGAATTTGATAAGATGTAATATTTAAATATAAACTTGACTGATAAGATTAAAGAATATAGACGAATATGGAACTCTTTACTTCTAACTAGTAATCTAATGTAAATATCTCAGTCCTATGATAGGTCACTCGCTGCCCAAATGGCACAGTGGTAAAATAGAATGTGGAATTTAGTGACTGAGTTTGGAATCCTAAAGAGAGCATCTATTGTATCGAGATTTCAGGTAGACCTTGTTGATCAAAGTCAACTAACACGAAACCTAGATTCAGAGTTTCTGGTAGACTACCTTCAATCACATAACATCAAGCTTAAAAGTAATCTGGCCATGGAAGTGTGCTCATCTGTGTTAATAATAAAGATAATCATCTTTGTTCATTTTAGTAAAATTGCTCATATGATATATGGTAAATTAGCAACTCAACCATCAAATATTTTTGCTATTTCATTCTATTTACTGTGTACTTAATGTGTACTCATCGTTAAATCAATAAATGTGACCTTGAAAACAAATAATACATAATTCTAACTGCTCTCTTTATTTTAACTACACGAAGTTTGACACATGAATGTTGAATAACTGACTTCGAGATTAATAATACGTATTGATTTCTAAAGGTATTTTACCACGGAAGAAAGCAAAATGATTTATCTTATTTTAAAGAATTACATCAGAGTATTAACGTAATAGTGGTTTAGTAGTAGTAGATGAAGCATTTGGATTTCAACCAGTAGGTTGCGGTTTTGAACCTCCATCCTACGTACTTCATTTTATCTAGCTGCTTAGTGTTCTAGTTTTCATATAAACTATGTAGTTCAAAGCTATTTGTGAAAATTTGTCCTTGAAAAATGAGCTACATCAGTGGACTGTATCTCGAAATATTATATGCATTATATGTTAGCGTCAAATACACAGTTTTTAAGAGATCATAATAATATGATTGTGTAAACATTCACCACCAGATAGTATTTAAGTGACTTTTTTGAACAGGAAGAATATCAATATCTAAATTTATTTTGACTAATTACTATTGTTATATTTAAAAACTTCGACTCATGTAAGTGTAGGCACCAAGCAGCAATTCATTTAGGAATTTCTCATCACAAACAGAATTTGGTTACGTAATCATTTAAGCTGGTAAACGCCGGGGCCTAAAAGTCCCAGATTTGATCCCTAGTGGAGTGGTAGGTACGCACATCAAAAGAGTTTCATACTAACACGAGACATCCAGTGTTCCTCAGTTCCCAGAAGGTACCATATAATAGATCATATGTCTATTTGAATAGCCACTGCTTGAACCTAGAACAGGAAAACAGACATAAAAGATGCAATAAGCTTTACTTCTAAGGTTAGTCTATGTATAGAAAGCAAGTGTATTTATAACACAATATATGACTTTGGGTTTGTAGAAGCTTCTGAGAAGCGTGCTAAACCTGGTAACAAATTGTTATTTATTCGGTCAGATATTGGTAGCAAAATCCATCGATTTTAAAATCTTTATGGAAGTTTTCACAAAACTGATCAATGCAAGTACTTTCCGTCTTTTTTCGGGTATCTGTAGACATTTTAAAAGTATTATCTAGGTTTTCTAACAGTCTTTATCATGTTATGTTATATAGGCTCGGAATTAACATTTATATCACTTAGCATATAAGGTGATCTAATCAAACGTGTGGATAACCTAATATTAAGTGTGACAACATTTCAGTTAACCTACTATTCTCCATTTCCTTGGACAGAATAACTATATATCACAATTGTATGTACTCATGAGATATTCTAATAGGCTTAAAAGTTATTATTATTATTACTATGGATATTGGAAAACTCAAATGTAAGCACAACAAGACACGAGTACACTGGGATTCATACAACTTATGTATGATCTCTATTGAAACAGTTATTGTATCTACTGAACTGGTAGAAAACATTCTGAATTGAAGTTGGATGGCAGTTGATGACTATTGGAAACATGCATAAAATATGTTATTGATGAATTTCAACTTTGAATGCCTTTTAGACGGAAAATCGTTGCGTTTTTTCACAACTGATGCTGGGGATTTTAACTTTGACAAAGTTTATGGTACAAGTGGTTTATGGAGATGGTAGTGTTTTAACAGTTAAAATCACAAACTGGTCCCAGTCAGACCACTATTTAAAACTCAGAAGCACTGGACGGCCGTTTTTTTAGTACGGTACTTCCCGACAGTGCGCATCCTTAATCCGCAAACGGGCATCGAACACATGATCGATCTTGCGCGCGAATGCTTAACCTCTAGACCACTGAGCGGGAATCCATTGGTGTCAATGTCTATTTGTTCTTCTTATTAATATTAAATCATATGCTTTGTTTTTCTTTAATGAACACAGACAATCAATCATTCACTGTACTCTTGTCACCTGATCGCAAGTCGCTTCTTATAAGAGACACAAACCAGAACATAAGAGAAATATGTAAGTTACTATCGTCAGTTTATTTAGACACTGTGTAGTTAATATTTTACACTATTTTCTTCAGTTCTAATATGATTGTATTTGTGATGAAAATCGATCAGCCTAGCCAGATGATCTTTAATTTAAAATTGATAAGAATCTGTGTTCCTAAATTCTATGCCTATATTAGAACAAATACACCAGTAAAACAGCTATGTTTGAGATATCATGTTATCACCTTGGTATCAGTGGATGGAATATAAACCAGCAACGCAATAAAAGGACTATTCTAAGCTCTTCCTCCGTTCCTCTGCTTATCTAACTAGAGGAAGAAGACCAGAGTCAGCAGGGAAAATATATAAGCAAATACTATGACGAAAAGCTGTTTAGGAGTCAACGATAATTTAGATATTAAGAAACAATTTCATTTTTAACATTTCTTTTTGTACATCTTCAAAAGGAATAGATTTATTTGGATATTGAGTCGTATTATGTCGCTTATGGTGAATGCTATCATGTTCAGAATATGTTGGATTCTCAAGAAATAGTTACACTACTTAAAAGCTAGTTAGTAGGGTTGTGAGCAACTAAGCATGCGGAATTTTCTGCGTAAAATGTATATTTTTCACTAAACCTCAATATCGAACAATCTCTGTGATCGATATTCTTAGTATGTGGAACATATAATGTGAACTAATTCGTGTATATATATTCTACCATGTAATTATTAATAATTTAATTAAAGTTCATCCGTAATCATACTATTTATTTCTTTTTTTATCCAAAGGGCAACTAAACTGTATTAGTCGAGTATCTTTGGGTATAACTGAGAAAGTGAAAAAAAATCCGGAACGTGTAAGTATTAATCTGACAAACTGTTAGTATATTTTTTACCAAGTGGAATTCGATCTGTTTATCAATAAAGTTACGAAGTGATATTTTTTCCAGAGAGATGTAACGGCAACCTTGAATAGAGATAAATAACTTTGAGGGACTTTAACGCGTTATTAAAATTTCAACATTTTTAGTGGGTTATCGTTATTCTATTTACAATTCACTTGAATTTCATCAATAAGTAATTGCCATAGATAGAAACACATATATTACATTGACAAATTTCAACAGGATGAATTTTAATTGTATCGATCTATAATATTCATGATTTCTTGCACTGTTCTCTTCTACATTAATTCACTACTGGTCATGATTAAGTATCTTGAATCTTAGTGATATTTTACAAGTTGACCTTAATGATTAAATTTACAATACAAACTTGTGCTACTGAATTATAAAAAGTAGTATTATTCCGAGTGTTCATTTGTGTTCGTCTTTTTTTTTATTAAAAAAATCCGGATTAGACATTACTCTTTCAAGTGGAATTATCCGATATTCCAAATCAAGATGATCCCAATGAACCGACAAGTAATAAATCACGTTGTTTTCGAGTTATTTTATTAGCCAGATCAATAATTGAATATAATTATTGGTTAGATGGATTATTTTTATTAAATAAATTAAATGTAAGTTAATGTTTTGGAAATCTGATTAGATAGAATCTAATTCTGTTTTGATGTAATTAACAATAATAAATCTTTGAATGACCAATAATTATTGATACCCAATAAAATATATTCGTTTGGTATTTGTAACAAAGGATACAGGGGTTTTGAGTAGTGGTTTCGACATTAACACAGATGAAGGCATATGCAGCTGAAGAATTCTAAAGAGGGCAAAACTTGCTTGATAGATTCCACTTCTAGCCGAAATTCAACTATTCTAAAATGGATTTATAGTTTATATCACAAACTACAACCACCGGAAACCAGGAATGGTCGTCTAAATATGGTCAGTTTGTGATATAATCTTTACAAGCTCTTTAAATTGTTAGTGATGCACTTATTCTGTAAGCATCTACTCTTTTTCTTTCATAAATAGAAACTATAGTGCCAAAAAATCCGTATTAAAATCCTATCAAGTTAATTTCTACATCATCGTTTTGTTATATTATTCAGTTATCATATTATATTTTGAATGGTCATTTTGACTGTTACGTAGTCATATGTTTGTGTGGTATTTTATTACAATCAGTTATGAAAGAGTTCTGTATGGAAATGTTTTATGGTGGCCTAAGTTGTACAGTTTGAAGTTAATGCATTTATCTCAGAAGTTATGCTAACTTGTTAAATGTCAAAATATATTGTTAATCGTTAAACAGTTTCTTGTAACGTTAAGTTCGAATTCCTTAGTGCTAGCGGGTGGATTTTCTATAAAAATGGTTGCTATACAATGAGGTCGAGTTGAAATTATTTAACCCCTGTTGTATGCTTTTAGTTATATTAGTGAATCATTTCGATTCTGAAAACCAATTATTGATGGTAGATTCTACTCTCAATTAAAGAAGATTAATATTTAAGTTCCTTTTGGTAGGAGGCCTCAATATTTCCTCGAGAAAAGTTTTCAAAAGGCAGGAAAATGTTTAAAATATTTCCATCAATCTGCATACTTTAGAAACTTTCATGAGAATTTCAGGATGTGTTCCAGAGACTTCTGAAATCTCTTAATCATATACAGTCTTATAAATATCCTTATTTTCTGTATATAAATTAACCTTCAATGTAAAAGCCTTTATTTTTCAGTACAGTGTTCAAGAGTAACAGATAGTTAGAGATTAGGAAGTGGATATATAATCGTTCAACTGGATTGCTTATCATCTTTCACCAATGGGTTACAAATAATATGAAATGAGATTTTTAATTCCACTTACTTCGAACATTATGCTAATATCACATTGATTATGCATATATATATCATATGCATTCATTACACATGTCAAAAAGGACAGAAAGAAACAAAAGAAATGTTACTTTTTGCTTTTTTTCTGAAAATAAAAATCTCGTTTTTTTTTTCTTTAACCAATTTTTATTTTATTCTATAGAATCCAAGTGATTATTACAATGAAGATGTGGAGCGTTTAACTGAACTAGACATGTGTATACGTCTTTCAAGTTTAGATTTAAATCAGTTGCCAAAAAGAGAAGTTTCCATGCCTACAGATCCACCACCACCTTTGGATTTTATTTAATTTTATTATCCTCTTTTTTTTCTTCTTTCAATATTCTTTGTGTAATTATCCACCTTGATTTTAAATAATTTTGGATTGATAGATTATATTGTTCATTTATTTCATTGTTTGAACAAGTAATAAATGAAGGTACATGTAAATTGATTATTTACCACCCAATCATTAATAACTGTGTACGAAATTTATCTCACTTTATTTTCAGCTTATTTTAAGTAGAAACAAATTGAACTATCTCATTATAATTTCTATTATAATTTCTTAATTATGTATAGTGGAAGCTTAATTATTCAAGTTTTAATTCATATTGTTTGTTTAAGTTTTCTAGAGACCTGAAAAGAATCTTTCTGTCTATTCACTTTATTATGATTCTTTCAGGTTATTACTAACAGTATTTTAATCAATATTATTTCTTATATTCATATACGTTTTGCTTACGAATCATCAGTAATTTTGAAGTAGATTGCTGAAATCTTGTAATTTTCAATAATATGATCATCATCATCAACGTCACCCTGTTTGTACTCTGCATAATATCATGACTAATCGCCCTTTTTCTGTTAGATCTTTAGATAATTATCATCAATTGGTATTTACCTTCTATCTATATATAACATCTTGGATTGATTCTTATCAATAAGTGATAATTAATAAGCAAGATACAAAAACAATCGTTCTGCTATTATTTTCCCCTTATTTTTTCTGTTTGTACACACAAAACGAAATGTACAGACAGTGAAATAAACTTAGACACAATTGATTGTTTTACTTCAAAAACAATAACTATTCTTTGTGTGAAATCAAATATTGTTATTTTTCTCGATTAAAATAAGTCGACCGCTAAGATTAACTCTGTAATAAATTGTCTCGAATGGTAAATTGAATGAGTTAACTCAAGAACTTTTTATATGGGTAGCACACCCCGTTGGCTACACAACATTACAGAGTTACTTGGTAAAATAGAAAACCATATAGTAAATCGTTAATTTGCAAAATATCATTCCATCATATCAAACCGGACTGTTGCTGTTGCAAACATCAATCCATTGTCTCACATTTCATTGTTCATGCGATTTCTTACAAATTCCATTGTGTCCTCGCTCTTCCTTTCTTAATCTTCCCCATCTTCAGCTGCTAGCCATTATGTTCTTTTAACTCACGTTATATACTACTTATATCAATATAAGTAGCATGCACCACATATATATATAGCTGACTGGGATTAAATAAACACCAGTTTATTCAGGGGAAATAGACCCTACACTCAATGTTTTAAATGAATCATGCAATAATAACTTGTTTGGATTGTAATTTTGAAGTAGTACGTCGGGAAATGGACAGAATATCTCGAGATAATATAGGTGTCGTTTCCTTTTGTTCTACCGCTTGCTATGAAGATTGCAGGATATGTATGCTTTAGTTACACGTTGACCGCCAAAAATATTGATGAATATAGTCCATTTGCTCATATGAAGCTAGACATAGTAGTCAGACGTTTGAAATCTAACAATATTAAGATTTTACAATCAGGAAATCTGGTAGACTTCAAGCATAAGTTCTACATAATGTGCCCTCAGCTGGGAGATAACTTTTACAAGATAATTCATAGTGGATAGTGCTTATCTATTTAAAAATTAGACACCGAATGATGATCGAGATCATGGGCTGTAATCCATCATAAGTACTGAGGTAGGTCTACAATGTTCCCGGGAGATTTACATGACTGCTTAAGTTGATTATCCACACGAATAATTATTTATATCACCTGACCGTCGACTGTATTTTACAAGCCCCTTAATGACAAACTCAAAATGTACATCATCCAATATTAATCCATTTAACTTTTAAACGCCAAAAATAAACATAATTCATAACTATCAAGAAGAACCAACAAAAAAGTTTAGTATGGTAAGTCCTTCATCGACCCGTCAGTTTACAGGCTCTAAAATGCTATTTAGTAGTATTAATAAATCATTACCTATCATGGTATCTAACATTTATAAGTCATCTTTGGGCCGAAACCAGGCAGCATTCTCTTAGATGGTAACTACTATTGCCGCTTCTGAATTTGTCAGCACACGTTACCTGTGACGTATCAGCGCTTTAATCGGATCTCATAAATCCAACGCGAGTTTGAGTTACATAATTTAATCTTAGCAGTCATAATACGGAAAATACCGTTTGTTGTTGTGTTTTAATATTAAGCTACATAGCTTCTGTTTCCAATCAATAGGGTGAGTAATGAAGAAGTCATGGTTAGTTCAACATATCAATATAGTGCTATTCTTGATAACACAGCCAAATTCCTGTTATCTATGCTCACGACTGTACAGAATCTCGGTTTGGGTAACAAGTTTAGTACCATAATCCATGGCAACAAAATCCAACTCAAGGCCTCCACATGACGTTACCGGGTAGTGAGAGCAACCTTGCTAGCTAATTTGGGTGGTTGACGAGATTGAACTAATCCACCATTCTGCTGTAAACCGGATCGACTGGATCCCAAATTTAGGGCTGACTAAAATCTTGCGGGCTACCCGATGTGTATGCTTATGTATATGAATTGTATGAGTCTCGGTTTGTGTAGTTTATGTTTGTAGGTATATGAAAAGGGTAGTTGCGTGGATTAGCACAAGGAACGTAGTGTCTGCCTCATGCCTAATCAAGTCAGCGGCCTAATGCTTCATGTTGAAGACAATAAAAAATATGGTAGCAAATACTACGGCGAGGTGACTATCAGCCATCCCATGCTTACGCTTATGTCATGAAGTACAGGGCGACAGTCTTTGTACCAGTAATATGTATGTAATGTGTAAGTGACAGTCAGTTGCAGCATATACTTTCGAAGGGAGTGGTGATCATTTACTCTTCCAGGTGAGTGGATATTTCTTTATTTATGCTAAGGGGTGAATGGGTGAAAACATATGTGTTACCGGTATGCATGTAGATTATACTTTCCCCTGGTGCGACACCTGCGCCCCAAGACCTGGGGGTAACAATTTCCCTATGAAATCACATCCACGCGGTTAGTTTGTGAACCTTGCGAAACGGAAACCATTTCCAAAAAAGCCAATTCGCTTTACCGTATAAGGCTAGACCAAACTTAACAAAACTGGAAAACCGTACCGTACCATAATACGTAAGTAAAAACACAGAGATAAGTGCTGTGGTAGGGTAAGTATAAAATCCTCGCAACTAATTAAATACTTACTAAACTCATGCAGCATAAAAATAAATAGAAATGTATATTAATACAAGAGGAACGTTAAATATTTTGTTAAAATGTAAAACGAATTTAAATCAAATGGTAAATTCTAACATTTTAAAGATCACGGTTGTGATCAGTGTTTAGAAAATTAGAGATATAATATGGCTTTTTTATAAATAAGAAAGTGATATCAACAGCGGTGTTATAACTTGTGATTTATTAATGTCTCCCAAACAAAATCTACACAGATTCGATGTTAGATAGAATTTTAAATGGATATGCTTTACGTGAGTGAAGCATATTTGAACTGACACTAAAAAATTACGATCTGGTTAAAATATCTTTGTTATCAGTTGTATCCATTGTGAACAAAGACAGTCACTTGGTATCAACTGTTTTATGTGCAGATAATGTACAGTTGACAACTAGAGTTTTCGTAATCAAACAAAAAACAGAAGGATTGATTCGGAAAGGACTACTTCTGTGACTTCTTTGGAATGGAAATGACAGGCAATAGGTCGGAAAAGCTCTTCTTCAGAATATAGTCCGATAATGGCTCACTTAAAATAACTAGTCCAAAAGACCATGCAGCAATAATGACAAGTTACGAAGTGGTATCGTGCAATAAAATGATGTTGCAGATATATCAACTGATTACGTATGATAAAGCAAAAGTGAGAATTAAGTAGGTTATCATTATTATTTGAGAATGAAAAATAACTGGTAGTTCGTTGTAAAATAATTTAACTAGGTATTTAGTACAGTTGCGAGTCATAGAATTAATTAATTGTAGTGAGTTTAATTGTGTACAAGAAAAAATAGTGTATATTTGTCCTAAAATAAATTATTTGATTGGAGTATAAACCGATACAACCATACATATAAAGAGATCAAACTACATTACAGGTAATGTTTTAACGCTTCTTTGGAATGTAAGTGATTTAGCGAATCGTGGAATGTCGAACAGTATTGCAGGTTGCGCTGACGCACGAAGCACACGTTATTACAAGCGCCACAGCAAATCCCAACTAACGTATCTACGGACTTTTCATATGCAGTGTCACCTTGACTTGCAGCTGTAATTCAAATGAAACATAATTGAACGTGTACGACATAACTTATGCATCCTTATCAAATCAAGATTAATTGGATGTATTAAATCTACTGTGTGAGACGATTGTGATAGGAAAGGATTTCCTTCTACATGATAATGAACTGTATGGAAAATATTTATAGATTTTTTCTAACACCTAGACTCTTTAATTACTGAACAGTTGTCTTCATTAGTTTCTTGATGGTATATTCAAATCCTGACTACTTTTCTTTACTCAGATCTACACATTTCATTCTACTAAATTCAATTAGATTATTCGTAATGCATTATATCACTCACAAACTTCTCCACCCAATATTTTCAATATTTTTGTCAACAGCTTATATAGACGATTGTTTCAAAAATAAATAATCAATTTACTAAATTGATAATATGTAAAAAGGCGGTGTGGAAAAAAATAAGGGGAAACGGAGATGATACTAAGAGAGAAAAGAAGTAGTTACTGATATTCAGTGATGACAAATCTTCTAATTTATGAGACATGTATCAGACACGGCTGGTCTAATACAGAGACGGTAATCCGTGGGTGAGTAAGTGTTTATCAAGTCTCCTCTCAGAGTTACTCAATATCTGGGTGGCTCGACGTGCTTAGTAAGTTGCATGACATTAACAGATCACCTCTTATTCTTATGTAGCTCAACAAGAATATATCCAGGTGTTGTGGTATGTCCTTGTAAGATCTTTGTTTTAGACCCATCAGTCACTTGGTCGTCCGTTTCTGTACTTAGTCCGGGAGACCAACCGTTTTTCTTGCTTTTCAAGCCTCAGATGAATTAGCGAAGACCGTTTATTTACGCTATCAAGAGCACTCCCCTATTACCCAGATGATGATTTCAAAGAAAAAACAATCATGAATCTTATCCGGCAATGTTTGAGGTGATGATAAATATGAAACACTTCTAATGATGGTGTCCGAAGGAGTAACAGGCGTAAATAAGTAACCGTTTGGTGATGAATGTGGTAGTCTCCCAAGTTTAGGTTTTCTACAATAGAACCGCTTTTATGTTCATGTTGAATATTATGACATTGATGTCGGCTGACAATTGATTAAAATTCCGGATGTCCTTGAGCTGTAAACGTCTATCCCCGATTTACCAATCCTTTTTATTACGTCGACACCAAGTCCCCCTTGTTTATCGATGATGCTTAGTGCTTAAGCTGATATGTTCCTGGTTCCTTTGCTTTCCCTCTCCTAATCTTTAAGATGATCATGGTAACTTATTTTATTATTGGCGAAGTAACATCTATGGAAGATCTGTGTGTACTACCTCGATGCCACATGGATTCAGTAGGATTGGTCTATCGATAAGTTTTTAGCGGCCTACTTTTATCAAGAGAACGCGATTGGTTTAATGGAAACAATTATTATTATAACCAATTGTACCAGTGATTGTTTTACTGTACTCGTTTGTTTAACTGTACTCGTTTGTTTAACTGTACTAAAGACATTCTTCTTTCCGTTGATTGTGACTTTGTGCGAATTCGGTTACGCCCAGTAACCAAACCTTCAACCTGACACGACCTCGGTATTCTTTTGATACCACGAGATCTCCAACAAATACACCAACTGCCTTTTGATAGTTGACCTACGGGGGGATATTATTAGTTAACTGGCACGTAGTATTCCTGTAGTGGTGATCATAGTCAACTGCGACTCGAAACCACACTACAGGTTCTTCAAAACACTCTACACACCTGTTTTTTGAATTTCAGTGATTAGTTTGTCTTCTTTATTCTTTAATGTTCCATTTGTTTTACCACTACAGCTTCTCCTTCCTTTCAATATAGTGAACTTGGATTTTTTTGTCATGCAGCGTTTTTATTGTCATTGCTAGGTATTCGACATATTTCTGCTTATCAGCTCTAATGCTCCCTTTGTTTTCTTTCGTTTGGCTCTTTTTGACTTTTGTCCTCTTGTTCTTTATTTCTTTAATCCTCCTCAGGAAATCAGCAGATATCCATTTTTATGATGGTGCCTCATGCGGTACAGCATCTGCTGACAAGTTGAAGTTAATGCTTCTTTGATCTTTTTCCAGTTGTCCTCCATAGTAGTTTCATCTTCTTTCAGTAGATTCTGTAAGGCTTGGAACCTGCTGCTGTTTTAGTGTTTCTCGGTATCTAAAAAACGTTTGTACCAAACTTTTGTAACGCCGATTCTTTAGATACTCAGTGTTTGTCACCTCTACCCTTGGTTTTCACGTCTTCTACTGGCCTTCTCGATTTCGGTTGATATAAATTTGATCGATTTGGCTCCCAGTAATGTAATCCAGCGAAACCCATGTAACTATGTGTGGTTGTAGGTGGAATGTAATGACACATGTAACCGTTTTGCTCAAGGCACATAAATTCATAATATCCTCACCATTCTCATGCCTTTCTCTATGTCCATGTTGTCCCATTATATCCGCAACGGAAAGAAAACGCAGAAAATCACTCCAATTAACTTCACTGGACAGTATTGTCACTTAATTTTTGTTTTGTATTTCAGCATTTACCAGCATCTCTTTTTAACCACACATTAAGTTATTCGGTCTTCCTTGCTGACAATTTGTTAAGTGATCTTCGTTACAGATTCGCCTTTTATTAGTCGATTTACAGTTGAATATTGCCATACCATTGACAGTAAGGTCGTGTTTGACCAAACTAAATGTCACGGCGTGATTCAGTGCACGACTATCTACCTCTGATTGTTGCTGGGATCACTGCAGATAGATATCTGATCCCATTTTGTTGGGACTAATTTTATTGATACTTAGGTGTCGAATTCTTGTTTAATAATTCTTTATTTTGTTTAGAACGTTAGTTTGTGCTGGAGAAGCACTTGACAGCATAGCATACCGTTTAAAGTATTTTGTGCCTTTGATATCATTTAGCCTCATAACTTAAAACTATTTAAATTTAACGCAGCTTGCGTTTTTGTATGGTTTAATGCGATTTACTGAAAAAAACATCATATGTTGTATGGAAGAACATGGTTTGGCCTAATCGAATAACCTTTGGTTCGTTAGTTCTGCGTTCAAACCGAATATTGATATTTCGGTCGTTACAACGTCTTTTTATCTGGTGTTTTCTATTCTGACGTTCGCGTTTAGGTCTCCTGATAGGGTCGTCAGCTCATTTATTGAGCGATTCTCAACTATCGACTGCAGCCTCTCATGAAATTGGTCATTATCGTCTTCATTGCTATTATTGGTGGGTGCATAGTTCTGGATAACATTAATCGTAATTCCCTCACTCTTTGTTTTGAAGAATGCTTCTATCACTCTAGATCTATGAGGTTTTCATCTCATAAAAGTGTTTCCGTTTTCTCTGGACAGCATTATTGCAAATTCTTATGTATGTTATGTATCTTGACGTCCAGAGTACAACAGCATTTCTCCCGAAGATAATATTCTGTCTAAAGTGCGTTCAGTGAATCAGTACCAAACTAAAGCCTTGTATCTACGAAATTCACAGGTTATTCTCTAAAATCTCCAAAAGAGGTAATAGGAAAGGCTCAACCTGCTACACACCAGTCACATTATTCGCAATAATGTCGAGGTTAATCAAAAGATCGGCCAATGGTCAAGGTAGTGAATGCGCAGACAATAAAAGCCTTCTTTATGAAGGCCGAGATGGGTTTAGGTAAGCCAGGACCCGTGTGTCTAATCTTCACTTAACATGGGACGACCAGACAACCTTTTAGGACCAAACGATATCGGTCCGTAACACCTCTTGATTTCTCAACAGCGTTTGGCATAATGCCGAACGGATTCCTTATAACAAGGCACACGAAGAGGTGTTTCGCTAATTCACTTCTACATTGACCTCAACACCACTTGTAGAACCGAACTTTCCGCACAATTTAATATCATGAGTCTCACAGGGAACTATTTTGGGTCATCTACTCTCCTTGATTTTCATCAGTGATCAACTAGGCGACATTAACCCACCGACTCTCATGTATCCTGGAGATGCCAAGATATGGAGTTACATAAGAAACTGAAAAGATCCACTTGAGCTTTTAAGTGACCTCACAACAACGGGAAGGTAAGCAGAGGACAACGGATTACCACTTAGCCTATCAAAATGTAAAGTCGCGAATGTTCATTCCTGTAGGACAGGAACAACTTACACCCTCTATAAAAATCCACTGGCATACTTCTCCTCAGAGTGCAGTCTAGGACGATTAATCATAGAAAGCACAGAAATCATCTGAAAGTATGTTATCTTTCAGCTGCAACAATTCTACTCTTCACTTTATTAAAGATACGTGGACAAAATCACTCCAGTAAATATGTTGTTGATGAAGCTTAGAAATACATCTGTCTATAAGGATTAGGGTGATCTGATAACTACACAATATGGTTGGTAGGCTAAAATGCGTTATCAAGGACACAACCACGCTCGGCGAGGCAACCCTATGAAATCGCACATCAAAGAGCAAAAACATAAATAAGCCTCTACATGTTTTCATCAAGATTAGTCACTATTTCTGAGGAAGTCGTCTCCCATTGAAATTGAAATTCTACTTTGATTATTTTTCACATTTCAATCAACTAAACTTCTACCTGGTAGTGTGAATGCTAAGGTCACATAAACTTTGATGCCATGATACAAACTGACTCATTCAGATCAGATGACACAAAAACTCAATACAGAGATGACCTGAACTGGTAAAGCCGAGTGGCTAGACTACCTCCTATTAAACATTTTTGGAGACCTCGGACAGCAGCGAAACAACACGAATAGAACTCAAAGAAATTAGTCGGTTTAAACAAGCTCGCAACAAAAGTATATATGTTAGAAGAGAAAGAAACAGGAATAAGACTCTTACTATAAGGATGTCATATATGTTCCATCACAACAAGTAAAGCGATCTCCATTTTAGTACATGAACTTAAAGGCTTAGTTCTAATCTCGCGGGTTTATTGTTTTATTCCGTTCGGTGAAGAGGCGCAATTTGGTCCTCGTGAACATGGCGGAGTATTTAGCGTCGATATTTGGTACAGAAAAGGATAAGTAGGAATCCCTTTTCAAATTATTTGTTGATGCAGAGTAAATTGTTCGTTCTACTTCAAAATCGGTGCATGCCGCCACGGAGAGCAATGTTCAAGACTACATAACAAACCGTCTTTCGGTCAGGTACAACTGGTTTTCAACTTTTTTATACATAGACTATTTTGCTACAAAACCTGTATATAGCTCCTCAAAATACAGCTCAGAGTGCTGATGGATCTCACAGTAAGCTATATAGTGTTTTTTGGTTATATATTTTAAAAAGATCTGGTTGTATTTAGGCACGACTAGTGTGATATTTAGGTATGTCTTCCAGTAAATATTTTTCTGCACTAGCATTTAGACGTAGAATAAACAGATGGGTATTAGATCAGAAAGATGAGCAGGAATGACAATTTTTAGGTACACTTTTGGACCGCTTAATCAACTTTAACGTCAGTGCGGATGACCGATAAGACCAAGTAGGCCAGTGCTGATCATTTATCAGGAATGTCTGTAAGTACACTTGTGTTTCACTAAAAATCTGTTTGTTGATTAGGTGTCTAATCAGTAACCATACGTGTCAAGTCCCTTGTAGATAACTTATTTTTACCGTGTCTAGTGTAGCAGTAAAGTAAAATCTCTGAAGGGGTTTATTTTCAGTCTGAAGTACTCTCGCTTTTATGGTAAGTGGATATTCTCCCTCGTTGGTAAAGCAAGACTATGCTGACATCGTGTTATGTTGGTATACAAAACTGGCTTACTAGAGTTCTTGTTAGCATTTGAGGGCTGTTGCAATAATGTCTAAAATCATCCGTAGAACAAGTTGTCTCAATGTCTATAGAAGTACGGTTAACAAATTATGCACGTGGTCTTAACCAAAAAAGCGTCCTACAATGAAATACATCACTCCTTAAACGTATTGGTAAGTGACTCTTAGCGTGTTACTCTTCGTTTGCCGTAAGGTGATTTATTTTACCATATGTAAACAGCAGCGATATGATCTATGTTATCCAGTTCCCAAAACTATTTACATTAGTATAAACAGGAATTCGGTTGTCATCCCTTGAATGTACGTATAATGACCGATCACCTTCCATACTCCATCTTACACCTTGTGCCAGTAGTTACCACAGTAACAGTACGCTTAGTCGTCCAGCGTGTAAATATAGCAACCGTTTAAATTGTTAGTTCGGATAACTTTGATAAATCTGCGCAGGTGTATTGGTAGTAGTAAGAATAGTTGACTTTTGTACTTAGTGGCATCTGGGATTTGACAGTTTCACATCTAAAGTTTACAATAGTTCTGCATCCGTCCATCTATAAGTATGTTTTTCTGAACTAGTTGAAAAGGCTGATTCCTGATTAACAGTAATGCAAATAAAAACAACTGACTTAAACCAGAGCTTCAGAAGATTTGCTCAAGTACGTTTGCAACAACTACAGTAAATGCAATAGTGAGTGTTTTAGGTAAGATTTAGTTCCTAGCGAAATCTTCGGGATGAATGCAACAATCGGAAGAGCGGCACAGGTGTTTCAGTTGTCAGTATTTAGTACTAAATAAGCGCCCATATCCAATGACTAAGTATGGACCACTCTAACAGGATTTTTACACCTAGATAAAATATAAACTATGCAATCAAATCATATCAATTGTTTATGGTATTTTAACAGCTGGTATCCAGGCATCCCCCTAGAAACGGTAGATTTTGATCAGGTTGTTTACAAATTACTGGGGGTGTATGTATAAAAGTTGGGTTTTTTAAAGACAACTTGTTTTTAAGTTCTCTGTCCAACTGGTTGGCTGAAATCCAGTGATCGTTAGATGCGTTGACTACCAGGACCTAAACAATGCACTCAGCTATAAGCAACCATAGAGCTTTGTAGATGTCTTGACAATGATCGTTTCAGCCATGCCAGTCACTGGTTTTGTTTACTGATTTAAGTTCCACAAGTTGGATAACAATTCTTCCTGAATTATTGGTGAAAACACTTTTTTATTCCTTAAAAGTCAACCTTACGGAAGTCCAAGCTCAGCAAATCTTCGACGAATTTTTCGAGGAGGTCTTTGTTGAATGTGAGGAGAAGGTAAATTTTTGTGTGATAAGTTCTTCTCTTTTAGTATGGGGAAATAGAGGAAATGAATGTGTGTGATAATCTTGGTGATCATCTAGTTGGAAACGTTTATATAAAAGTAAGCTCATTGTAATACTTCTTACACGTTTATAGTTCAGGCGTGAAGAAGATGCTGAAAAAGCTGTTCAGGATTTAAATGAACGCTGGTTTGGTGGAAGACCAGTTCATGCTGAGCTTTCTCCTGTCACAGATTTTCGTGAAGCATGTTGTCGTCAGTATGAACTGGGGTGAGTTTTTATGTAATTTTGTCAATATGCTATACAGTACTGTTAGTAGTCATTTAATCTTCAGTCTTACATGGATGTCAGTTTGATGTGATTTCAGGGTGTTACACATTTGTCATGAGTTCTTGTGGCAACTTGAACTGATGTTTATATGTACCATATTTACGTTGCGTATGATTGATATGAGTTCTCGTCAGTAATGAAAGGAAGGGCAGCTCGTCCAGATGGATTGGCTCCAGAGGTCTTTAAGGATGGTGGTCCAATTTCAACGATTAGGTTGACTAACATTTTAGTTAAAATTTGGGATTTGGACGTTATCCCGTTTGACTGGTCACAGTCACTTATCGTCCCAATATACAAGAGAAGGTCAAAATCATCCTGTGAAAACCATAGAGGGATTGGTTTAACTAATATAATATCTAAAATACTAGCCTCGATAATTATCGGACGCCTAAGACTCGTGAACTGTGAACACGAGAGAATCAAGCTGGCTTCAGAATCGGTCGTGGCTGCATCGACCATTCGTCAGGTTCTAGAACACAGGCATACTTATCGGCGTCCAACAATGGTGGTCTTTCTTGACTTAAAAGCAGCATTTGACTCGGTAGACCGCGAGATTCTGTGGCAGTGTCTGTCATTGAAAGGCGTACCTCAGAAGTACATAAACCTTCTAAAGGCTCTTTGCTCAAACACTACTAGTCGAGTCAGAGCTTATGGCGAACTGTCATCTGCTTTTGCAACCTCAAGTGGTGTCCGTCAAGGCTGTCCACTTTCTCCATTTTTGTTTAACTCGATCATAGACCTACTGATAGAAATAATATTCTCGTCGACTGAATTCTCGGGTATCGATCTACCAGGAAGTCCACTTATCGACTTAGTATACGCAGATGACAGTCCTGTTTGGTGAAGATACTGATAAAATGCAGTCTTTTGGTAGCACTGAGCAACAATGCCAGAATGTCTGGAATGCTCTTCTATATCCCTGAATGCAAGTTGTTGCTTCAGGACTGGTCTGCGTCAACACCTGAACTAAGGATAGGGAGTGAAGTAGTCGGATGAGTCGACAACTTCGCTTATCTTGGAAGTCTGACCAGACCTAATGGGTTGGTGTCTGACGAAATCTCAGCATGGATTCGAAAAGCTCGTTTGGCTTTCGCCAACTTATGTAACCTATGGCGAAGGTGAGATATCCGTCTATCAATAAAAGAACGAGTATACTGAGCGACAGTTCGTTGTGTCTTAATTTACGACAGCGAAACATAGCCATTAAGAGTAGAAGACACTCGTAAGCTACTAGTATTTGACCACAGATGCCTTAGAAATATTGCTGGCGTCTTCTGGGATCACCGGATAAGTAATAGTGAGGTTAGACGCGGGGTATTAAGTAATGATGGTAAATCAGTCGATGCGGTTGTGAATCTTCATCGACTGAGATGGTTGGGTCACGTGTTGCGTATGCCTGAACACCGATTACCACGACGTGCAATGCTAACCGGTGTTGGGGATGGTTGGAAGAAAGTTAGGGGCGGCCAAACCAAAACGTGGCATCAGTGCTTGAAGTCACTAACTTCTAGTCTGAGCCATGTTGGTAGATGCAGACTACTTGGTTGGGGTCCGCGTGACTATCGTAACCAATGGTTGGAGACTTGGTGACATGGCTGAGAATCGATCACAATGGCGTCGGTGTATACACTCTCTGTCTTCCCTTAAACTATGAGATTAAAGTCGCTTCATATCTTTCTTTCTACCAACTAATTTTTTCTTCTTGTACTATACCTCTATATGCAATCTTTCTCTTATATATTATCACCTCTGAATTAACTACTTTTATGAATCCGGTGTTCATCTTGCTGTGATAATGCGGTATGGCAACTTGAACCGATGCATATATGTGCCTGGTCCTACGTTGTAACTAACTAACTGAATAATGATGTTCAATGCATTTTATTCAAGTCGATTTAACCGGTAGTTATACTTATGTTTTTCATGTGGTTCACAGGCTGTAGTCGTTTTTGACTTACTATGCTTCTTTTGACTAAACGAAAAAGGTTGGGTCTAGTTGCCTTTTTTTATAGCAACTGTCTTCATCTGGCTAGAAATTGTTTAAGTCGTGTTTGATCTACAAAATTCTCGTTGCATGTTAGCAATAACTTTATTTATTTATTTATTTTAACACAGATATTGGTACAAGGAGACACCAAATACATATGCGCCACACAAATCTCATTTGATATGTGTAAGGGCTGTGATACTGCCCGGGTGCTCAAACCGAGGCAGGTGGTTTTCTTAGGGGACCACACCCGAAGCCTTCGACCTGAAGGTCTGATCCATAAGTCAGTGGAGCATCGTAAGAAGATGCAGTCCCATGGAAGCCGGTGACCAACAGTTGGTTCGTACGCCATTTGTTCCTTCAGGATACTGGAGCCCATGTGCACCATTGTTTTGGAATCAGGGTTTGCCAACTCCCCTAGGTGAACTCTGCATGTCCACCAACTCGGTTAAAGCGCCGGACATTCGCTTTTCGTCCTCTCAATTTGATAAACAACACCCCGCCACGAGAAGGCAATGAGCAGGACTTCCCTGGCAGAGGCTATATACGCGTGACTATGTGAGAGCATTTCGAGAGGGAGAGCGGACTCTCCCCACTCTCGGCCGTGCCAGGGCATTCGGGGGCAGCAATAACTAGCTGGTGCAATTGTCTTGACGTTCCATGCTGATCATTACTAACACCAACGTGAATGACAATTTTTATTTGGGCGATCACAAATAATGTGGGATGATTTATTTGATTAGGAGTTAGTAACATTGTCCACATCATGACCCTTTCTATCTATGTTTGCACTTGGATTGTGTATTTTGCCGAACTCCTAGTTTGCTGAATCAAATTACTAATCATAAGGTTGTGTTTCCGTCTCAATTTCCTCCAGGGAATGTACAAGGGGTGGCTTCTGCAACTTCATGCATTTGAAACCCATTTCCAGAGAACTTTGTCGTAAATTGTACAATCGGAGCAAGAAACGTTATGGGAGAAGACGTCGATCACGTTCTCATTCACCGTCCAAGAGTCGACGTCGCCGTTCAAGATCAGCTGGTCGTGTGTCAAGGCGTTAGGTTTTCTTCCGCGTGACCTGGTGTATAATTTATTTCTGTTTTTTGTATATGGTTTCACTTCTGTAAACTGTTACGATCCACATCAAATGGTAGAATGTCCATTCCAGCTTTATGAGGCGTTTTACGCTGTATTAAATATACATCTTATAACTATGCTTCTGCTGTTTATTTTGCTGTACGTTTATTAGAGTAGCAAGGCGTCTAGTTAACTAACCACTAATTGATTTTCAATTATTCATGATTGTATTTCTTGCTCGATAAACAGTTGGATAAATATGATGCTTTAGCTCCCATTTATCAACGCTGTATGACGTAGAAGTGACATAAATACGCTTCACATTCATCATATCTGAGTTCATTACAATTGTCAGAAAAAAAAGTTAATATTTTTGATGTGGTCAAGTTCACAGATATTTTCTAAACCTTATCAGATTTGTTGTTATAAATCTCAAAATTTAACTGCTCTGTGGGTTGTAGCGAGATTTGATACTAAGGTTATTATTTGATTAAAGCCTTTGGCTTCATAGCTAGTCGAAATACCCTCTCTCTAAGTACCTGACCTGAATATTTTTAGTTTAGAAAAGAAAGTCCTGTCTAACTGATTGGGCTTCGAGCAGATATGCTTTCGTAGTTGTTTTCCAGGTTTTACGTACGACATTGGAATTCCTCCACGAGCAAACCTCATTCCTGTACTGTTTTTTCGCAAATAATTATATACAGCGAAAGTCGTGGTACTTTGACAGGAGGACTGTGTATCGGGTTATCTAATTAGGATGCTAAATGAGGGTTTATTTTACACCCAATAAAATGCCTGGATCCACTCATTCTTAGGAGTTATTCACATTGACTAACAATCAGCTCTCTATAGATCGGACTGTACTGGACCTTAATTAGTAACTTACTATGTGGTCGCATGTCTACAATGTCATGAAATCAACAATTCATAACCAACAGAAATAACTAACTACGTTATGTAACTTTTCTATATTTGGTTACGTGTCACGGGTGATTAAGAAAGTTGGCTTTGTATGTCACTCGCACTCCAGATGAGTTACTTCAAAGTTGGTGGTGGTGAACGGTCAACCAGCTATTTTCATCCATGTGTAATTATGAATCATGGTAGTTGCTTAGGTTTTATTTATGGTTGTTCCTTTTGTGATTTTCACTGAGACCATTGGTTGACAGTATTTTGTTTAGTTGCCGGGGTAACTGTCATAGTCTGATATCCAGGTCTATGGTCCTCTTGTGGATATGGAGTCCCTAAATACGACTTATTAGGAAGGAAACCGATATTGAGGTGGGTCTAAGGTCAATCTTCAGCACATTTCTGTTACATTAATTTCTTACTATGATTATATTTAGTAAAAACCACTGTCCATCTGTCTTAATCATTGATTGATACATAACAGATTAATTTGAAATGTATTTTTAGTTCTAGGGTCATCATTAATAGAGCTTTCATTAGGAAGTTGCACTTCTCACTCTAATTAGAGGGCTGAGTTGAAATAGTACCGTCTACTATATTAAATTTGGGGTTAGGAAATGTTTCCTCGGTACTTGAACGTATCTGATCTGTTGTGAAAGTCAAGAGGCTCAACGACATTTGTCTGATGAGGATTCATATACAATTCTTATCATCCGCTGCTTCAATAATGAGGATGGAACCTTGTTCTGGTCAGTAACTGATAAACGTTAGAAAACCATTGAAAACCTGGACAACTGCTTCGTCCTTGTATATGTCTCGTCGACAGTGTTCATCTGTGGATCGAACAAAAGTATTTGTGATCTCGTCCGCTCACGCCTAAACTGTCACGTCCCTACGAACACTTATTTGAACTGGAATATTCATACCACATCAAGAGTGTGCACTATGGAATGCTGAAAAAGTGTTTCCTCAAGCAAATGCTCTGGCAGTGTTTGACAACAACATTGCCGAGTTTATAATCCTTTGGGCAATACCAAGTTTGACACTTGGTTCCGTTTCTATGACGACCGCTCCAACGCTAATCCAAACCAGCAAGATTCGTGTTTTGAAATTAACATAAGGGAGATCAAAAAGGCTCCACTGTCATCTTACCACGAAACCCACGCGATATGAAACTCGTACAGACGTCCATCTCAACTTTTCGGTGACCTTTGTTCTATTTTCAGTACCTATGATCAATATATGAAGCTAGTGATCCGTAATAACAACGGTACTGATATGGTTACTCGGGTACATGAGTTCATTAAGCTGCAAGCTAGTTCAAATTCCCAATGTTTATCTTAAGTCTTTAATCTAGAAAGATCACTGACACCTACACACTGTTAGTGCATCTCCTTGATTAAAACCTCAATTTAAGCAACAAAAACCCTGTCTATATTGTTATATCCGAGCAGAGATTAAATCACGAGTAACTTCTGAAACATATCAATTGACTAATATTATCTCTGTATTCTTATGGTGTAACTATTGAATAATTAGATTATGTATATTTATATTCCTCTTATTATAAGCTTTATTTTGACCTATTATTTATTATTGTAAGATTTATGCCTCTTAAGCTATGTTCAGTTTATTAACTGCTGCCTCCCACGTTTACAGTCACTTTTTGGCTTTATTGTGTACAAATGTTATTTCCTATTTTATGGTGCATTGCGGTCTGTTTGGTTGATATATAAACACAGTATGTCTGAAATAAATGATTCGATTCGCATAGTGGAAGCTGGTACTGGTGTTCTGGACTCAAGTGGACGGGCATAAAGTCACGACATATATACTGATATTGTTATACATGGCATTACAAAAACTATTGGTGTTATACATAGACCTAAAAGGTCAATTTTATCAACAAATAAACTCTTTGTCAAACTCATTAGATACCAGTAATGGAGAGGTAGGATAATAAGTTTGTCAGAAACGCATCAAATTACCATTTCAGAGCAACGCAAATTTACAATAAACATCAATGACCAGTTTTACTGTCATCAGATCGAAACTGCTTACAACATCAAATATATTAACGGTTAGCACTTAAAAAGTATATTTATGTCATTTCAAAAATCGTTTTCTTTTTTTCCCAAAATATGCTACGAAAGTGTGTTGCAACAATATTTTTATAAACCAACCAGATAACTATAAATAATTTTGCTCAATAATACATTTATAAATATTATATACCTTTAAGCTAAGCTGCTTGATAGCAATGAAAACCGGTTAGAATTTTTTGTATCTCGTGAAGTACTCTCCATAATGTAGTTAGTTCGGTTTTATCTAGTTGATTATTCGTAACCGTTTTGCAGTATTGATCTTTAATTTGGCATTTGAAAACTATGTTTGTTAAACTAGCAGTTACATTTTGTGTAGTAGTATTTGAACCGTCCACAGTTCCACGTTCAAAGAGTATGATGCTTAAAAGTAACAAGTAGACGTTATTCCCAGTGAATTTCATTATTTCATACTTAATAACTCAAATCTTATATATATATATATATATATATATATATATATATATATATATATATATATATATATATATATATATATATATATAATGTTGTGGGATTTGCTGTACGTTACCTTGTCAACCGTTTCTAATAGAAACCGGATTGATTAATTTGGATGGTAGGGAACTATAATTACTGTTATAGTCTTTTTAGCGAGTTCCCTTAATTACAATGTGGTAAAATTACTTTAAGCTGTCGAAATCACTCAGTATACATTCACAATTCTATGTGGTTCACGAAACGTACTGTATTTGCTGGCGTATATTTATTAGTTGCGTTCAGTCAGTGGACCAGTTAACACGATATAAGTTGTCACCAGTTTATACCATTCAAGAATATATAAACTCGTGAAACTAGTGTTTGTTGTTGATTTTGGAATTATAATAGTCGTGATCGAATTCCTTACATTACTATTATTATCATTATTTTGTGAAATATAAGGAGATACTACTATCTTCTTTTGAATTATTTACTTTATCTATGAAGTAAAATAACAGAATTGTTACAACACCGTACAATTATGACTTGTTAACGGTATGTACATTCTTGACATTCCTATATAACGGGGGCGAGAAATGACAGTTCAACATTTAGTTTATCGAAAACGTACTTGGAACGGTCTTTATCTGAATTTCAATAATTTCCGTTCAATCAGTCACAAGAAAGCATTGGTTAAAACTATTTTGTATAGTAGAAAAGGATATGTAACACCGACAAACTGAAAGAATTGATAGACGTGGAAAAACTCCCTAAAAACAACTACTTCCCATAGAAATTTATCGATAAATATAAAAAATCTAAAGAAAATAAGATGGGTGTGGCTGCAGTCAAAAAACCAGCATCTATGAATTTCAACTTTAATTGTGATGACGTCGCAAGCACATTCAGCAGCAGACTTAACACTGCATTAGCCAGAACTTACTGGGCAGCCAAACTATTACTGTGTAAAACAACATGTTCAATAACCCTATCAAAGATCGACAAGTACCTCTTTCATGTTACTGCCAGCTGTTTTAATAAATTTACGTGTGCCTGCTAAAGTGGCTATATTGGCCGGACAGAAAGGAGCTCATATCTTAGATTTTTCAAACAAGAGAGACAACTACTTTAAACAGTGCAATCACTAAACACCTCTTGTATACAGAACATTAGGTCGATACTTCGCAATCTTTAAAGGTGATAAATTGGAAAATTGTTTGAATATTTTTGAAATAAAGGAGGTAATGAAAGCTCAGCTGAAAACCGATGACCAAGGAAGTGAGAATGGTTATAAAAACTTCTTTCGGATGTAAATGTTAGGTTTGTGAACATGAATTCCGATAGCTTCAGCAATATGCAGCGGACAAACTCATAAATCATGTGGTAAATTTGATGGGATATTATAGATAATCTTCAAAGCTTTATTCGAGTCAACTTGACGTTCTGTGTCCACCAAGTGAGCGGGAATAGAACTCTTACATATCCTTTCCTCAACCAAGACGAATAGTGCTCTGCTCTGAGATGAAGGACTTGTCGAATTGCATGTCTTACACAACTGGCTCCACAGGAGTAGTTGATTTGTTAAATACACATAGATGTGGCGAATTCTAACCAGTCTGTCTTTATCTATGGTTTTCATTATTGGGCTGTTCATTTTAATAAATATTATACCCATAAATTCTATTTAAAATTATTAATATGTTATACCGCAACATTTGACGAATAAGAATCAGCTAGTAAGTGAATAAGTTGCAACATTTAAACTAATCGAAAATGGTTTACAACAAACATGAATAGCTAGTTAATTAATTTTATTTGTGAAGCCAACGAACTGTTTTCATCCTTCAGGCATATATATGTCTACAAGGAATCAGTCGCTGACTCTGTAAATACCTGCTGACTGAGATAAATGAGGACATTCTATGTTTATTCACAGCCGTCACTTAATCTTAGGGCGTTATATTTTAGGATTATTTCAATAGGAAACTATCACAATGTTTAACGAAAAGAAATAGCTCACCAATACGAACTTTTTAGGTCAGATATTTGAGGTTGTCAATTATTCTCACTCATTAAAAGTTGGAAATATGAAAAAATACTGAATTAGCTTATTTACTTTCAATCCGTATTTGTTCCATTTATCTTGTAATTATATATTGGTTCAACATATGGTGCTGATCAACTCAGTTTTAATGAACTAGGTTCGCTAAACCAGTTTAGCATCAGAATCATTTCGGTATCTTATCATGAACATGTACCGCTTTTAAATATCAGCTAAATAATCTCTTCTCTTACATCTGTCCTTGAATGAGTATGCTATTTGCTCCAGATCTATCGTCTTTGTTGTTCATAATCGATTGAATGTTTATGAAATATTGGCATGCAATAATATTGAAGCGTGTTATTCATGCCACTAAATTCTATCGAATTTAGATATCCACAATATGGTACCTGAGTTTTTCGCATTGGTTGGGGTACACTTTAAAAGAAAACCCACAGAATTAATAATGTGTTAATTGATAGATTCAGTATTTATTACAAAACAAACGCTGAGAAATGAATCAAGTAATTAATAATAATGTTGTATATCTAAGATGAAATATGTACATGTTAGATTTGTTTAAGATAGGTACTTTATTTTCTAAAACAAAAACGTAAGTTGTTTTAATTTATATTATACGAAATATACTACTACTAATAATAATGCAAGAGCAAAAATCAAAAATGAATACTTCACATAAGATTATTAAATTATAAGTATCCTAAATCCAAAGCGTGATTTAAAGCATTTAAATCCGAATGAGTATTTATTCTCCAAAATGGCCAGTGGAACTAAAATTTTCAAAATAAAATAAAAAAAACAGGTTTTTCAAAAAATTCTTCCCATCTGTATAGGCATGTTATTAAGTGTGTAATTCATTTAAAGTATAGGAAGAGGTTTTGTGGAGATTTTGGTAATTTCAATAGTTGAAATCATGAGTCGATTGAAGCTAGACCACCATGTAAAACCTGGTAACACTGAACGGCCGTTTCGTCCTAGTATGGGACTCCTCAGCAGGGCGCATCCACCACTTCGCTTCGAGATATTCGAACCCAGGACTTATCAGTCTCGTGCGTGAGCGCTTAACCACTAGACCACTAAGCCGGCACAAATGTCGTTAATGCCCAACTTCAACCAATCTACGAAATTGAGCGACGTATCCACCACTGTCATCAATGATTTACTATCTCACAACATACCCAGTTGAACTCTACTGGTCACTGCTTCTCACTAGAACTCCAGGATATACCTCTTGAAGATTAAAATGTAATCAATAATCATTCTATTCATTTTAAGTTGTTGAAGCTTTCACTTCTATTAAGATTTTTGATTTGTAAACTAAAATGAGATCAAATTGGATAGTTCACACGGAATCCTCAAGATCAAAGGAAAAGAGGAAGACCAATGAGCACATTAAGTCGGGAAATGGAGACAGACATGAGAAAAATGAACAAAAACTGGATAGAACTAGAAAGGAAGACCCAGGACAGAGTGGGTTGGGGAATTCTGGTCGGGGGTCTATGCTCCATTTGGGAGTTGTTGTTGTCAACTGATATATATACATTTGACAGGTTCAATCATTTCTTTCAAAGATATCTAAATTTAGGCAATGAAATGTGTCATTTCTTCCATGCGCATTTTGAATGTGATATTAAGATATGAATTGTAGAAATTTTTAAACAGTTTATTAGCACGATTTTTATCGTTATAGGTTAGATAAAATATAGTCTCCTAGATAGCAGTCAGGAATTTTGTTCTCTTGAGATTTTCAACGAATATACTACCACGACCAGGTTCCTAAAGGCTCCACATAGACATTTCGTCTCCTTGACTGTAACATCTTTTATTGAGTTAGATTTAAGCATTTCTAACATAGTCCGACTAACTGTTTGAGTTTTTAATAAGATCATGATCTTCAGTATTCTGGAACTACAACCCCAAATATTGTTATCGAATCTTGGTTTTATTGCAAAATTTTTCGAACAATTTACTTTTCACTATTGAACAATTGACATATTGCAATAAAATGTATTTGATTATTTTAAATGAATTACACTTAATAACTTTCATATGCTTTAGGAGAAACCATTGAAATACCCAATGAACTCATTTTATACTTCAAACATCGTTGTTACTTCAGCAAGGGTTTGTAATTTCCTATCATCGATCTCTTAGATTTAATATGTTTAGTCTCGGTTAGTATGTATGCATGCTGAACGGATCGCGTAAATAGTGAAATTAGATCACAAGTTTTGCTAGAGTTGAATTTTTTACTAGCATTACAATCTTAAATGTCCATTTCGTCCTATCTTAGAAATTGCTGACTGAATATAATGACATCTGTGTTGATGTTCACACTAAAACTCGAGTCTAGTACACATTGTTTCTTTATTGCAATATTTGGACAGATTACTTCAAGTTTTCACTAATATTGCTTACTTACTTACTTACGCCTGCTACTCCCAATGGAGCATATGTCATCACTAATATTGGAGTATATATGTTAGAAAATTTGAAAGTAATTAGTTAATGCGTTTGTTCAATAGGAAATTTGAGCTTTTTGATTTCGATGCATCAGTATGAATTCTAATGTACTTGTATCATAGAAGACAAACGAGTAGAAAGTTATGAATAGAATAGATTATTTATATTTGATAAAATAACACTTGATAGTTTCACCCAAGATTTCGGATGACTGTTCTCATTGTTATCCCCATAATAAATTCGGAAGATAAACCACTAACCTAACATGCAGGTATCGAGTACCTAAGAAAAACAGTGTAATTTTTTTTTGAAGAGTCTGGAAAGGAATAGTGAAGGGGACTAGATGGGAATAATACAGAAAAAACAGCCAACTTTCAAGTTTACAAAGTTGGATTTTCAATAACTGAATGCAGGAACTTAATCATAACTTGTAATATACGAATCATAATTATAATTTTGTGAAAGTAGAAAGATTTTCATCAAAATGTATACCCACAATCAGACGATTACTGATTCACACATAGCTCAATAGATATAGTTGCAAAACCTTATTGCTAGTTGTCTGTCACTAACAAATTATAATTTATTCACTAAAATAAATTAACCTGTTTTGCAGCGTCTTCTTCTTCTTTACCATCTCCGATAACTACGTAAGTGCATTTTCTTCCAAATCTTGATGCGATTCGTTCAAAACAATTCTCTTTACCTATTTCGATACAAAAATATTCATTTAGGTATCCATATACATCTGTTATCAGCAACGAGGTTTCTATATATATATTTGAATAGTGGCTAACAGTGAGATCCAGGAAATGTGCTTCATTCTGTTTGGTACTCATCAGTTGGATTTACCTGGATAAATAATGTGTCTCATGAACCCAGTTTCTAATGTGTTGTCATTTGAAGCAAAGGGTACTGGGTTAAGCTTTTGTATGAACATTAATACTAGATAAGGGAACACCTAAAATATGACCAGTTTATAGATACAGATATTATTTAAGAATACTTTTAACGAGCTCATATCCATTGGTGAATATCAATGATAAAGGAATTCGAAAAGTACAAATGATGATACAATACGCTCAAAATTCATTTAATCTAAATTCCGAATTTATGAATATAATATCGAATAGATGGAGTTATATGTTACATGTTCGTTACTGTTCGATCTTTTACTAAGATTACTGTCACAAATAGATTTATACTTCGATAAAATAGTATGTATATTTTAACCAAGTACGTAATCCTTGGATGAAGACAATTCAAGTAGCTGATACTATTCTTATAAACAGTACATCATTGAGAAAATTTAGTAATTTACGAGATGGATTTTGGTAATATTGTTATTTATTGCAGATAGATAGGGATTCAGCTGATTTTCCAATTACGGGTTCTTGTACTCGGTACTGAGCTACAATTCATGTGTGAAGGCAAGCAGTACTACCTGGATTCTCAAAACGAATTATGTGTTTCGAGTCTTGAATCTCTTATCTTATGGATGGTGGTTCTACGCCTTCCTTAAACTACATTAGTCGAACTTCCTTTACAATGAAACAAACTGTTCGAATTTCGTCAAATACTTTAATTCATTCGTATCTTATTACATGATCTGTTTCACACTCAGCTACTACATTGTCAGCTTGTTAAGAACTTAAATTTTGTTCCAGAAGTAATCATTTTACTAGGTTGCATACGTAACAAGTTCACTTTTCTGTGTACTTTCCAGCAAATCTAAACATGTTTCAAACTTAGTTTGAGTTGTTCAGATGTATTCACGTTTGATATCCCTCCAAATATAAGTGTGTACTCTTCAGTTCTCTTAGTTTATTCTTTTTTCAAGCTGCATCATATGTCGTAGCTATCACTAATGCCGATAAAATTTCTTCGACTTCTCTATTTTTTATCTTGTTAATTCCTCTCGTTGTGATTAAGCCAAGTCGAGTTGATACTAATTTTTCCAAGATGCTATGTTATTTTTAACTTACTAATTTAGATTCAGAAACCTCTCTTCGATACGTTGAGTATCTATAACTTATAAAAATGAGAAACAAGCCTTTTTTAGTGATAGATAATAATGCTTCCTATATGTGACTTGTCAGCTGGTCACTTTGAAACCTCACATGCTGCTTTTTCCTTTGATATCTGGAACTAGTTAATATAACTCATGAGGAACATGTTGATGTACTGGGACAGTATCAATAAATTTGTGTAATGGCTAGTGAAACGATCCAGCTAGCTGGATTAAAATAGGTCGAGAGGAATTCGCATCTACAGACAACTGGTTGAAAACCGATTGTTTCACACACCAAACCACTACTTCACTTTGAATCCAATAGTTATCATTTTCCTAATGCCTTGGTACCATCCATTGAGTTGTTGGTCTACTAAAGTCACCTCCATAGAGGAAGACTTTATTACTCTCCAAAAACTTTATGAGACCATATATTCTATTACTATTTATTGATAGATAAAAAATGACTGAATACTTGCTGGTAAATATAGTTGATTATTGAGTTATAATAGAGAAGTTATTTTGTATCAAATTTACTCAGTTCTGCAGATGCATTTATAAGATTTAGTCATTCTTAATAGCATCAATAAAAATTAATAACAACTAGTCTAGTAAAGATGTACTGTCAAATATATAGATAGTCTTAATTCTATTAACAACAAAACATAATAACAGCAGTATGCAAGGGTTCGAGCTGTGCTATAAAAAACTCCTAACTAAAGGCAATGAACGAAGCAGTCTGCACAAGACGAACATGAACCAAATGGATTCCACAATATTAACAACTCAAGAATCTAAACCTTTACATATGTATAACTTCATACTTACTGAACAAATCTAATGGCTATCTGAACTCAATAGAGACCTCATTCATATTTGAAGCGGAAGATATTAGATTCGGATTTCAGTATGAACACCAACACTGGTATCTACTTACACTCAGTTGATGAGGCCCATGCAAGATGAAACGTGTCTTCTGACTTTACTAACCATTCAAATTAAATGTGTATACAAAAATACTTTTAATATTTACAAATGATTTGAAACTTACCAACTTTTGTAGCAGAATAAATATTTTCAATTTGAAATGAATTACCATATCCATATAGTAAAATTTTTGCTAATGATGGTATAAATTGTGTTGTTGTTACTAATATATTAACACTATCTTCACGATTATTAATTTTTTCTGTTGCTTTTATAGCCATACTTAACCAATGATCAGTTAATATATCCAAATTATTTTTTAAGTGAATCCATTGATTTGCTTTAGGATAACCTAAAAGTACACTAACATTATGTCTAAGAAATTAAGAGAGAGGGAGAGAGGAAATGTGTAGATAATGTGCATGTTTGAAGGAAGTAATGTTTATTTTAAAATAAATTTTTTTAATAGTTAAATTCATGAGACCATTTCATCTTTACTATGGGATTGGTTTTTAATAGTGACTTGGCTTAAATCGACTCATTAATTCAACCATTAAACTTACTACAATCTCTACAATCTCCTATTCTGAAAATAAGATTTTTTAAATAAAAAAGGTTTATTTTGATAACCTTTTACAATGAACTGTATACTCTGATAGTTCTGAACTCAATCCTGTATGAGATTTTTTCTGTGTAGTGAATAATAAATAATTCCATTGAATGTTAGGTGGTTCGAAATAGTTGAGAGGATACTCTGAATCAAGGTAGTATATCAGTCAGGACTTGTCAGTAAGGGTCGCCTGAAAACTTGAGAGAAGAGTACTCCTTGTGAGATAAGTGACCGTGTGATGGACTACCACTGTGACTGGAGTTTTGTGGTTTTTAATAATCCTATAAGTGGTTCCAAACTATAACAAAATAACTACGGTGTGATTTTTAGCTCATATAACTTCGTAATAAATATGTGTGACGTTTCTTCAAATAATCTAATCAGTGAAATTACTTTTATAGGGTCCTGTGAAGGTTGTTGAATTTTAAATTAAATGTTCATTGTAAAGCCCAAAGTTAGTGAGATGGATTCCTGAAAAAGTCATGGATGCAGGCTACAGATGAGCTCTCTAATAGGACGAAATGGCTGTCAAATGCTACCTGGTTTTCAATGGTTATCTAACCAAAATCACTATTTGATGCGAAACTTCGAATAATAATAATACTTTTTAATCATCTAATTACAATCCAAAAGTCGAATAAAAAGAGCAAACACATGAATTTACTCTATTTAACTATTTTGTAACAGTTAGTTACTTGTAACCAATAAATATGCTAAAATAAGATAGGAAATATTATACTTTAATTTAATTACTAGAAATCATTCTGTAATGCAGTTCAATAAATATTCGACAATACGATGAACGATAAAGTTAGTAAGCAAATAAATATCAAAACAAATACTAAATTTTACTGGTTAAGATCATGAGTCAATTGAAGCTAGACCATCATGGAAAACCTGAAAGTACTAGACGGCCGTTTCGTTGTAGTATGAGACTCTTCAGCAGTGAGAATACACGATCCCGCTTCGTGATATTGGAACGGTGTTAATGTCTGACTCCAACTAATCCCCGAAATGTAGAGACACATTCACTATTGTTTTCAGTAAGTTACTATCTCACAACAGACCTGGTTGAACTTTACTGATCACTGCTTCTCACTAGAACTCCAGGAAATACCTCTTGAAGCCAGTCACTAGTGAGTACATGTTGATTCATATCAGAAGCGTTTGACTCATGATCTCAATTACTGAAATTACTATAATATCCATGAAAACCCTTCTGATACAAATACTAAAATTATAGTAACATGTATTTTGTAAAATGATTAAGTATTAGGTTAGGTTTAGAGCTATGATTAGTCTATATAATGTTAAGGGATTATAACCTCCAGCTGAAAAACGACCTATAATATACAGATGGACAAATACTTAGATCGTTAAAACATTTGGAAAAATTCCAAGAAGCTATGAAAACTCATTAATCAAGTTCAAATACTGTATACATTTTAATTTTACTTGGTCAGTATAACTTTTTCATTAAAAACCATTTTCTCAAGTTGCTTTCTAATTGGCTGAGAATGAACTTCCCCTTCTTAGGGTCTGTTTTGTCATGACGTATTACTGAATTTCTCTGCTAAAATATTTATCATTTTATTCTGAAGATCATTATAAATTTATAATTTATTACGGGAGCATTTGGTCGTTATGGGCTTTTAGTATTTAATGTTGTGAATATATACAAAACAAAATAAAATGAAAGTTATAACAATGTGAAAATCAAGTATGTGACATATTTTAGGGAATATTGACAATATTAACAGAGAAAGCATTTAAGATGTCTGAGGGTTAAGTTGGAGTATTCCGTTAATTCAAGCAGGAGGTATTCAGTAAGATTATTATTTTTAACATTTCTACTAGAAAATAACCAAGAATAACTCGGCCTGAAGTCCTAATAAGCTTACTGTAGGTCCCGAGGCAGGGTAAAGAATGGGGATTGGTTGGCAACCCCATCCCATTAAAAACCTTGCTAGAATACACTAACCATAAAAACCACTTTAAGTAAATAGGATTGTTAAACTGAGAAGCTAATTAGTTTATATGCCTAAATTCACGAACTTAAAATGTCTTTGCTTTAGAAGTACCAAGAACATTTTTTGATATTCCAGATAAGATCAGTCATTTCTATTTTTGTTGATTTTTTCAATTAGTTATTAGCTCAGCGGATGGAAGTATAAATCTAAAGACAGGAGTACATAATCGGTTAGTTATGTAGGAATAAGTGTAAGAGTTAAGTAATTTAGAAATTAAACTGTTGATAATAATGTATGGTGTTATTTATAATATTAATTATATGTACTTAGTAAGAAGAGTGCAAAGAAAATCATATAGTCAGATTATTAAGATAGGTAGATTACTTGAAAATAGAACCAGTGTTTAAAATTGAATGAAAGCGAAAACTATTAGGAACGTAAGAGTAACTAAGTAGAGGGTCAGGGTAAATATAGAGACTGGGTGAAAAACTTCTGTTTATAAAATTTTATGAGCCATCAATATGTGGTATTAATTGATGCCTAATTGTATATCAGTTTAGAGCCTTGACTGGGAACTACTGAAAAGAAATATTTCTCTGCTCACTGTATGCTTTTTAATTCATGTGTGACTGAATTTTAGGTTTATGTATCAAATCTACTTTTTATACTTTAGATTATTTCTGATGGACAGTGGAATTTTGTAAAAATATTTGCGACTTAGTGACATTAACGAGGCAATCCACACAATGTACCAAAAAACACTTATCAACTGCAGTTCTAAACATCAATGCCAAGATCCTAACAACCAATACATATTATTCACTTTACTACTGTTGCAATAATAAGTAATATGTAGCGTTAAAGCAAATTTTACTTCCATTACTTCCATAAACTCCGTGTGAAATCATTATTACTCACTTCATTGTTTATTAAGCACTAATATTTTCCAATAAAACAATGTATTTGAAAAGCTTTTCTACCGCCGATAATTTCAGGTTGAAGAAGCTACAAATCCAAGATTTGCGAAAATGCGTGGCTACATATTTTATAAGTTAAAATCAAATAGAAACAAGCTTACTATCAATTTCATGTCCGTTAATGTATCCGGTAAGTTACACAAATAAAACAGAACACACATTTGGTTATCGCTTTATCACTTAACTTCAGATAATTAGCCAATGCATATATTTAGCCTTCATAAATCATCTTTATCTACGTATAACATCATGAACGTCTACCTAATTTCTTAGGACGCAGTTTTTGGAATTTAAATTACAAGTTCACTGGTATATTCAAGATTAAATTTGAAGTAAAAGATTTTCATACGCCAAATCTGATTAGCTGAGGTGAAAAATGTAAAGAACTGAATAACAAATCAGTGGTTTTTAGGTTGAATATCGGCCGTGTGACCTGAAGGTTCCATTTTTAATATGTGGTAATATTATGCTTTGCATCGCTGAGAAGTCATATAATCGGATGAAAAAACAGCCATTCAAGATGTCATAGTTTCAAACAGCTGTCTAGCTTGAAATATTCCACAACGTAAAATTATAAATTTAAAAACTCCTACAAAACTTCTGTGCTAATAATAAATAGTTCTGAAGAAGTTTCATGAAGATGAGTGTAATTCAAAAATACGTGACCCATATAATAGATCTTGTATTAGATTTTCCTAAAGAAATGAAAATTTGTCGGTCTATTTGAATAGTTACTGCTTGAATCTAGAACAGGAAAACAGACATAAAAGATGCAATAAGCTTTACTTCTAAGGTTAGTCTATGTATAGAAAGCAAGTGTATTTATAACACAATATATGACTTTGGGTTTGTAGAAGCTTCTGAGAAGCTTGCTAAACCTGGTAACAAATTGTTATTTATTCAGTCAGATATTGGTAGCAAAATCCATCGATTTTAAAATCTTTATGGAAGTTTTCACAAAACTGATCAATGCAAGTACTTTCCGTCTTTTTTTCGGGTATCTGTAGACATTTTAAAAGTATTATCTAGGTTTTCTAACAGTCTTTATCATGTTATGTTATATAGGCTCGGAATTAACATTTATATCACTTAGCATATAAGGTGATCTAATCAAACGTGTGGATCACCTAATATTAAGTGTGACAACATTTCAGTTAACCTACTATTCTCCATTTCCTTGGACAGAATAACTATATATCACAATTGTATGTACTCATGAGATATTATAAAAGGCTTAAAAATTATTATTATTATTACTATGGATATTAGGAAACTCAAATGTAAGCACTGCAGTTGTTATAATATATTTCTTCGTGTCTGCTGTTTGAAACAACAAGACGCGAGTACACTGGGATTCATACAACTTATGTATGATCTCTATTGAAACAGTTATTGTATCTACTGAACTGGTAGAAAACATTCTGAATTGAAGTTGGATGGCAGTTGATGACTATTGGAAGCATGCTTAAAAGATGTTATTGATGAATTTCAACTTTGAATATGTTAAATGGAAATTCGTGTAAATACTACACAATTATGATGGAGTTTTGTTCTCTGAGCTGGGTGGTTTGTTCGTGGAGCTTTCACTGTTTTTCTGGACGACATCATCAGCACAAACTTCAGTAGAAGTCTACCTCACCTACATGATCAAACCATCCAGCTCAGAGAAAAAAACTCCATCACAATGATCCACGTGAGCTACAAATCTTCTCCACCACTATACAATTAGTGTTAAGAATTCTTTACTTTTACAATTTATGTTAGTGAACAAATTTATTATAACTGCTATTTTAAATAATTTAATTAAGTTTATATTTGTTAGTTGTTTACATAATCAAATCAGTACAGTTGAGAAAGAGAAACGTTTTCTTTGATAATCAATACTTAATATCATGTGTGAACTTCATTATTCAATTATAATTAATGTAACACATAATGATCCGGATCTAAATTAGACAAGGAGTATTAGCTATATCAGGATTATAGATACACCTTGTTGATTAGTGACAACTGTTAAAAAACTTCTGGTCATTGTTTTTTAATGATTACTTTCATTCATCTACCCAGTTGTATTATTTATTCGAACCTATAACTTCGGATACTATTACCATTATTTTTATGATTATTATCTTACCTTGAATAGTTATAGATTTCACGTATTCTACGATAACGAAATCCCAATTTTCGCATCCATTCCATACTACCATGTAAGGTTGGTGTATTAGCTCTAGTTGGAATTTCTCCAATCATATTTGTTAATGGTGCTACTGAGGATATTGGTGGTGGTGACAGCATACTCCCATTTATGGGTGATGAAGTTTCTAATGAAGATGTCATCGGAGCATGTACCGTTGTTGTTGTTGTTGCTGTTGTTGACGATGATGATGATAAAATAATCGATTGTGATATTGTTGAAGAATTTTCTCCATATGCTTCATTGTCTGAACGATAATTCCTAATAATAACGACGAAACAAGAATGTAGAAAGTAGTATTGATTGGAGAGTTTGTCTAATCCAAAGAATATAGTTGAAACAATCAGAAACTATAAGGTTATTTCACATAACTGTACGACTTTATTTACATTATCATCCAATACAATAAAGGACTGGTATGTATATCTCATCCTTGATTAAGACTTCTCAGTAGTGGATTCTTGCGATAAGTCCACCATCTTTAGACCACTAAGCTGGCAAGCAGTAGTTCATACTTCCAACCTTAATCCATTTGGATCCTGTCTCATGTCCGACATGGTTAAACTCTATATATTACAGACCTGTGAGGTGCACTCCTTAGGGGTCTCAAACTAGAGAGAAATAGCCATTCAACCTTTTTTTAATTTCAGTGGTTGTGTAAGTGAAGTTAATCCGTGAACCATGTTTAATTAAAAATGGACAATCTTCTAGCAAATCATTTATAACTATAACGATAGCAAGAAACCGTTAAAATTTACTAATAACTTTCACTTCTGTAAATCTTGTTCACTAATTAAAACGGAATAAACAAAAGTTTTTTTACTACATATCTTTTTTACCATAGTCAAGTTAAATACCAATGTGTTAGTTTATATTTCCCTTCAACACGATTGAGCATAATAATACGTGGACAAAATGAGATTGATTCAATCATTATAAGTTTTTGAACGAATCTATGAGTCTTAATAGTTGAGTTTATCAGTCGATCTAAGTTAGACCACCATTAAAAACCTCGGAGCACTGGAAGGTCTTTGCGTACTAGTGTGGGACCCCTCAGTAGTGTGAATCCACGATTTCGCACACGGGACTCGAGCTCGGGACCTTCGGTCTTACGAGTGAACGCTTAACCTCTAGACCAATAATTAGGGCATCCAGCAGTGTACAAGTCTAACTTCAGTCGGTCCACGGTACTATTAGCACAAAGCTAACTATTTGTCTATCAATTTTTTGATTATCTTTTTCGTGATATTGTTTTTTTATAACGAATAAAAGTAATTTGTTAGTCATTCTCTATACCCCCCTCATCTACTATTTATTTCCCTATTTAAAAAACAATATTCACAACCCTAGACTAGTTAAATAACTAGTTACATCAACAGTAAAATAACGGGGAATAAGCCTAACACACTAACAATGAACAATACAAATAGAAATAGATGAATAATGAGATTAAAATCAAAATGTGTAAGCTGATATAAGTTCAGGTTACAAGCTCAATAAATTAGGTTAGAATATTCACCACTCAATACACAGATTAACTGTGCACATTCCATATGCATGATTAAGCGCGTATAAACAGTCACTTTCGCTTCTGTCTCACCACTACTGCTATTAATTATTAATATATGTTTGATATAACTATTTCATTGACCATATACAGGCTTCGTGCAATTGGTTTTGAGAAACACTATTTTAAAGGTAATGATTTTGCTCGATTGTTCAAACTGAAGTAGATGGGACAAAGTTCAAATATATAGTATAATAACTCGATATTGAGTTCTCTGACTAATTACCCATACCTCAAGACTGCCACTTATGTGGTGTTCGGATCTTTAAATTATGAGAACACTTGTTTAGTTATGTATATGTAAGGGTTTGGGTTTTCTCGTTGTTGGTATCAGAAAACTGAACGAACTGCCTCCTTACTGCCATCAAGTTATACGTTTTTAATAAGGCTGGATTATGATAAGTAGTGGAATACAGGACAAACGTTTCTTCCTATTTTAGGCCTGTCAAGTGAATTTTCATTCTGATCAAAGAGAGATATGTTTCAGGCTAATGAACGATTGATATCCACAACCAATCCAAGGTTTGTCAGAAGAATAAGTTGTCAAAATTTTATAGCTGTATTACAGCTGTCACAGCTGCATGATCGAAGGATTGATTTTATTTGCATCATCTAATGTCATAGTCAGAAACGTTACTACTGACATATTTGAGCAGCTACTAACCTCCTGTAGGACTAAGCTATTTACATTGCTTGACCAATGTGCAGTAAAGTACATTTATTGATTCCACTTTGTGTTAATCTAATTCTATTCATCATTTTTACTGACAAAATAATATTGATCACTGATACATGAGCCACGAACATCCTACTTGCTTAACTAATTTTAATTTACTATATTTTCCAACATAATAGTAATTAATTTAGAACTTGATGAATGTTCAAGTAATGTTGGTTATCAGTTGACTTTAGCTGAAAACTTATTAAAAACCATAGAGAACTGGTCAGTTGTCCTGTTTCAACCCACACATACAAGCACAAATCAACTAAGATTGGAACCCATAAGTTTAGCTCCGTAAGTCCCCTAGAGGAGTTTTAAAAATGAGCGAAACAATTTTCCAGTACTCACTAGTTTTTCAGCTGATGTCAGACTTTAATGAAAGCTATCTTTCATCAGACAAACAACTTTATTAAATAATGATTTCAATATTTAGAATTGATGGATTACGCCTAGTATTGAAATCCAGGACAAGTGTTTCTATCTGAATCTCAACACTGGGATAACTCAAACCCTTACTAATAATGATAGTAACTATTCATACTCTATTGAAAACATGCTTCAGTGTTATACTTGAGTATTATTCTTAGCTTCAAAACTGGTAAATTTGCATGATTTATGTTAAACATTATCTCTTCTTCATTGGATTGGTAGAATTATTTGTTGAACCTGAATAGCGACTAACAGTAGAATCAAGGACGTACGTTTCATTTTGTTTCAGACTCGTCAGCTGTATATACCTGGTGGATTCTGCTGGTGGCCAATATCCAAATTTACTTGGAAACTTGTGACTTAGTAGTAATATTGAGGGAATCTGCTCAGCATGTACATATATCAAAAGATATTGACCGAAATTCAATCCCTGACATAAATAGCAAAAAAGATTCAAATCCTTACAAATAAATGCTTTTTTGAAAGTTTAAGTGGAACAAAATAAACCCTATTTATTCTTATGTTGTATCCAATATTCATGAGAAAGAATGATTATTTCCCGGTTTCTTACTTTTACACTATTTCATTACTACCCTTCGATAGCAAAGGAGTTTTCTCATTTATTCTAAGCATTCTGAGGACCGTATAGAGGTACTTTCTGAGTTGTGGAAAATTGTGTTAGTTTTTTAATTCCAAGCAATCAAGGAAATCCATTCTCTAGTAATCCGACTGTCTCTTAGCCATATCATAGGTTCACTATACGAAGTTCAGATCAATGAAGCCTTCCAAGTTTAGAGTGAGTTAGTTTTCACAGATCCCGCTAGATACTTAACGCATTGTATTGTGAATAAACTGAAACTGGGAATGATGTTTATTTGGTTTTTACACGATAGTTGAAATGCATCGTGTTCACCGTGTTATCTGAACGACGGCGTTACGATTATTCCGTAGTCCCTAAAAATATCATCAATCAGCTATCCAGTACTCTTTGGTTTTCGGCTAGTCCTTCAACTGTTTTCACTTTATGATGATATTCTTATGATAGTTACAACAATTAATTATCATTAAATAATATAAAAATATAATATTTTGATTTTTACAGATTATTTAGACAAATTACAATATTAAAATGGAGTTTCTGCCCTAAAAAATCTTCTGACCAATCAAATTAATCTATTCAAAATATTTTGTCGAAAATTTTTTTTATTTGAATAAAGAAAATGAAATTTGACCCAGAGTCTGATTACATAAGTATATATTTCGTAAGTCGATTTATAATCAATGGAATGTGAAATCTCATTCTCTCTGTGTTTGTCTACTTGTTGGTATCTTCATGCTTATGTTCGTAAGCATATTTGTTTATGTGTATCCAATGTATGTGCATATAACCTTTTATATCTACATTTGTTCTCTGGTATGTTGGTTAATCAGTTTGACTGTGAAAGTGAAAGAGAGGGAGATGAGTGCGTACGGGCAGATAGTGGTGGTGGTCAACTAGTTCAGATGAAAAAAATCATGGTGAGAATTACTAAGGAAAAAAGCTTTATAAAATCGCGCATGAAAATTGCTCAACACTTTAATCGCAGAGTTAATAAATAAAAATTAGAGATGGTAAGAATATGTATGTAGCTATTTTGAAATTTTAGTGCATGGTAAAGTTAAGCTGAACAATGGATGACGCTACTGAGCTATCATAAATATTACGAAAGGAGAAAAACGGGCCATTTCACATTAAAGCTCAATGGTCTGAAGGTAATTTAATAGTCGCAACTGCTTGAAAGTCTTGAGTTCCATCTACACGGTAGTCATGATTGTATACTACTGAAGAATCACATACTAGGAGGAATTATCCTTTCACTGCCTTCTGCTAAACAATAGTTGTTTAGTTGATAACATGTTTAATTAAAAACACTTATTACAGTTGGATAATAGCTAAAAATAGAATCAAGGATGAGCGTTTCATCCTCTCTAGGATTTGTCAAGTGGATGTATCCTTATCCCGTAGCTAATGCTCACACTAACACTCGAATGTTCTACTTTTCACTTCAAATGCCAACACGTTATCTAGTGAACTACCGAACTTAGCTAGTCACTAACTTGCGCATAGGTGTTGAACTTTATTTACTTCGTTATCAATAAATCATGATAACTGTATGATAATTTTTTATGTTAGTTAGTTGAGATAAAGCTGCTTAATTTCAACTTCTTTCTCTTCTGGGTGCCCCCAAAATAACCCTCTTTAAAGGCTCTAGAGGCTCAGAAACGTCAGAAGACTGTTAGTCCAATCGTCGTTGAGTAGAAACTTCTCAAAAAACATCTAGGAAATGAAGAATCATTTGTCATCATTTTGAATGGATATTTACATATGCTGTTACTATAGTTAGTATGCTTCCAGCATATGCATCAAATTGATTATCTGAATTTCTGAAGTTCGTTGTTAGCACATTGTGATTATTTCACTGAATTGCATAGAATTGAATTACATTTCTGAGTTACAGACAATACAATGATCTAATAGTTTGGTCATGAGCTAGAGTTTCTATCCATTATTTCAAATAAGGTTATGAATTTTATTACTACAGTTTGAACAGACTTCGTTGTCAGAGTGATTTGTCAATCACATATTATATATACATATGTTAATATTACCATTGTATTTATTATCCATCAAATAAGAAACCGAGAAATACTATTGAATCATAATAACCACTTATGTACAATGAATAATCTGTTATTGTTTGTAAGTTAATTAATGAAATGATCATATATATCAATTAGTATTTGATAACAATTTAAATCGATAATGTATACTACAAATTCAAGTTATGTAGAATTGACTAATCAATCAACCTTTGGTGTTAATTGAATTCTATCGATTAAGTACCGATGTAGTCACAAGTCTAGATTACTCTATAGGAAACCCTAAATCTAGGTTTTATGCTAGCATGTACTTGTCAGTTAGCTGTACCTAAAATTTTGAGGAAATTGGTGATACCCGTGGGATTTGAGCCCAAATCACGTGTAACTGAGTCACTTGGATTGATAACCACATCGAAAAATAATCGATAAAACTTGATCAATAATAAAGGACAAAATAAAAATGAAATCGGTCACTGCTCAGTAAAAAGTTACTAGCGAATATCTCAGTCCTACAGAAGATTCATCTCTATAGAGGTAGCTCAGCAGTAACTTCCGTCTCTGTTAAAATGATGAGATGGGTTCGAATCCCATATGAAATATAATCACCTCAGCGATTGCTAGTAACCCTTACTGATGAATATCAACCAGTACGATGCCGAGATCCAGGGTTTCCTGGGGACTACTCTCAATCACGTAGCATGCAAGGTATATATATATGTATATGTACATTTTTTTGTTTTCGATAAGTTTTAAAAAACATATTATTATTCACTTACATTAAATCTTGATAATTATCATCTCCACGTATATCATCAATATGAACTTGATCACATTCCTGAAAAACAAAGTGGAATTAGAATATAAAATTAAAGATGATTGTCGCGTGAATGATTGAGTGGTTGTATGCAGTAAATAGGCAACAAAATTTCAGTTTCCGTTCTCTTTTTATATAAAAGTATTTACATAAATGAATTTTTGATATGAATAAATATACTATCCTGCTTCGGTCTGGGCACCCGGGCAGTATCGCAGCCCACACACAAATCAAGTGACTTGTGTGGCGCATATGTATTCGGTGCCCCTCGGTACCAATATTTATATGTTCAACTAAATAAATATATCTGTCAACCTGTTAAAGAGATTGTCTTCAAATTTCCTCCGAGTAGATGAAACTAAAAATCTCATGCCAAGTATCCTTCATGTAGACAGTTGAGTGAAAATTCAGTGATTCATATTTTTGATCGAAGTTAGTTTGAACTGTAGCGTGATATTTATCTGATGCTCTAGGTGAAGACCACTCCGCTACTTAGGTTATAACTTCTCACTTAAACACTAGTAATCTGTTTCAAAGCAGGTTACAAGTGAGAACACAATTATCATTTAGTTCAATTGCAAAGGAAAATTGATGAAGTATTTCTACATTTTTGTTGAAAATGTGGACTAACCAAGTTATTTTGACAAATATTTATGTTAAAACTGATTTACTCAAGATATACGTATCCTTTTATATTTCACTTAAACAAAACAAGATTCTGTGATTAAATTCATCAGCTCTGTGACAGGATTAAGTCTCAGTTGAGGAAACTAGATTGTTCAGATTATTTCAGTTTTATCTAGTTCTCTAAATGAACAAACGATAAGTGGAATCAAAGTTTGTTTTATTACACTCACCATTTTAGATGATGATTGAGCACATCAGTAAATTTTACATAAATGGTTGCCTAGAATTCATGTTTTATAAGTTGTAATAGATTTATTCACAAATAGAAAAGATAGTTCTATGTACCTTGTTGTAGTACTTTACAATGAATATTATCTCAAACCAATTATTTCATACATTGTTTCTGTTATATATCTTCTACTGTACAGATACATCTACTGTTTGTACTGTCCAACAACTTGACCATTAAATTCCTCTTATTTCGTTTATTATTTTCTTTCATTCTATTATGTTTCGTTAATTGTTATTATTGATAAATTTAGTTTGGACGAGTTGGATTATTAGCATATGTGATCACTTGGATTAGTTTGCATTGTTGTGTTAGAATTATACGTCGAGATAATCACTTTTAATTAAAGCATAATAATGAGCATCCGGCGAGACTATAATTTATGGATGAACCAATAAGGTAAAAGATAACAGGTCTCGGATTTCGGCGCGAAATTCACTCATCCATTTGGTTAAATAAAGTTTTGGCATTAAAGTTGATGTCAGTTAGTGATGAAAACCTGAAATCTAATTCCTAACCTTGACTATCAACTGTAAATCATAACGATTATTGTTCACGCAGGCTTATAATCCTGATTTGATCCTAGTTATTAACTGGACTCTCTCAAGGTCAGTCTAACATCGCTCAAAACTCGTCCATCAATTAGTCTCACCGAGCATCCCATAAGTGATACGTTAAAATATAACCTTCAATGCTTAGATAAACTCTTTTTAAGTAACTAAATATGTTGGAAAGAAATTATCATGAATTGACATTAATTAGTAGACTACTGATAATCATATGGGAATATACATTGGTATCATTCTAGTTTGTTACTTTTCTGTTGGTGGCTACCATTTAGCTATTTATGAGGAATAGAACTCTTAAATCATGTTCCATCAGTGATCAAAATAACTTTGAATCGCATAGCTAAAATCCTTTAATTTACAATACAGTATGGCGCTTATCCATTGTGATTTAGCAAGTTATCATGAAATTAATGTAAATTTCCAATAAATATGTTTCTTGTTTTACTAATGCTATATCACTACTATAGAACAAATTAGGATGATGAATGTTATATATTTTTTACCCTGGATAATTATCAAATTACATTATAATATTTTCAGATGTATATCTTTTTACAATCTACGATTAATCTGATTAGCTTATGATAACTTAGTATACACTCAGATATCCACCCATGATATTTAAAAAAAGAACTAACATTAAGCTTATCACTTTGTATATAAGTCAGAAGATAATCTAATCATAAAATTAATCTTGTGCTCACTACTGACTAAATGCTAAATGCGATTATGGTAGTTCTTGTAAAAAGCTGTGACCAGTGGAGTTCAATCATATCAGGTATAACACATTTATTCACTGTATGGAGTGAAAGATGGTTGTGAAATGATTAAAAAGTTAAATATATTTTTCATTGGATTCCCTTTTTAATGGCCCAAAAGATAAACGTTAGCACCTGAGATCAGAAGTTCCGGGTTTATCCCCTGTGATGGAGTAGTCGATGCACAATGATTAAGAGCTTTATACTCGAATGAAACAGCTGTCTACTGCTTACTGCCGTTTAATTGTTACCTATCTTATGTCATTTTTTTTTTAATTTGAACTATGAAAAGTTAACGGTTTCTATAAACCGTATAAACAATATAATTAGCTCATAATGCTTTTCTATTATATCAATTAGTTGATCTAATTAAAGTAACCCTATGTGCCACTCGATAAAACTAAATAGAATTCTATGAAGAAGATTATTAATTGCAGAATATAAACTATCGGTCTTGTCATTATTATCAGTGTCTCCTGTTTAGATAAAAACGTAGCATTGTCAAACGTATCTATCTGAGCTTCTTGATTGTTTAATGAATAGTTAGTGTAATAAATAATTAATTAATTATATTTTAGTGTTTGAACTCATGGTTATAAAGATATACTGTATTGAGCCTCAAATGAATTTAGAAAATCGATAATTGTGATCTTACTTCACTTTTGCTCTTTAACGTTCATTAGGTTGATTAAGTTATAGTAAATTACATCAGACAATTAAAGAAGAACGTTTTCAAGTCTAGCACCTAACTTCATGTTTTGCTTTCCAGCACATTACATTTATAATTTCTGATGATATACATGATTTGTAACAGACTATTGATGATAAAATTATTCGGTACAAAAAGTTTGTGATGATACTTTAAAATAGATGGATTGTGGCTAGGAGTGGATTCTAGAACATACGTTTCATCAGATGGATGTACCTTCACATTGTGACAATAACCTATTAATTTTTCGCTTCAAACATCAATATTTCATCCCCTGAACTATTGAGTCACGACAGTCACTAACGTTTTCAACAGATAGGATGTCTATGTCATTAATGATAAAGGTTTGAATTAATCTATTTTTAATTTCCATGACTAAATTTCGTTCCATCTCTATTGGCTCAGATACATCTTCTACGGGTTACCTCGATATAGTCGTTTTATAACAAGTCTTATAGAGTATATGGGTTGTCTCCAGTAGTAGGATCTAGAACGAGCGTTCCTTCTCATAGGATACCTTCTATCTGGATATAACTGGAACCCAGCCCTGTTTCAAATATTGACAACTAATTCAAACACATACTGATAATGATATATAACGTTTCATTAGGACATCCCTTAGTTTTTTAAATCACAATACATTTATTAATCTCTTTTCATAATGTTTATGATATGATTGTCATCTGATTATAATCAGAAGATTTATTCTTCTAATCATATGACCGTAAATACATTTTATATTTTATGAAGATTTTTAAAAGCAAACAAATGAACTTAAAAGACGATTTTTATTGTGAAATTATATTGGAGAATGATTGAAAACCATTAGGTACTGAATAGAAGTTTCGTTTTAGTTTGAGATTATTCACTATTTTGCATCCATGATTAATATATTGGATTTTAAAACGGGGAACTTTACACTAAACAGTACAACAGTATTCATTTCTTGATTATGAATACACTACAGTGAAACTATAATTTATAGACGACCTTTCAGCGATGTTAGACTGACCTTGAGAGTGTCCAGTTAATAACTAGGATCAAATCAGGGTTATAAACCTGCGTGAATAATAATCGTTATGATTTACAGTTGATAGTCAAGGTTAGGAATTAGATTTCAGGTTTTCATCACTAACTGACATCAACTTTAATGCCAAAACTTTATTTAACCAAATGGATGAGTGAATTTCGCGCCGAAATCCGAGACCTGTTATCTTTTACCTTATTGGTTCATCCATAAATTATAGTTTGGCCGACAGGTGATTGTCTCACTTTAAATTATATGGACAAACATTTCACAGATCTATGCAATTTAAGTATAAACCGAATGAGTTAAATATAAATGTGCAGATACTTATTTTTACTTACTTCAAGTTCATTGAAAAATAAATATGTATCGGCCAAATTGTAAATTAACTCTTCCATTCGTAAACCATAGCTACCAGCTACTGCCGGATCCTAAAAAAATAATTGCGAAAGTAATCAATAAAATACAAATCAATTCATTTCTATGACTGAGTACATATCCATTTATTTTCTATGTAAACATTACCGATACTACCAAAATCACATAAGGAAAGAGCTTTATTTCTGTAACTTATTATTTCAAAGTTTAATGATTTAATTAGTAAACCAATACTCCATACGAATAGTCAGAAACAAATAATTAAGATTTGTTGTTTCGTACTTACTGTTATTCATATGTGTCATCCTTCAATAATGATGCCTCATTACAAAGTGTTGTGGATTTTAAGTTTCACATCAAAGCCGGACTACAGTTATACAACCAATGAAAACCAGGATGCATTGGACAGAAGTTTCGTTTTAATATGCATCACTCATCAGTGCGTATCCTTGACTCCATTAACAATCGAACCCAGGACCCTGAGGCTTCGTGGCAAGCGCTTTACTTTCAGGAGAATTTGTCACCATTCAATGGTTTAATTCAACCAATTCACAATAATGAGCTACCTTCTTCTGTTTCGATTGGCAAAGCTTGTTTCACACCAAGTATAGCTGAACTCCATCAGTCACAGCTTCTCACTTGAATCCAGGAAGTTACCTCTCGAATTTAGTTGCTAGTAAGTACATGATGATAATTTCTTTTGTATAAGGAGTTACTAGTGAATATTTCGGTTATTACAGCTACAAGAATGCTTGAGCAACTGATGTATATCATTCAAAGTAAGTTATTTAATGCATAGTGTAAGAAAGTTAAGGTGACATCTAATACCTACTATGATGCCCACAATCAAAAAGTAGACCAAGGTCATACTTTAAATGAATGTTTAAGATCATTGTGGGTTGGTATAATTGTCTCACTTTCTCATATAGTGTATAAGATTGCTTAAGAACAGTTTGGATATTGGACATACGTATTAATTTGCTGATATATCAGAGAAGAATATCAATTTTATAATTAACTTAGTATGCCATCGGTTCACTGGGAAAGTTGTTCAAAAATGTAATTGTAGTTTCCCTTTTAAAAGTAGGTTCTTTAACAAAAGCAATGTCTGCATATAAATAAATAATTTAAGGGGTTTGGTGTGAACATTATTAAATAAAGGAACTCTTTATTAAGACACACAATGTAACAGATGGTAGATGGTTGTAATGAATTATTTCTTAGATCTTGAACATATATCTTTTTAATTTAATGGTTCAGTTCATGAATCAATTGAAGCTAGACTACCATCTAAAACCTGGAAACACTGCACGGCCGTCTTGCTGTAGTATGAGACTTCTCATCAGTACGCATCCACAATCCCGCCTCATAAGATTCGAACGCAGGACCTGTCGGTCTTGTGCGCGAACGCTTAACCTCTAGACCATTAAGCCGGCATACAACCATGTTTATGTCTAACTTCAACCAATCCACAAAATTGCGCCACCATCCACCATTATTTTCAATGAGTTACTATATCACAACAGACCTGATTGAACACCAATGGTCACGTTTTTTTTCACTCTATGAAATACCTGTTGGAGACCGTCACTAGTCAGCATATTAAATTACTATAATATCCATAAAATCCTTCTCTGAATATATATCTTAATAAATAATCTTTATTTTATCCATTTACCTTGCCATATCTATGCGCATAATAACCAGTAAGAAGAGTATGAAATATAATTAATGTCTCATCTAAATCCCATATAAATATTCTTGTAAATTTATCATCTGATTTATCTAAATCTTTATGATTTATATTCAGCTGTTGATGTTGTAAATTGGAATGTTGATGTTGTGGTTGATTTGAAATATGTAATGCTTCATTTATTGAATTTAATCTCATAGAGTTCATTATTTTTGTTTGTATATAATTGTCATTATTATTATTATTATTATTATTATTATTATTATTATATAAATTTGATAATAATGTTGAATTTAATGAACATGCTATTGGTTCTTCTTTTTCTTGTTGTAATATATTATTCTTTGTAGAATTAATCATTTCATAATGGTTATATGTATTCTGTTGATATTGTATATAATGATCATTGAATGGTAAATAAAATTGTTGATTATTATGATTATTATTTTGATCTTGTGTATTAAAATAATTTTGATTATTGATATTTTCAGAAATGATCCATGATTGTTCATTGATAGAATATTGATTTTCTTCCGATAATAAATTATCATGAATAAGCATAGATGGAAAATAAGAATCTTTAATATGATTAGTTGTTATAGGGTATGATGAATTGGAAATTTCTAATAAATTCAATGTATTATTAATAGATTTAGGGGAATTGTGATTATTTTCTAAAATATTTAAAATAATAAACGGTAATATGCCAGTATAGATAATGATTATGAGCAATTAGTTAATAATATAGGTATCAGTACTAAGGTTTGACTTGATAAGTTCGAATAACTTGAGTATTGGATATAATATTCTTGTGGTTTCGGTTGTACTATTTTTAAACTTGGATTAATTTTGACTTGGTTATCAAGAACGGGAAAGCAGCAGGACCCGACAACATACCAGCTGAAGCACTGAAATCAGACGTCGAAGTAACCACAAGCATGCTTTACCCTCTATTCAAAAAGATTTGGGAGGAGGAACAAGTGCCAATGGACTGGAAAGAAGGACACCTCATCAAGATTCCAAAGAAAGGAGATCTGAGCAAATGTGAAAACTACAGAGGCATTACACTACTGTCAATACCAGGGAAAGTCTTCAACAGAATGTTGCTGAACCGGATGAAGGATGCAGTAGATGCCCAACTTCGAGATCAACAAGCTGGATTCCGAAAGGATCGGTCGTGCACAGACCAAATTGCAACACTACGGATCATCGTCGAACAATCAGTTGAGTGGAACTCGTCACTATACATCAACTTCATTGATTATGAAAAGGCATTCGACAGTGTAGATAGGAGGACATTATGGAAACTTCTTCGACACTACGGAGTTCCTGAGAAGACTGTCAATATTATCCGGAACTCATACGACGGACTACAGTGCAAAGTAGTGCATGGAGGACAGCTGACGGATGCATTCCAAGTAAGGACCGGAGTCAGACAAGGCTGTTTACTCTCTCCCTTCCTCTTTCTTCTGGTGGTCGACTGGATTATGAAGACCTCAACATCTGAAGGAAAACACGGAATACAATGGACAGCTCAGAATCAATTAGACGATCTGGACTTCGCAGATGACCTAGCCCTCCTATCACGTACACACGAACAGATGCAGATGAAAACAGCCAGTGTAGCAGCAGTCTCTGCATCAGTAGGCCTCAGTATACACAAAGGGAAAACCAAGGTCCTCAAATTCAAAGCGGAGAACAGCAATCCAATCACCCTTGATGGCGAAACTCTGGAAGATGTAGAATCCTTCACATATCTGGGAAGCATCATCGATGAACAAGGAGGTTCGGATGCAGACGTAAAGGCGAGGATTGGCAAAGCAAGGGCCGCATTCCTACAATTGAAGAACATATGGAACTCAAAACAACTTTCAACCAATATCAAAGTGAGAATCTTCAATACGAACGTCAAGGCAATTCTACTGTATGGAGCTGAAACTTGGAGAACTACAACAACCACAATCAAGAAAGTACAAGTATTTATAAATAGCTGTCTACGCAAGATACTCAACATCCATTGGCCGGATACCATCAGCAATAGTCTTCTGTGGGAGAGAACAAACCAACTTCCAGCTGAAGAGGAAATTAGGAAAAGACGATGGAAATGGATAGGACATACATTACGCAAATCGTCAAACTGCATCACGAGGCAAGCTCTAACTTGGAATCCTGAAGGCAAGCGAAAAAGAGGAAGGCCAAAGAACACATTACGTCGGATAATAGAAGCAGATATGAAAAGGATGAATTACAACTGGAAGGAGCTGGAAAGGATTGCCCAGGACAGGGTTGGATGGAGAATGCTGGTGAGCGACCTATGCTCCTTCACGAGGAGTAACAGGTGTAAGTAAGTAAGTAAGTATTTATTTATTCTTTGAAGAAATGGCTTACATTAAGTCACGAAACGTCAGGAAATTTAATTTTTCTACTCATTGGGATATTACAAATATTTGCAATGGTTGAGATCATGAGTCAATTGAAATTAGACCATCATGGAAAACTTAGAAGCACTGAACGGCCGTTTCGTCCTATTGAGTTTTAGTGAGAAGCGATGGCCAGTAGAGTTCAACTGAGTATGTTGTGAGATAGTAGGTCCTGGGTTTGAATCTCTCGAGGCGAGGTTGTAGATGTACACTGCTGAGGAGTTCCACAATAAGACGAAACGGCTGTCCATGGCTTCCAGGTTTTCCATGGTGGTCTAGCTCCAACGGACTCATGAACTTAACTATTGAAATTACTATATTATCCACAAAATCCTTCTGATATTACAAATGTATTAACTTATTTATAATTAGCTAATATGAAATTTATAACTAATTCAGTTCAATTGTGTTAAGTGGGAGGTAGATATTACTAGTATTAAAAGGGATTATAGTCACACAATACATCCCAAACTGATTTATCATATAACTGTAAATTAATGAATACCAACTTATAATCAAAACATAATGAGATTGTCAGCAAGTTTGAAAATATTTCGTTTGCTCCCTATTGGATTTCAGGTTGTGCACTAATGAAAAGTTTCATATTAGGACATAGCAGATGTTCATTGATTTTCTGCCTAAACTCAGTTCATACTGTCAACTATATTCTAATATGAAGATAGTTCATGAAGGGTAATTTATATATATTTTTAAAGGTTATATGATTACTTGTGAGATTTTGTATTGTACAGAGAAATTAACAAACCGTCACAGTATACCATGCGTTGAATTTATTCAGGAAATTTTAACTAATATAAACAATGTTATTCTGTTACTCAGTATTATATATTCATCTTGTGTTCAGTTGTGAAACACTTGAGGCTATGGCATGATCTTTTAGTCTCATGTTCAAATAATGAATTAAATAATTTAAGGCCACGAAAATTTAAATCTATCATGTTTACCTGATGTCTGGTATTATAATGAGATAATAGTTATGAAGATTAAATAAACACAAGACGAAATATATAATTAGGCGATTCAGTCATAAAAATAGAGTAGTCATAATTAATCAGACTACCCATAATCTCAATTATGTCAAATTATGTTAGAATACTAGAAATCAATATTGAGTAGTGTTACAAAAAATGTAAACCAATATTACTGTAGAGAATTTGTGCAGATTTTGGAATTTCATGATCAACAGCATGTATTGATTCTAGTTAGACAACCAATGAGAATCAGGAAGCATTGGAAAGTTATTTCTTCCTGGTGTATGATTACTCAACAGCATATGTTCACGACACACTGGAGATGGAACTGAAGACCTCTGGGTATCGCATGTGATCACCAAACCTCTATACCACTGATCCATGTCCTAATATCTATAATTAACTACAATCTGAACAAATGATCGACAATAGTAATAATCATGTACTTGTTAGTGACTAATTTGGAAAGGCGATTGCCACAGTTCTAGAAAGAACTTGTGACTAGTGGAGTTCAGTCATGTCGAATGTGAAGTAGTAGTTACACACCAATGACACTGAAAAATAACTGAGCTTCAAGTTAAGCATCAGATTCCAGCTCAATAATCTAGAGTTCAAGAGCTCAATGTGAAATATGGAGGTCTTGGATGCATGTTGCTGATTAGACCTACACTGGGAAGAAATAACTATCCAGTGCTTTCTGATTTTCAATAGATTTCTTACAAAAATCAGTCCATGATGTTGACCATAAAAAACAGATCAATATCTTAATTTTACTAGTCGGAAATTTACAAATTTTTTGGTGGTTCTACAAAAGTAATATGGAATGAATAAAGATAAGTCTGATATTTATTTATTCTCTAATGTAATCTATTTACCCATAAAAGTACCTATGAAAGGCCACTTGCGTGTTTGAATATGGGGTTTTTAGTATAAATTTATATGCAGATGCCCTGTTTAAACGTGATGGTTTTTAAGAACATTTAAATAATGTACTGGTCATCTTATATTAATATTATAAGTAGACAGATGGATACATTTGAATAAATCTGTAGAATTAACCAAAGCAAGATTGTTTTTATTGTAACAATAAAATAACAACTGGATGTATCCATTGAAGTAGTAGAATAACTATTGAAGAAATGAACTTAATCATATGAAAATGTACATTAATTGACAAGACGTAACCAATGAAATATAAATCTGTGAATATGTTCACTGATCGATTGAACATGATATGTGGGAACATTAAACAATGGTAACATCTAGTTATAATGAAACATTCTAATTTAGTTAATTTCATTTTGATCTCTTTTTTTTCCAAAAAAAGTAGGTAATTTTTCAGATAATTTTAATCGAAGCTTATGATCCTTATCGGATATCGAAGAAAAGTGGTGTGTTTTTTTTCTAGAAAAATAATAACTTCTTTACGACAATTTAGAATTATGGATACATTCATAAACGTTATTTCACCCTATAGATTGTTTATGAATAAGGTCCCAGAATAAAGTTATGAATTTACCTTGGTGAAAAGTTTAGATCAACTTGACAACTAAGTCCAGATCGTTTTAATCATTATCAGTCACTTTACATATGCGTTTTCTCTTAACATACAACATATAGGAGAGAATGTACAGAATATACTGTTATTAATATTTTGATTTATTACTTGATTCAGTATTTAGAAAGCTATCTGTTTGCTATTCAAAAGGTTGCAGTCACAGATTGTAACAATAATAACAATATCCATATTAATAATACAAACATCTTAAGAACATAATATTTTAACAATTACAATTTGAATATAGGCTAGTAAGAGAGACAGTCAACTTTCCCATTCGAAATGTTCTCAAATAGCCACGCGTATAAAGCCACTGCCAGGGGGGTTCTACTCACTGCCTTCTCGTGGCGGGAGTGTTGTTTACGAAACTGAGTAGACGATAAGCGAATGTGCGGCGCTCTAACCGGGTTGATGGATATGGAGGATCTACTTTAGGAAGTTGGAAAACCCTGATTGTAAACCAATGGTGCATATGGGTCCCAGAACCCTGAGGGACCAAATGGCGTATGAAACAGTTACTAGGAACCGGTTGCCATGGGACCTTTAGGTCGAAGGCTCCGGGTGTGGCCCACTAAGAAAACCACCTCCTTTGGTTTGGGAACCCGGGCAGTATAACAGCCCACATACAAATCAAGTGACTTGTGTGGCGCATATGTATTCGATGCCCCTTTGTACCAATATTTATGTGTTAAGATACAAAAATATAACTCACCATACCCAGTTACCTAATCATAGTGAAGACGTGAATGAATAGATAGTTTCAAATAAATTATAATTGAAAACTATAGCACCACTAAATTCTAGAGTTTGATTCGGAACGAAATATCTAAACTCTAAAGAAAATGCATTAATTATTTTGAATTGGTCTATCTCATATTTCTTCATTCCAATCTACTTATATTACAGTTGTTATAAAAATAAACTGCAAGTTAGTTTATTCATATTAAGAAATGGTTATTATAAATATATTAATTACAATCAATGAAATATCTTAGTTGAAAGGGTTTTATGGAGATTTGTTTAAAATGTAGGTTTTATTCGTCATAGTTTGGTATCAGGTAGGATACTCTTAAAAAAACAACGAGCACTGGACAACTATTTCATCTTATGATCTGGATTTTCAACAATGTTAACCAATGACTCTGCCAGAAGTCGAAACTAAGGTCTTCAAGTGAAGTGCTAAATGCTTAATCATGAGAGTCATTGGACAGGCACTGAATGGTACAATTTCAACTTTAATCAATTCCATGTTAATATGAGATATCTGTCCAGTGCCCGATTGTTTTCAGTGGTATTGCAGCTGAGCTCATTCTGTGACGGATACATCCTACTAATGAAATATTTATTAATTAACTTTACCATTAGATTCTGTAAAATTTGGCATCAAATCGACATTGCAACCATTTGAATTCAGTAATTCAATTTCATTGTCACTTCTTGTAGTTACATTTGATATTGCTGTGAATGCTTTTTTGGTTGTAGTAGTAGCAGTAGTATTTGTTGTTGTTATTAGCGACTGATACTGACCGAATATTGATGGTGTATTAACATCACTTTCTTCACTTATAGATAGATGATTAGATGAATTATTGAAGGATTCATTATTCATTAACAATAATGAGTTATTATTACTAGCAGTGGTGATGTAATTTCCATTAGATATCTGAAAGGTAATGATAAATAAGTTCTGTTAGTTATTAGATCAAATATGGAGAAAAATCTTTATAACAAAAATTACATAAATAAAATATATTACGTGAGACAGCAGCATATATGTCAAAATGTCTTGCAGTATGATACTAACACACATCAGTTTTTGGATACTACTAACATTTATTTATTTACTAAATCATCTGAGTTACCAATGTAGATTTACTGATAAGATCAGTGGAACTAAACAGAGTTTTTTCATTAGTGTGTTGTAATCAAGAAGGTACAAGTATTTATAGACAGTCTTCTACTCAAGATACTCAATATCCGTTGGCCGGATACCATCAGCAACAGTCTACTGTGAGAGAGGACAAACAAACTTCCAGATAGGAGGAAATCATGAAAAGACGTTGCATCACGAGGCAAGAGCTAATTTGGAATCCTAAATGGAAACACAAAAGAGGAAGGCCAAAGAACACAGTGTCGGTAATTGGAAGCAGACATAAAAAGGATGGATAGCAACTGGACACAACTGGAAAGGATTGTCCAGGACAGGGTTGTATAGAGACTACTAGAGGACGGCCGATGCTTCTCAACGAGGGGTAACAGGCGTAACTAAGTAAAGTAAGTAATCAAGAATCGTCTTGATTATAATAATCCAAAATTTACGTCTGTTGGTTTACAACCATAATTTAATTCATAGAAGTCCACACATCAAAATACCTATTCACAATTTGAGATTAACAAGAAAAAGTAGATTATACTTGTAAAATGTTACAGATTGTAAAACCTAGCTCCTGTCAATAGTTAATAAAATTCAGTCGATGTTACATGTCTCAAAATTCTATTCAGATTGTTAGAAGCTTGGAGGTTTATTTTCATCATTTGAAGATAATAAATATCTCAGTGCGAAAAGAAAATGGGAAAATCAATAAATTAAATGGTGGTCCAGATGTTTAGGGATCCTCAAAGCATCGCGAAAGCTTGTACTCAAGCTTTAGATATCTGAATGATCTCATACCCCTGAGTTTATCTACGTCTAAGCTCATTATAAAGTATAAAACCTTTATCCCATTTTCACTTAATTCTTATTCATTGTCATAAATAGAAAATTTATCCCACCTTATTGTTACCCATATTGGTAGCCATTATTTCCTTGGCTTATTTCTGCATCATTAACATTTAAAGTGTGAGAGGTTTTCGTCTTTAATTCTCTTATTTATTGTAAATTTTGACCGTTTAGTAGTTGGAAAAAGGTTTCGAAATAGAGTGAAACCTAGTTTTTCTTTTGCAACTCTTATTACGTTCTCAGTCGTCACTGGGGAACCGGTTATATAAACATCTTTTGTGATTAATTGACTTTAGTTGAAAAGTTGATGAACTGATTCTGGGAGAGTTGTATGAACACTTGCGAAACAACCAGGCAGTTGAAAAGCATTACTTCCAAGGATTGCAAACGGCATTAAAAAAAAACCTGGTATGGAATAACTGCATTGCCACAAATAGGGAATATTTTGAGGATTGTAAAACTGATTTATCATAACTGTTATAAAATGAAGTTTTATAACTGTAGTTTCCATAACTATTCAATACAATACGTAAAAAATATTTCCTATATGATTATAGTATAGTCACTTTAAGGTTATAGTCATAGATTCTATCATTAAAGTGCTTGTTCGTCATCAGATCTTTCATCAGATCCAGTTATACACATCAATAGATTAATGAATGGTAAGGCTTTTATTTATCATACCATCTAAAATTATTACGATAAATAAATTCATGTTCATGCTTAGTTAGTACAGTGAACACTTACAAATTGTTGGATATTTGAACAAGTACTTTTTGCCGCCGGTAGTTCGCTTGTTTTAATAACGTCATTAGAAGTACCGGGACAATTTAAATCATCTTTATGAGTAAACGAAGATGTTGAAGATGAAGTTGATAATACATGCAATAATTTATCACTAGTTGGGTTCGACATTTCGGTGCATAGATTTTCCAACTGTTCCGAATGTTGATAATGTGGGTACTGATGTAGTTGTTGTTGAGAATTAGGAGGTTTATTCAGAGCAATTGAAGAATAAGAATCAAGATTGCCACGTAAAGATACTGATTGGATATTTGTAGAGGATAAGTGACAACTAGATGAATGCGATTTTGAAAGTGCGAATTCATTCCCATGATCTATAACAAAGAGTTTATGAAGAAATTTATGTAATTACAGTTTTCTTTTAAAGGAAACAGTTCATAATTATTAACTGTCCCCTTTAAGCACATAAATTAGATTTCAGATAGCAATGGCTACAGTAAATTTCAGAAAACCGAAGTTTGGCTGTCTGTCTATTAATCATCCTGAAAGATTTCGAAGTATCGACCAAATATCTTACCCTCTCTTCTATATCAGTTATTTCGTTTTAACTAAGTGAGCTTCATTCCTTTGATTTTTACTTATTATTAGCGTTTGTTCGTTACACAACCACTTTTTTTTCTAGCTCTCAGGTCTTTGTTACCATCACTGACGTAGAGTATTTTCCACATAAGCTATTTGCAATATTTTACTTAGTCTCCTATATTTATTTACATCCTTGCTACGCTATACTGATGTGTGTTCAAAACAACTTCAGGCTAAACTCATTTAGGCATGTAATACCAAACCATTTTGTATGAAGTTAACGAGGACTGACATGACTTAATAGGACGAAATTATTCAGGTAAAAAATTTTGTCAGAAGGGGTTTGTGGAGATTTTAGAAACTTTCACAGATTGAAATCATGAGTCATTTGAAGCTAGACCACCATGGAAGCACTGAATGGCCGTTCCGTCCTAGTATGGGACTCCTTAGCAGTAAGCATCCACGATCCCGCACCCCGCGGGATTCGAACCCAGGACCTACTGGCTTCGCGCGAGCACTTAACCATTAGACCACTGAGCCGGTATCCAACGGTGTTAATGTCTAACTTCAACCAATCCACGAAGTTGCGCCACCGTACACCATTGTCTTCAGTGAGCTGATATCTCACAACACCGCTGGATGCCGGCTCAGTGGTCTAATGGTTAAGTGCTCGCACGCGGTGACCTGTATTTAGTGGGTGTGCTTTTACAGTTAATTCTGTATTTCCCCTAAACTATGTTAATATACAGTGAGTATAAAAATTGGTAAATAAATGATTTTATTTTGGTCTAAGGATGATGTGATTTTGGGACTTAAATGGAGACGAGGTTTTGGCTTATCAATTAGTCTTCATTTCATCAGTCTCTTATGTTCTCACTTTGGATCGTGAGGATTGCAGTGGTTCCTGTTCCAAAGTATGATATAGGAATTTCAGTGGTTCTAGATAGTTAGGCAAAAGCAGCAAAATGGCGAACTCATCAGAGTCCATCCTAACATAGCATCAACGAACATACAGATATAACAGTGAGCGATATGGATACAACAGTAGTGACGTGGATATAACACAATCGACCATTCAGTTACAATAAGAACTCAAAGAAAGAAAGTATAATTTATGAGAAGACAGATATTTACTGGTTATTTATTGGATGTATATCTTCCCACCAAACTACCTGCATATATATATACTTTAAAGATGTATATATGAAATGCAACTTATAAATGTAGGTATCTTTTTTATAAATCTTTGGACTAACATCCATATTAACAAGTCGATGTAGTTATGACTAATTTTTGGATCGACTGATCTATACGCTCCCATATTGGTCGTTAGGTGATAACAAATATAATGTTTGTCTAATCGTTGGTACTGATCGTATTTCAGCAATCAAATCTTAATGTAGTTACTGTTCTCAGAGACTTGACATAGACGTTTCAGTGAAAGTTTGTTGGAAGTGATCTACAGGAAACCCTGCTTAATCTAGGTTTGTGCTAGCTGGTTCTCATCAACTAGGTGTCCCTGTAATTCCCAGGGACCTTATGTTTCCTATAAGATTCGAACCTACAGTACCCACTTTCATGGCCCAAGATGATATCACAAAACTATTCAGAGTTCAGTTGAACCCCTGCAAGACTGAGATATTCACAACTGATTGCTCATTATATAGTTTTCAATGTCATATATGTCTAGTACTTGATTTTAATCGAATTTTGTAGGTCAAGTATCATTACGAACTGATATCAGCTAAACGTTTTGATGAGAACAAGTGAGCAGTGGACAACCACTTATAGTAATTTACAACACATTAACTAAATACATCGTCACTGTCAAGCTCAAGATCGGATTCAACACTTAGATATAGCATGATGAATACAATAGCTTAAAATTATTAATTTGGTGGATGTTTTCCAAAAATGTGCATCATAAAGTATTTAACACTAATTATTATAGTTAACATCACGAACTGATCCAAGTCAGATAACCACTGAAAACTAGGATACACTAAAAAGCTGTTCCGTCTTGATATGGGACTCCACATCACTGTCATCCCCAACACCACTATGGATCGGACTTTAAACTATGTCGAGGATGAGCCAGATACCAATAGTATTAGGTGGTTGGAAAATATCGCAAATTGGTTCAAGCAAAAAATGTAGATAACTGGATGCCCACTCCGTGGTCTGAAGATTAGATCCTAAAGGTTTAGTGACCTGATGATCCTATATAGAGTCATACATATACTCTTTTGATGAGTTTCATACTTGGACAGAAAGAGCTATTCAGTGCTCCTTGGTTTTTAGTGGTTGTCAAACTTAGGTTAGTTCGTGATGTAAACTGTAAAATTAATAATAACGTCATTCCAATGTTGACTGAAAAAAGGTAACAATTTAATATTCAAAATAAATGACAAAGAGCATGAAGGAGAGAAATGTTATAAATTCTCTTGATTAAACAATTATTTTATTTACATACTCTACATTTCTATTTAAGATTTAACAATCATAGTAACTAATGCATTAATGTATGAATTTTTTTATTCATAAGATCTCTCCTATTTTCTCATCATTTCACTCATTTTTCTTCTAGTTGATTGTGAAATAAAAGTAAGATTGAAAGGTGTGAATAGTGCTCCTTAACTTCAAAATCATTAAGACATAATTAATGAATCAACAGAAATGCTGTTTAGATATAATGAAGTGTTTGTGTGTGTGCGTGTTGATGTTGTTTGATTGAACGGTGACCTCGAATCAGGTTTAAATGTAGAATTCGACATATTTTTTCTTTGGAAATGGAGATGAAAATTCACAATAAGAAGTAAAAAAAAGAGCACCTTAATAGTCATTTTGTTCAAATTTTCTGGAGTCAAAGTCACTACAAACTGGTGTGGACTGAAGAATTTAAATTCGAAAGGTTTTTGAGAATATTAGTGGTACTTACTAGAAATCAAAAGAACCCATTAGTACACTATGTATCATTATTAGATTAAATGTTTTTAAAGAGTTATTCAAATGAAAGATAATTCCCACTAGCCAATTTGAGAACATTAAAGTATTTCCCTTCTCATTGATAACAATATTATACTTATTTAGTTTTCGATTAGGTATTAAAATGAAAACTAAATAAGTTTCTTCAATGTTGATTTTCATTCAGATTAACAACTGATGACAGAAAAATGACATTTTACTGAGTTCTATATCAGATTCCTCCGAATCTAAATATCATAATGATTCGACTAATTAATAATCCAAACATCCAATCCTGAGTAAACTGATGCTACTTTTAAAATTTGAGTCCTCATCGCTCTGTGTAACAATCAGTCCTTGATATTCCCCAATATCCAACACTCCATAAATCTTAATACTTGAATACTGCTGTAAGATAGTCAACAGTTGAAAAACTTCATAATAATTTGTTTGAGTATGCCACCAGTCGACATATCTTAAAATGCCTATGGGATTATCGATTTTTTTTCAAAATTACATATGTGCTTTACTGAGCATTATCAAATGTCATGAGACTTAGATTTGAGGTTTCCTGTAGACTACCTTCAACCTTTTAACTCAAAATGTCCAGCATTTAGTCCAGACAGACTCTAAATTCCACTTTGTACGGGGTCATATATAAGCAGAATACAAGTCATACATCTAAATTTAAGTTTCGCTTTTTAAGATGACGCTCATCCATAGTACAAATTGTATTCAAACTTAAAATTTTGTTACTATGGGATTTATAAAGCGCTTAAATGTAAACTGATTCTACTCTGAAAGCTCTAATATAAATAAATAAATGATCTATTGACATAAAGATTTGTCTATCAAATACAGAATAATCAGTTTACATAAAGACTGTTGAATAGTTTTTTATTGTTTCAACGAACATTATGTACACTTTACATGTCTATTATCAAATTCCACTTGTTACAAAATTGTTAAAATCATTATGATCAATAAAGATTAACTGCAGTCTTAAGTAAAAACTTAATATATCGATCTCATAGTGGCTTTTACTCGTCACAAATGGACCTCATTAGGAGTGCTACTGAATACCGGCGAATGTTCAGCAGACATTTCGTTGCTAATTGATGAATAAGTGTAATTATCTCACTCCCATAGGAGGCCATTCGCACATAGAATATCTCACTGGTAACACGTCAGATTAAGAAGCTGGATGGTGTCAATTTGTATCTGACGAGTATCAGTTCCCTCAATATAGTAGATACTCTTTGCTGGCGAGTGTCAACTAGCACGAAATCAAGGTCGAGTGTTCCCTGTAGGCTAAGTCTTACCATATGGATATTCCGTCCTGGTTATCGTTACCGTTTTTTCAGCGTTAGACACGATTCTGTCAACGATTGAATTCAAGACTTTCAGTTATTGTTGCAAACATGTAAACTTTGGATCACCGATTTGTAATCTAATTATTGTGTCGATTTGTGACAAATATCATGTACACATTAAATTAATTTCCATGAAATCCTCAATGAAATTAATCATAATAACACACATCTCAGCGAACAATATTGTTTTGCGTCAAATACTTTGCCGTAATATCAAGCAATATTTATGAACATACATGGGGAACACAAAACCAACCAATAAAATTTATGGATCAGTGGCAACAATGAAAAGGGATTACATATGCAATAGTAATATGCAGAAAGTAAAAACTGATTGAAAATAATTAGTTTACTATAACGATAAGAATAATAACGGCTTGTTTCAATGTGGAAATTAAGAAAACAAATATTAGAAGAACAATGATTGGACCTTATAAAAATTACGTAATAAGAAGTGTGCAAATAATCAGCAGAGATATGTAGATAAGGAAAAAGAGATGTGAAAGAGAAGGGTTAGAGAATAAAATGTGGTATGAAAAATTCAGTAAAATCCTAAAACCATGGAAGGAACACCGGTGTTTCAAATGCATATAAATATCATGATATAATAGCAAAGCCTCATAACGATTTAACTGAAAACAATAGTTGCTTATATGTGTCGTTATGATGATTAAAATAAACGAGACATCAATACTATGAATACCACTTGGCAAAAATTGAAAAGAAGAGTCCAGGACAGAATGAATCGAAGAACTTTGGTAGAAGGCTTTCATCCTAAGAGGGGTAACAGGGTTAAGTTTATGTATTGTTATGATTACTAATTTAAATAAGTTTTTTTTCGGAAATCAATAACAATGTTTAGGTGGTATTAGGTACGAATGGATTTAATAAGTAGACCCCAACTCAATGACTCATGATTTGCATGTTTGCAGCAATGCCTAAAAGTTCTAAGTTCAATTGTTGACAGAACTATAGGTGTGATGAGGAAACCCTAACGATGACCAGGAGGAAACATGTTACATAGCTGGAGATAATCGGTAGGAGACATGATAGGAATTTTTAATATTTAAATAATAATAGTAAGTTTATTTGGGCATCAATTTACTTACCACATTGTGGTATATTTAAATCAGAAGAACTACTCATATTATTAATCGATGCATTATCTGTACCTAAATATGGTGACACACTTGATAAAATATTTGTTGAACGTAATTTTATAAAGTTTTCTTCGATCAACGAATTGAAAGATGCATTCTGATTAAATCCTTCTTCATTATTTGATGACGAAGTTTCAAATAAATATTTTGTACGTTTCGTTGAAGGTTCATCTGTGAAATGATCATCATTTTCTTGAATTATAGTTGACATGGTTTGTTTAACTACGAAGAAATAAGATTAAAATACAAGAGAAAGGAAAAAAGAACATTGGATATATAAAATTAAGGTGATGATGTGCATTTTCGAATAATTTCGGTTAGAGGCAAAGAAGCTGATTGATGAGAGAAGAAACTATCCCTAAAGAATAATTAGTACAATTTTTTAAAATAATCATTTTACTTCAGTATATCAGTTCAGAATTAACAAGTAGAAACGTTATAAAGTCGTAAAATAATACTTGATTAGTAATATTCAACTGATTTCAAACTAAACTGTAAACTATAAATAAAAATAATATATTTATAACAATCAATCCAATGCTCAGTTTATTCGAAATTATCAAATCAAACCTTGGTAATGACACCTATAAACTGTAAACTATCGGGTGAATGAAGTGAAATTAAGAATTAGGTTACTTGAAAGTCAGACATGGTTGAAAGAATAAAATCAATGGACTTATGGTGATGAAAATTACATGAATTGTTCGCATTAACACAGTAAACAGATATTCACTGGATATATGCCTAAGGATTAAGCCATGAATAAGTCTATAAGTTTAGTAAGTACAATAGATAGTTGTCTCCCTCATATTTTTAAATAAAACCACTCTAGAATAGTGAATTATTTGTTCTGATATAACGATATTTTCGAAGTCAGTATTCTTGCTCTCTTTATATATATATCACCATTGATCTTTTATCCTGAGCTGACTTATTTCTACTTATGCATCTACTCTATTTCAATATTTTGTCCTATTACGTTACCCAAACCATCTTCTGGATGAAAACATCCTTAGCCTCTTAATGTGAATAACATTTTTAATGATTTTGTCTACTATACTTCTTCGTTAATTTGTTCAGTAAATTATTGTTAATACCAATGTCCTTATTAATGATTATCATTGTGGAGAAAGCTAAAAATCATCTGTTTGTACACTTTCGGGAATGAATAATGAACCAGTAATTCTTCTTTAATGTGATATGGTTATGAGCAGTTATTTCAGTAATAACAACATTAAAACTCATCATATTTAATATTTTCGAGTAGTTTCAACTAATAAACTATACCCAACAAGTAATGAGCATTGGCAAAAAGTGTTATTTCAACAACAAAAAAACTATTAAATAATTTCTTTTAAAATTACCTTGAGATGTAAATTATTTCAGATGTGTAGCTTGAAAAATTTATTACATCCAACTTCGTTTGATCTGGTTAACTGGCTCACTCATCATCTATTGTAATCTAATTGGCTGATTGCTAAACAAATTTTTCTGTTTTGTATTGCTGATTCCAACCAATTAGAATGGACATATATCCTAATAATATTTAGTTCTGATTGGTTCAAATACACATAAAGCGTTAACTAATTTTAAAACCAATCATCTGCACAATTTGAGTAAGATTGCTTGATAGAGTAAATATTTTTAACAGCTAGGTTTAAACAGTGTAATATTTTTACCAGGCTGGGGATAAACTCCACGTTGCCAAGCCACATAAGTGTATCGTAGTCACTAATTGCGGTTATGTTTTCATCGGTTTAATCATTCAGTTGTAAATATTTTGGAAGTTTCCACTATCGAACTAATTGGAGGTAAAACTTGCAATATTGAGATTTTTCTTCCATCATAACTGAGTGCCCTATACTTGACATGTTCGTAACATGATGATTTGGTATTTTCGTCGTAGAAAACTTTACTTTTTCACGTAAACTAGAAAAAATGGAAAGCGAAAAGGTCAGACATCATGGATTACGATAGTGTAGATAATAATTCCCGCTTCATTTTAGTTGTTTGCCAGGTGCAAGGTCGAAATCGCGAATGAAAGTGTAGTATATCCTCATCCTTTTTACCATACATAGAAGACAGAAACTTCTACTGGAAAGTTAATACACTTCATGCCTATTCCTTTTACTTTTACAGATTTAATTGATAGCTGGTTCAGTGTGTTGTTGATAAAATAAAAAAATAACTTCACTTATTTATACACAGTTTGACATCCTATTCAGAAGTTACATAAGTTCAACAAGCACTGTGCTTTTAAAAATTTCATACAGTCGTTTACATAAATTGTATTCTGATTGTTGGGCTTAGAATGTTAAGGCAAAGTTTTATTTCTGACATTATGAAACCCTATATCCTTGATAATTTTAGCATTTTTTTCTACTATGCAATTTATTTACAAAAAGTTCATTTCTATGTGTAGTGTTTTCTGAATAGAAAACATCAATTTTCAGAAATATAGGAATCCTAGGAAAGCACTACATTCCTTCAGTTTCTAATATAAATAATTTATTAATATATAATTGGTTAATCTTAAGGTCAAGCTGGGCAGAATCCAAGAAATAAAGAACAAAAAGACAAGAGTCAAAACAACTGAAGTGGAGTATTTGAACCGACAAACGGAAATACATAGAAAGCTGATTAATGACATTGGTAAAAGCTAAAAGGCGAGGAAATATGGAAAATGTAGTAAACCAGAGTGATCAGTCCAGGACAATAAAGGTCAGACAGCCACTGAGATTCAGGAACAGCCAAGCTTGTAAGAAGAGCACTTTGAAGAACTTTTGAACAGATCAGCCAAACTGAACATCAAAGTAGCACGTACGGACATTCCTATGGATGTCACTTCACAAAAGATCGAAGAAATCAAGATGGCTATCGGACAGATCAGTAGTGTGTAAGCAGTGAGACCAGACGGTATGACAAATGAAGCACTAAAGTCAGACAGAGGCAACTGCAAAATGCTCCACTATTTCTTCAGGAAGATTTTTGGGCATGAACAAGTGCCACTGAGAGACTGGCAAGAAGGACACCTCTACATCTTCGGCATCTTCTCCTAATACCAGAGAAAGATTTCATCAGAGTGTTGTTGGACAGATTAAAATATTCAGTAGATGCCCAACTTCGAGATCAACAGGCTGTATTTCATAATGGTCATTGTTCATAGACGAAATCGCGACATTACTTATCATTGTTGAACAAACATTTGAATAGAACTCGTTACTATACATCAACATTTTCAACTACGAGAAAGCTTTGACAGTGTGGGTGGGAGAACCTTACGAAGTCATCTTCAACACTGTAGTGCACCTGAGGTGATCGTCAGCATCAAACGGAATTTTTACGATTGGCTACAATTCATAGCTATACATAGAATACAGCTGACAGATGCAATCTAAGTGAAGATCGGTGTCAGACAAGACTGCTTACTCTCGCCCTTTTTCTTTTTTCTGGTGGTCAACTGGATTATGAAGACATTCATATCTGAGAGGTAGCACGGAATATAATAAACAGCTTGAATGCTGCTAGAGGATTTGGATTTCTCAGATGACCTAGCTCTTCAATCCTAAACACAGAAACAAAGGTAGGTGGAGACAGCCAGTATAGCAAGAGCCTCTGAAGCAGTAGTTCACAACATTTACGAGGGAGAATGCAAGATAGTGAAATATAAAACAGTGCGAATCAACCCAATCACATTTTGTGGGTAAGTTCTGGGAGAGATGTAAACTTTCAGGTACCCGGGCAAGAGGATCTGATGCTGTTGTGAGGGCACAGATTGTCAAAGCAAGGGCAGCATTCCCACAACTGAAGAACATATGGAACTCAAAACAACTGTCAGCCAACATCATAGTCAGAATCCTAAATACTAACGTCAAGATAGTTCTACTGTACGGAGCTGAAAATTGGAGAATTACTGAAACCATAATCATAAAGGTACATGTATTTCTAAACAATTGTCTACGCAAGATACTCAACGTCCATTCGACGGATACTGTCAGTAACAACCTACGGTGGGAGACAACAAGCCAACTTTTAGCTGAAGAGGAAATTGGGAAAAGACTCTGGAGATGATAGTACATACATTGTGGAAATTGTCAAACTGCATCAAAAGAATGAATGACTGGAAAGGATTGCCCAGGAGGGAGTTGGATAGAGAATCCTAGTGGGCGGCTTGTGCTCCTCTATGAATGGTAGCAGGCGTATATGAATTCAGTTGAATTTTTCGAAATTTTGTATAAAAAGCTGGGAAACAAAAATTTTGAGAAGAAACAGGAGAGTAAGAAGCTAACAGTTGATTACTACACGACAATGCAATGTTTCGCAAGTTCCAAAAATGACTGAATGTGAGCGAAACTACTGAATAATAGCAAGTAGCATAACTAATCTCAAGCATCGAGATTCTGAGGAGCAGGGTACATAATAGATTCGACTTTTCTGACTTCACTGTTTAGATTATAGTCGGATAACCATTATAAACCCGAAAGCACTGGACAGCTGTGTTTCCCTAGTGTGAGGATCCAAAGCATTAAAGACCCTAAACCCTAACGGAAACAAACCCAAGAACTTCGGAAAAAGCATTGATTACCTGTATCCTCCTAGTTCTTTAGAATTATTCAAAAATATACACCATAACATTACAGGAAATATGACCACAGACTCTTGGCTGTTACACTTGAGCTACTTCGTTGGGATTGTGGCTTACGTTTTCAACGTTATTTGATGCCAGTGACTGGTCTCGATTATCTTCGAATCGATATCGGTGTTAATATGTTCTGATCAGTCAATACTGTTTTGATATTATGAATCAAGTTATCGGTAAAAAAGGATAAATTTTCTTGTTAAGTTACTTTACCCCATGAGACTGAACTGTAAGATAGGAAAGCTATATTACTGATCTAGTCACAGTATCGATTAAGTCACCAAAACTGTTTATCTACTAGCAATGACACGTTACATGTGAGATAACAGTAGCGTTAATTGACTATCAGCCAGCATAGTGTCCTACGCTCTCCCGTTTATTCACCCGATATTCAGGATAGAGGTCAATTCAGCAAAAAGATAACTTCTAACTATCCAGTGTGAATTTATGAATCACTCATATTGATATATAGCACAGTCCTAACAACACATTAACAGAACTAAGGAATTAAAACATGGGCATAACTACGACAAAAGTGGAAGAGGACTGGATGATAGACGTGTAACAATAAT